GCCATTTGTCCGATCCAGACGTAGCTAGCAGAAATGCCTTTCGGGTGCCTCGTGCTACGGACATTTTAGCTAAGGAGCTGCACTAAGATCTGGCAAAGCAGCGCATCCCCTTCAGCGCGTGGTGTGTCCAATCTCCGTAGTGTTGGACTCTAAGAGGCCTCAACGTTAAGTTTAATAGCGAGACGATGTGTGCTTAGGATTACGCGAATAGGGATTTACACTATATCCCCTTCTGAGGATACAAATTTTGGTGTAGTATATGCTAGTCGTGTCACTATTAGACTCCGAGATCTGCAGCTGGCGTAGCGTATCTTTGGCGAGCACTATTAGGACATCGGCAAGGTTTTACACTGATACTAGATAGGGTCTACCTCCTCCCTACATGGCAAGCGCTCTGTTGATGAGATCGTAAAATATTAACCCATGCTTAGGGTAAATAGGATAGTCGAGCTAGACCAGGAAGGCTTTTCAATGCATGCCTCTCTTTATAAGCTTTATGGAGCAGCGGCCGTCACCACGAAGTGAATAGAGAGTGGGCTGATTTACGCTGTTGATTTCGGCACGATCCTCAATCTGGATAGTACCAGCCGAAATGCTACAGGAGGTCGAGAAAGTACTCATACGACTAGGATTCCATTTGCGTACAGATATATATGTAGTGGTCACAGATCTAACATAAATTTAATTCCATAAATTTAATTAGTACCCGGGTATTGGTTAAACTATCACACAATCCAAACAATGAGCTCTCTTCCTACAACAAGACTATTGACAATATCCCTAATAGCACAGAAGGCTGCACTACGAGACTGATTACTAGCATCTCTCTCCGCGCGCCCACACCTCTCGTCAGCCCCCACATAATCTCTAAGATCGACGTGCAAGTCAGCAGCGCAGAACCATTGACAGTCGGGGCTGAAGTCGGCGATACTGCACGAAGACGTTTCAAAGAGATGGGACGTGCCGCTGTTGGGCGATATCCGCTTGCATTTAGATGGGGTGAAAGTACGGTTCTGGGGAAGAGGCCGGAGAGGTCGGAGGAAGAGTTGGAGGGCTGGCACGCGGAGGCGCCGAGGCTATCGTTGGATGCTGATGTATTGGGTATGAGCTGTATATTTTGCCCATGAGTTGCTGCAGAATACACAATTGCGACGTAGAAAGAGTTCCTGGTCCTTTTAATGATATCTCGCTAACGTTGAAACCAAGAATCAACCCCAGATACACGAAAGAACGCGCCCATTCATCCCGCCCATTTCAGCCATTCACGCTAGTCTAGCTTTGATGATGCGAGGTATTAACGACTTGAGATCAGATCTCTAGAAGTTGAATAGTATACTGATTCCTGTTCGAACCACCCTTTTGGGTGGGAATCAAGGATCAAAAGGAGTTAACATCCCGAACGGCTCACGGCCCGGTACTCGGTGTCAGCTATGGAAGGATCTATGCGGACTGCAGGGGCGGCCTAATTCCCCAAGGAGTCTGGGGTCCAGGTCAGTACTCTGGCCATCTGACTTCGACTTAGCGTATTTCTTGCCACATTCTCTGGTCAGCTCTGCATGACACCATTGGCAGGTCTAACGCTAACTAAAGCGGAAGACATGCCTCATTTGATAAGTGGCTGGCTTAGTTTGACCTCAATTTTCTTTCTTACAATCAATAGCCCTTGCGACGTGACAACACTGCTCGGAGCCTAGACTGGCTGTATATCCTCAACCACACGGCCGCCAGCCTTATACTCTTAACGACAGTTCCCAAAGTAATGACCGCTCGCTCCGTCCGATTCGACAGTAGTACATGACTCCGTATCACAATCATCAGTGAGCTCTGCTAGCTCGTTGGACCACTTCCATCACTAGGTCTCGGTTGGACGTCTACAGCCCAAAAAAAATAGTGTTATGTTGCACAGTGTCATATGTCTTAGATTGAAGAATTAGGGGACAAGCCAACTCCTCGTCAGAGATGTTGAAAGACTTACCCCATCATCACAACATGCCGGAAAATAATTCTTTGGACACGCTGCAGCAGGGTCATCACGTTTGACACCCACACAAGCTAGCTGGCCATCATCGCCGATACTCGGCACATAAGGGTCGCAACAGACGGGGAAAGGCTTATCCAGCTGACGCTCATAATAGATTGATGATCAGCTTGAATGCCTTCTTTGATGGGGAGATTAGGCTCGACAGTACAGAGTACAGGCTTTGGGAAGAGAGCATGTCAAGAGCGACTTACGGTGGTGGTCCCAGCTATCATAATTGGTGGGCATGTCATAGTGACTCGGCGATTCAATTGTGCTGGAGATGCTGCTGCACCGACCGCAAGGGCCACTGAGGGAAGGGCAAGATTGGAGCCGGTAAAATGCATCTCGAAGAGACACAGAAGACTTGAAAAACGGATCAAAGTGAGAGAGATTGTTAATATTGTAAAGATTCGGTTGCGAAGAATGAATTTTAGCTGTTGTACTAAAAGAAGTCTTTATATCTGGAAGAGATGGACATTGACAGAGCATATGCCGCCCGGCTTGAACTAACCTACGCCCTTCTTATACTGTTTACCGATCATTGGACCTCTTTGAATGGTGGTGTGATACTAAAGCGGTCAACTGCTCCCCGATGATAGCCGAAGTTCGGATCATCATTTAAAGCAATTTCGACCACACCGAAGTCCCATTGCTTGCAGAAGAAGTTGCAGGCCAATGGACAACGCCTTCGATACATTTGCAGCGTATTCTAGCGTGAACCAAGCCAAATCAATAATTAAGCAACACCTAATATATGAAGCTTACCAGCGCGTACGAATCGAACTCTGACGATCGCCCATCACCTGATATCGACATTTCTCGACGCTGAGGCTAAGCATAAACCCTTGCATCCGGAGTACAAAGAGACTCCATGCTACACTGGTCACTGTGACCCTCAACGATGTTTAAAGTGACAAATCAAAGTCTGTATCTTCAGCCGCCGAAGTAACACCATACCAAATGAAGTTGAGTAATTTTCGCATTTGATAGGTTTCTGGAGCTCTTCATCAATCCCATCAAGTTTCTTGTCTTTGGAATTGCAATGACTTGTCTTACGTGGACGTAGTCATTCAATGAACGACCAACAAATATCAACGCGAAGTTTCCTACGTTGAGCAATATTTGCTGCTTGAGACAAAAAAGAAGAGCGACCGCGCGATTGGGTCATGAGTCGAGTCTCCTCAGAGAAAGCGCTGATTGTCATTCACCCACATGTCGCACCTGGCGCAGATTCTCGGGAGAATTCGAGTGGCGAGATGGCCGCATTAGCGATACAACGTGGACTAGCCATTGAGAGCCACGGGTCCTTGGACATGTGATTGAAGGCCGTTCACTTATTCACAACCTTTAGGAAGTCTTTGTGAAGACGTCAAGTCTCGCAAGTCGTCTGATTTGATGAGCATAACACGCTTGTCAACACAAGCAGACACGACGGTCTCTCGGTCTCAATGAGGTACAACTTGATCAAACCATGCTCGACGGATGTACCTGGTACATGGGCCTCAGTGCTCCAGCGGCTTTGTGAGCTGCCGTACCTCGGTCACTTCATCGGAATGGCTTGCAGAACGTAGACTTCCGAGTTTGGCGTGCTTACTAAGCCTATATAAACAAAAAAATGCTTCTAAAGACAGCAGAAAGGAGGTATTTCTACAACGTGATCGGCTACTGGACGCAGAGGAATGCCGCATGACAATGGAGTTAGAGGCGAAGATATAACGGAATTGCAACCTTATACTACAGGCTTTGTATCTCCGTTTGGGACGATATTCAGATGCTTCTACTCGGCATAGCAGAGAACGACGGGTGCCATCGCATCTCCTGTCAAATGTGAAAGGTAGAAAATCTTGGGCTTTCGTCATGGTTGGAGTGGTATCGATAGCAGTACTTTCCTTGAGAGGAAGGCTATGGGGTAGCAGGTCGTCATTCTTTCCCTTCGCGCCTCCCTTACCTCCATTCTCCTCCGCAGACCTCACCCTCTGCTTCCATGGCAAGACTTCTGCAGGATTCAGACGTGTTTGATGAGGTCACTTCGTACGGGTCAGAGGCTTATATTAATGTATAACTGAAATGGAGAGGCGTCAGCGGGGCATGACTGGCTGCGACAGCGTTTGCAATGTCAAGGTCCAGGTGGTGATGCGGGGCGCACGTTGAGTAGCCCTGCTTCATTGCGTGGGCTGGGTGAGCTAATAGAAAGCAGCCGAACGGTGCGTAGCTGATGAGGGGCGCAAAGATGACAGGGCAATGATGGAAAAAGGCGTACTACTGGGGAGAATTGAGGTGGTGTTGAATGTTGAGAGTAATAGGGGAATGAGGGGCAGGAACGATCTCGGGAGAACTTCGGATCTTGGAGGCCTTAGTTCTAGCCCTCGAGCTAACCTTCTCTGGGAATCCGCTTTTCCTCAGGCCCAAAACGCCAAGTCACCTGACATGGGAAGGCGCCATGAAGCTTGCGTCAGGTTTTCTATTCCCATTTCCACCTCACTGCTACAGCTGCACCGCGTATTAAGAAGTGAATCCCCAAGCGTACTAAGTCCGAGAAATCCGGCCTCGAAAGCGCTGCCCTCTTTGGGTTAGCGCCCGCGCCTAGCGCGTCCTTCACTTCTGCAGTCGAGTGTCGTACAAATCTCATCATTCATCGTTCAACTTCTTCCTCAGATGTGATGGCATCTGCACCCACTTCTGATCATCATCAAGTACCGGGAGAGAGTCACCATTCGAGCTCTCCTTCCTCGCCGGCCACTGTATGTTTCTCTCTTACTCCTACAACTGACTCGCTTACCATCCCTCGTCAGATTGATGCACCAGAAGCGCCCATTCCGACACCTGACGATCGCGATCGTTTGGCTTCAGCCCAAAGTCATCTAGCTGTAGACGAGGCAAGTAAAGTCGCAACACCCAATAGCTTTCCTTCTCTTCTTTACAACGACGTGAGACTCCCCCAATCCACCTCGCCTTCGCTCCAAGTCTTCAACTTAATGTCATGCAGACTACTCGTTTCCCTCACCAGAGTCCTACATCAGCTACATCAGAAAGCGGCTCAGTTCAGAATCAAAGCCCTGTCACTGCGGCAATCGCACCACTCACCTCCCAGAATCTCAGCACCCTCACTCGCAAGCGCTCTCTCTCACCAGACTCAACCTCACCACCTTCCGAAGCAGACTCTGAAGCTGAGTCTGAGAACGACTCCCAACACTCTCGAGCAGCAAGCCGGCACTCATTCTTGAGCGACTCCTCCAGCATGCCGGACGCTTCAACAGTACTAAAGATGCGCAATCTCCTAGACATGAATCAGATGTACATCGACAAACCTGTCGCGAGAGAACTTGGGAAAGCTGTCATCGATAAAGCTTTGAAGATTCTCAATGGCAAACGGGGCTCGGACTGGTCTGGCCCAAAGGCCGAACAAGTACAAGAAGTCATCCAATACCATAAAAATGAAAATGAGGCCACCTTTCTCCACGAAGTTTTCCACAAGCTATTAGGCCTCGAACGAAAAGTGCCCGTGGACGACACAACGGGCACGCGCAATTACATTGACCGCGCCTGGCACAAAGATTTCCTCCGCCCTAAATGGGATAACCAATTCGTAGGGGACGATGTACCACGGCTCAAAATCCCAGAGGAAAATCAAGACATGTGGAAAGCCGTCATTGCGGCATTCCCGCGCATCTCAAACCCGAAGCCCGATATCTCCTATTCCGTTGATATGTCTGCTTACGACATGGATTTGGATCTTAAAAAAATTCTCGGATATGTCCGCTGTCAATTAGGTGGCGACAATGCTTGCTATACCTTTCTTGCGGGCGAGTGCAAGTGCATTAATTCCTCTCCCCAAGAAGCTGAGAATCAGTGTATTAGCGATGGCGCTACAATGTGTGAGCACGACCGCCGATGTCGCCGCGCATTCACTACTCAACCCAACGACGAGATCCCAACCGTTGATAAGCCAACACCTGATGAGAAATCATTTGTGTTTACCATGGTTGTTGTGCCTGAATCAGCCACAATTTATGTGAACTGGATCTTGGTTCATCCACCGTCCACAGACACATATCATATGCATAAGCTCCGCGTATACTCCTTCGATGATCCAGGCCACGTCGCCGCGCTTCACCACGATCTCGACAATATTCTGGACTGGGGCCTTAAGGTCCGGAAGCAGGAGATGGACAAACTCGCCATGGCGAGACTTAAGACTGGGGTTGTCCCCTTTGCGCCGTCGCCAGGGCCGCCCCCGGCCAAGAAGGTGAAGACGACACAGACTCCAGCCTGATTTCAAACATTGCCACGTCTGGAGCTGGCTTGATGTACGATACTCTACGTTGCGTGAGACAATTCAGAAGGGCAGACAGCCTGCCCACCCCACGTGAACCCACGAAGTCTGAGGCAGCATGCCATGGTGGAGGCGAAGGCAAGGAGAGGTACGTCAACCCTACGATCGATTCCCTACCCACGCTAACACGCCAAGCAGGAAAAGCCGCCTGCCATCATGAAAAGGCAGAGGATACGAGCTTTTCCGGATTGTGCTGAGAAAAGGGGGACGTTTAGCCATTGCATCCATAAAATTGAAAACTCATAACAAAAACACCCTCCCATCCTCTCGCGACCCCTTTCCTTTACTCTCCATCGCCACCCCTATCCCCTATGCGCAGACAAATCTCAAAATATTCCCAGCTTCTTGTGTGCATGCGCGTTGATTGTCGTGACGCGTCACACTGACAAGGCATAGTCCCCTTCCCTCCCTTCCCTCCTCCCCTACCCGCCCCTTGAAAAAGTATACCCTCGATGCCCTCGACAGGAAATAAATAACCCCCCACCCCCCCTCCACCCTCTCGACCTTAGCTTCTGCTATCCACAAACCGAATCCGCCTCCCCCCTTCCCCCTCCCCCTCCCCCTTCCCCCTTTTCTCCTAAATGGTAAGGATAACGATACGATTGCATAGAAGAATAATACATACTAAAAAAGGAGATGAGACAAGGAGGGAAGATATTGGAGTGGAAGAAGACCTGCGGTGGAGCAGCCTGATACGTCCACGACGACTAAAGCAAAGCGGCCATCATGCGAGAATCTACCAACTTTGATCACAAGATATCAGGTAGAAAGAGCGAGTCGTATGAAGGCGTCCCGTTGTTCAGAGACTCAGCTCAACCATAGCGGAAATGCCGATTATAACGCCCAGCTCGGTGGCGAAAAATGATCTGCCTCTACAAGGACAACGGAATTACAGTAGTTAAAGTATGCAGGTGTCTGAGATACAAACCCCACTTGATCGAACGCGCCTGTTCTGCGAAAGGCTTGGCTAGATGTGCAGGGATGAGGTGAGGTGGAAGAGGAATGGAATCGCTGGGTCTGGGGCATGATGCTGGGTGTGCGGTGGGAATGGGTATCTTGTTGGCCAGGGCGTGTGCTTGCGAGGTGCGCCGTGCAGGCCTTCTCGATAGCTACTTGATATTGATGGCTAGGCCTTGGCCACATGTATGCGTTGTGAGTATCTTTTTTTCTTCTTTTCTCTCAGTTTCCTAAGGAGCAGAAGAGTCAGGATCTTCACAAAAATATGAATGTTGTGGATGGATCGCTGGTCGATGCTCCGCTGACCGAAATTTGCGCACCGTTCTAGTCGACGCTGCGGGAATCGTGGGACGGGCGTTTGTATGGTAAGACACGCTATTGGTGTAAGACTACTATCTTCCCATGGGAAGATAGTTGTAAGGGTACTACCACGCCGCCCCAGGCGTTGGCGGAGGTGACGCAATTGGAGGAGCTTATTGCGCTGCTGTTGCTGTAGTTGCAGGATTTCAGGAAGGGTGGGAGAAGACATGTGGCGTACTGAGTATAAGAGACGTAGAGTTCGGTGCCTGCTGATTCGCTGCCGCTACTGGTTGCTTCAGCTCCTGTACTGACTATGCTGGCTGTGTTGCGTAGACTTTTTGTATCGCCGACGCCAACATTAGTTGTGCCCACACTTTGTATGCCTTTAGTGCCATTACTGCTAGTCGTTGTCGATGTTGAGTCGTTATGAACGCTTAAGACTTTTGGAGCAAATTTTGAATTGTGAATGGTTTAGGTTTACAGCCGTTTGATCATTGACAGGATGAGTAAGGCCGCAGTCGAAGAGCTGTAGTGGGTTTAGACAACAACAGAAGAGCCGCAAAGAAATTTGAGTTTGTATCATAGCCGTTAGAACGCAAGACTAGCTTGTCAGAGTAATCATAGTACAATCTTCTTCACCTATTAGGTCTTCTATCATCATCGCTGTTATTCCTCAAGTACATCTTTCCACCCAAACATGTGGTTTAGTAGCGTCCAGCAATCATCTCTCTCCTCCGTAAGAAATCTTATAAACCGGCTTCCTTTCTTCTTTCGGGGGTCCTCAACCGCCATGGGAAGCTGGCCAAAGTACAACCACTCAATCGTTGGCATTTGTGATGTATACGATTCCGCCTCTGCTAAGATTAGTTGCCGGTGGACACGCTCAAACTCATCATCGTAAGCTATGTCATACGATCCTGGCAGCAAGATGCAGCGGGAAGAGTAGTAGCTCTCGCAGTTTAACGAGAGGTTGTCGTTATACGAGTCTCGACTGAAGGCAAGCTTGCGTAGGAGTGGTAAGTGTGAAAGTTTGCTTCGCATTAGGCTGTGATCAATCAGCCAGTCGTGGCGCCAGCCAGCCTGGAAGCCAGCACTCAAGCGGAGTTGGGATAGAGTCTTGATGTGGGAAATGACCTCCAAAGCATGAGCAGAGATGCTCTTGGCATCCCATGTGAGACTCAGTGACGTCAGGTGCATAAAGGAGCTCGTCAGTAGAGGCAAGATTTGATCATTGAGAACGCATTCAGGCTGTTGATACGTCATATGGAGTGTGTTGATTTGCGGGTTGGCTTCCAAGAATGCGAGCGACTGAATCCTCCCAGGGAAGTTGGCCCAGACAAAGCATTTCAAAGAGGGTATGCAGCTACGAGTTTCAAAGAATTCCTCTATAGCTGGACTTGCCGAAGTGTTAATTGCTAAATTATTGAGTTTGTCAGTAACGAGCTTTTCGAGGAGCAACGCGTCGGCGAGTTGAAGGTAGGTAAGCCGTAGGTAACGTAATGCCGGGAAGTTGGGAATCATGCCTGCGAGATTCCCTTGGAATTTCTGATTGGTACAGTCTGCCCATGTCAAGCATTCCAGTGTCGGCGCACATATCTGTAGTATGCTGGTACAGAACTTAGAGAGATGGAGTGCCTTGGACTTGATGAAGAATGATGGCATAACTTCGAGGTGCAAAGTGGTGAGCGGCCACGATCCAGACGGCTGGGCAACGGGCCGAGCAACCATGAAGTCCTCGTCGACATAATGACGATCAAGACTGATCTGCTGGACTGATGAATTGGCTATAGCGTTGAGTAATGCTGGTCGTAAGGTCACACGATCTGTCAACGAGAGACGTTCGAGGTGGGGCAATGTCGCACGATGAGAGACCAGCGACTCCACCATCGGCATATATGAACCGAAAAAGACGTCGCATGCCGCTTTCAGTCGTTTGGATTGCTCAGCTCTTGGTAGATCACGGAACTCTTCGCTGAGTCCGATGTTATGACGGTGCGAAAGCCATCCGGGGTGAGTAGCCACCGTTATGCGACGAATGCATGGCCCGAGGGCAGGCTTACTCGGAAGGCCGTTTTTCTCTGTTCTTTCTGTAAATTCTGAATCCAGCTTCTGGATAATGTGCATTGTTCGGTCGCTATAATCTAAGAGCAGGCATCCAAACTGTCGCGAACGAGCTAATTGCCTGCAGTCACTGTTGACCAAGGCAAGTGATGGTAGCGCATCGGCATGAATTTTCTCCACGATGAGAGCTAGGATCTCGACAGGTAAATTGAGTAGCTGGGCTCGACTGGCTGGTTGTTGACCTTCTGATATGCGATCGAGGAGGAGAAAGTGGGGAGGGACTGATGCTCTGCCAAACTCGTCTCTTTCATTCCCAGAGAACGTTGGCATCATCAACTCTAATATCTCATGACCTTCGAGAGGACCATTTTGTTCGGGGCTATCCACTTGGTCTTGAGTAGCAGCATCACTCGTCCTGGGTTCATTTCTAAGCTCCACATTTCCATAGTCAGAAGATGGCACTGAATTATTGTCGCCAGTATGGCTGCTCAAGTCTTCCACGGGCTGCCTCCCATCCGCCGTTTCCTCCATTTCCGAGTGCTTTGATTAGCTAAATTAGCTGTCCCAATGGGCTTGAGCACTTTCGCAGAAGTTCTCAGACTATCAGCGAGGATATCAGTAATGAAACATTGTTGGAGGTGACTGCCTGACTCTATGAATGAGCTTGAAGACAAACACTCCGAATGAAGCCTCGTGAATCACGTCGCAAGCAAACACGTTTGCGCATTGGCATCACAAGCTAGAAGAAATCATTCGATGACTAGGTGTCACACAGAAAAAGCCCGGATGTGAAACTCAAAGTCAACAAGCTAACACAGCATAAGTTGAGATTGCGAGTTAGCAGGTACAATGGAGAGAAGACACAAATAGCAAGTCGAAGATTTATAGGAATCTCGGAGGGAGAAACTATTTTCCGAGGACGCAATCTACGCGTGCAGTACTCAATGTTCGCCGAATCGCCTGTGAAGCGCAATATGAATCTGCGGGTCTTCTTTTCAGCTTCACTTTCCCTCGTTGTGCTCATATGATGTTGGCATTAATTTCGGAATTCGTCCACTGCCCGTTTCACAGAGACGCTGAGAGTGCGGCATTGGTCGTCCCTCGTGGATCACCGATGCTAGCACGGTGCATTTGATTGAGGGCAAGGTCTTCATGAAGATTGGAGTCAATGTAGAGCTCAAGGTCTGTCAAGATTGTTTCTCCGCGGATGGTGTCAATGGGCTGCCACAGTAGGTAGATGCGTAAGCTCGCACAGTGCCTGGTTGCGTAACCTCTCACGGTGAGTGTTGCTTTCGCTCTACGGTGGGTCATGGAACACAATAAACTAATATCTGCGCTATCGCCCAGCCTCTAAGGGGCCCTCCCTAACGAAGCCCCTAAAGGTAAGTCTTGTTTGTCGCAATATTTTCATCATCTCACAACCCTTTCTCCTTCACCACATCGCAAAAACCATCTTCAATCCAGCTGTCTACAAAACTACGACACAAGAGCGTAACATCGTCGCAGACCTTCTGTATTCTTCGATGCGGTAGCAGTTGAGCTCGAGATACTGAGATATGCCAACATCATCGAGATCGACGGGCTGATTGAACAGCATCCTGCTCTTGGTTGGAATCATTCTGCAGCTGTTGCTGGCCGCTATAGCCAGAGAGCCGAGGATCGTCTCGCCATTCGCCCTGGAAGACTGTCCTGATACCGGTGATGAGTTTAGCCGTCTCGCCTGAACCAGGTCGTCCGCAGGTTATGGCCTTGGCCAGCATCTCGTATAGACCCGTCTCCGATTGTCTTTCAAATCGCGGAAGAATCGCCTTGTGAATGGTCTCGGTATGCTCCGCATCGCGCCGGAAAATGTATCCAAACCCTGTAAAGAAAGCGATATGAATGACGGAGCTCGGTAGACCGCGCTGACGTCTTTGTTCGATTATACTCGTGATGTATTGGTTGGCGGCAGCGTAGGCAGACAGGCCAATGCTTACGACGATCGAGGTTGTAGACGAAAAGCAGATGAAACAGTCCAACGGCTCATCATGAAATATCCCATCGAGATTCTTGGATCCCATTACCTTGGACTTCAACACAGCAGAAAAATCTTTCCAGGGCATGTGGTGAAACAGGCGTTCTCAGAGCACCATGGCAGCGTTCATCACACCACGAACAGGTGGCATGCTCGACCATCTGTACTTCGATGTGCTCATTCGCCCCGTCAACCAGATTCACATCGCCAGTTAGATTGGTCCTAACTGCTGAGGTCAATTTGGCATCAGCTGTGAGGGCCAAGACAGGAGATTTGGGGTCCTTCATGCTGATTCTGACACAATCAACACGTATGGGCAGATAGATACTTCCTAAACGACCATCTCCTGGATATGAGAAGTCAGCTAGCAAATTCTGGAAGTTTGTATCAACGGATACTGGATGCGTGCATGCGCGTATCGAAAAGGAGGGTTGGGGTGTTGAGGACACGGTCACCACAGCATGGTCGAGTCTCCACAGCATTGCCTTGTCTTGGAAAAGCTCGGCGTAATTGAAGCCTGCCTTGGATAGACTCATGTAGAGTTGCTCGGAAGCAAAGAGCCGGTCGGTAGAGGGGCGTTCAAAGGCTGAGCTGAATATACTTCGCCGCTGTAGCATGCAACTTCGGCGGCAACACAATTATCTTCATCTTGTTGCCGCTCTTTAGGTCCTCCACAACCCTAACAACAATCACCCTTCCCCACGTCACGACAACATCCGCCCCTATCTCAGCCATTCAGAATTAGAGACGCAGATCTCAGCCCTCAGGCTCAGGCCAGATTAATCTGTACGCCCAGCTCTGCCTTGAGCACGCTATCGCCCCAAAAGATCTCCGAGCTTCACGGTATCAGCGACTGATTTTGCATTGGGACAACAAAGCACAAGGAGGGACTCACCCCGCATTCCCAATATTCACAAAGGTCCCATCCGAGAACTTTCCGAGATTGACTAGGGCCTGGAACCAATCCTTCAGATCACCGTTGAAAGAGCCCGAGAAGGGCGTGTCTGGTAGAGCGCTATGCTGTGAGTAACCCAGAGTCAGTTATTGCGATGGCCTTCCTAGCTACGTTCCTTAAACGATTGAACGAAATCACTTACCACTGTCATCCCATGATTAACTCCCTCGTATATTTTCCAAGAAGTACCAAAGAGGTTGGGGATAGTTGCTGCTGGCCCAGCATCCCATCCAATTGGGAGCTGATCCCCTTCCCACTCAAGCCAGAGCATAAGTTCTGTGGCAGCGGGGGAGGTCGAGTCGCCCTTCGGACCCAGGAGGAAATCGAAGCAGATGTTGCCTTTAAAGGGGGAGGTATTGGTGCGAGTCCACTATGTCGGTCGGTTCAGCACGGACTGTATCTTCGCCGAGGGTTTTACTTTGCGAAAATGAGCTGCACTTACCTGATAAGTTGCGGGAATCGAATTGATGCTAGATATCGGATTCCCCAAGCCCTGGGTGAGGGCTACATTCGCATACCCTTTGCAAACGTTCTCGCTGCGAGAAAGTCGCTCAGCTAAACCACCGAAGATAAGCAAGGGCAAGGAAAGAAAACCTACGTATCGGGTACATTCTGAATGTGCGTCTCGCTGCCCCATACGACGCGCGAGCTCCCCCAGAACTATCGATGCTGTCGTAGTTCGTGCAAGAGGTCCCTTGCATCAAGCCGGCGCCATACATACTGTTAGCCACCAGCCACAGCGTGCCGTCCAAAATAATTTGCTGATCATTACCGCACATATTTGTCGCTGGCTGCGAGCTAGATACTGACGCTGTGCTGGGGCCCGCCTGGGGACTGGTGTTGGTGTTGTTTACTAAACCATTGCTCGGTGTTGGATCGGGATTCGTAGTAAGACTACTGTTGAGGTTCGAGCCAGGAAATGTACCAGACTCGAGGCTCGATCCGGTATCTTGCCCTTGGGAGAGGCTTTGAGGTCGAGAAGTAACGAATGAAAGCAGCGTGACCAGCACGACTGCTATTGGAGAAGAATGTACAAACATGTTCGTCGAAAGATTACCCAAGCCGACAAATGACAAGGAAGAAAAGAATTGAATTGACGGAACACATAATAAGTAAAGCGGACTGGGTGACATAGAGTAAAATGATACCCCTAGGAGATGACGATAATCCTGCGCTAATACCACCGACTCCGACTTCCGACCCGCATTCGTGTTTTGTGCAGACGGCAGACCTTGCAAAGTCGAAACGTATAATCACGGATATGAAACGGCGAGAATTTGTTGCTTCAGCCTCTAGGATTCAAAGTATTGTGAATGACCTTGCTATCCACGTCAATTCAACGCTAGATCAGTGTCCATCCAAAAAGGCAGTATGCCCAAGGTAGGAATGTCTATTACCTCGCCCACCTCATCCCCTCATCTCTAACCCCACAGTCCTCCAAAAGGAGCCACTGAGCTGGACTATCAGTAATCTACACCATCCTGGCTCCTCGACCTCTCCTGGATCCTGTGCATCTCCTTGAAAAGCCTGCTCGCAGAATCGCCGCCCCTCTCCCCCATCCGAAATCGCATCATGGCTGGACTACTTATCCACCGCAATCCAACACTCTACGTCCTTTGAACACGAAATTTAACTGTCCCGAAACGAAGCCGAGGAATGTCCAAACTCCGGCGACTTTAGAATTTCTCGAGGTGTGACGAATGACACGGAACGTCAATATTGTCGATTCTTTGAGTTGAGTATACGCGACGCGGGATATTAACTAGCAACTTCTGTTTCGCATACCCTAGCGTTTCATGGAAAGCGCACACTATGGAAATTGGATGATGCTTGTGTGAGATTTCTTACTTTTGACGAGTGAAGAATCTTAGGGGGAACTCATCATCCTTGAAAGGTTCTTTCGTTGAAGGAAATTGAGAAGCGTGGTACTGAGCCACGGGCTGGCGTTGCAAAGACCCCGATGCGCTTGAAGCAAATAAACGATATCTCTGGATACAAAGGTCTAACGAGCTCGTAGCATGTTTAATGCAGCAGCTCCAAACTTGCGACTGGGCAATGTAGCAATGTCGTCTACTCGCCGCCGAGGTATGAAATAGCACTCATAGCTACATAAACATTGTAGGCAAGGCTTGAACGACCTTCCTTCACGCCAGCCTCAGATTCCATAAGGCAACCAACGAATGAGGTCGATTTATTCCGTACATCTTCAAGTTGCTGAAGCTAAGGCCCTTCGCACGACAGCGTATTCATTCCGATATGCCAGTAGACTAAAGCACGCTCATCGATACATCACACGAGGGTCCGAACGAGCTACTCGTTCATCTAGCGTATTCATCGATGAAGCTTCACTTTGTAAGTGTCGCTTAAGGGATAAGAAAGCGGTGTTACAAGATTTAAAGAAGGATGACAGATAACCTTTGGGTATGTCTTACTAGTGGATTAATAGCGATAGACTTTATCGACTGCAGACGTCGTGACTGTCAGTGCATATCACTCCTTTTATAAAGACGTCGCGTAAACGACCTATTACATACTTTGCCCATCTTGCATCGCTGTCAGACTCATCCCCAGAGAATTGTGGTCTTTTATCCTCTTTCTATCACCCCGCAAAAACCTCGACCTTCTTTCCCACTATCCTTCTTCCACTTTCGAAGCATTATCTCCTACTGCCACGCCCACGGCGAAGTCACTCTCAGGTGTAAGCCTTTCTAAGAAAGTACTCCTGCTATGCGTCCCTTTGAGCTACTCTGCATATCACTAGCAGTATTGGAGGTGTATATTCTAAACAATACCTCCCCACTAGCCGGCCCCCTTCGTGAAGGGTTCCTTCGGCTGACTCTCTTCGTTTCCTCTAGAAGCCTCATCGTTCAATTCGAATGCATCTGCTAATATAATTAATATTTCAAATATTCTTTAAATCTGCACGACCTGCTATGCTCCCAGCCCTACGAGCATTTGACCATACAGAAAATGTGACGGGTTTAGATGCATGCCAACAATCAAAATGCCTAACGAAAAAAAAAAGTCTCTAGAGACTTTTTTTCTAAATCGAAAGCCGAATGTCTACTACCACTTCCCCCCTTCTCTTCATCGAGGGCGAAGATCCCTCTTCTATTCGTCCCTTCGAGCTGCTCTACACCACAGCCAGTCAGCCATCTCACCGGCGCACAACAACCCGACCACCCCCCACCCAGATTCCAAGAATCCTACCCCCCACCCAAACACCCTGCCTTCGACCCCCCTTCCCCCCCCCACCAAACGACGACCTAACTCGCGAACTCGACTTTCCAAAGCCCCCATCGTCGCTATAAACTCCCACCCACAATCCCCCCCCCCCCCCCCCCCCCCCCTTACTCCTAGAGCAGATCTCCCAGAACACAAATCCCACCCCCTAATCGATCACCTGACTGCCTTGGCCTTACAAGCTCCTTCCTGAGGGCGCAAGTGCTCCTCGCTTTACTCGCCTGCCTATGTCAGAAAGACAGGGAAGTACCAAGGGGGCGGACTCACTGGGACGGTTCCCCCCGTTCTCCGCTTCTTCTATCTCTGGCGCGAGAATCTACTTGCTTTCCTTGCAAAATATCTGTCATATATTGGGAAAGGGGGAAGGGGGGAAAGGGGGAAGGGGTCTCGATCTCCGTGTTCGCGGCTATTGAGCTTCCTTCTTCTTAGCCCAGATTCGAGGACAAGCTTCTCGTTACCTCATTGCCTTTGCTGGGTGCTTTGCGGCTGGAGGCGAATGCCAGGCGCTATTCTCGTACTGGCAGCTTTTCTGACCTTGGTGCCCTTCTTGCTACCCTCTTGTAGGATTTGGTGCAGCTGGTGGGTATGATTCCCCGACTACCGGGGTCTTAGTTTCTATAACAGATGGTGTTTGCGACGCAATGGAGAGATCAGACTGCGTTGACATGCGTGCGGCTTTGGAGAATTGGACAGATTAATGGACTGCAGCGCAGGCAGATGGCTGATCAAAGACAGGAACTCGTTGTCTGTGAGGGCAAAACCACTGTTTCACATATCCCTTATACTCATTTTCGCAGAGAAGAAGTCAGGCCTTTCCGTTTTTCCACTTTGAGATTTTGTCGTGACAACTGGTTTGAAGAATAAATGATCAGGCGAGTGTTGCTCGTACTCCTCACTATCAACGTCAGCACTGATTTTGGCTACTAAATGTAGCTTCGCCTACTAAGGATTGTCCTTTGGCTCCGATCCATCAAGACCGAGACTGCAATAGGAACACCTAACGTAATGATCGCTCCTTGAGCTTAAGGGGGAGGAGGAGGTGGGCAATAATGCCAGCCTGGATCAATAAGCTGTAGAATCTTTAGTAGGATCGCTAACAACAATAAAAACGACAATGAGAATTCACTTTTTGTATCTTGCATAGCTAGCCTCTTTCTCCTTGTCTGAGCGCGAAGGAGTCCTATTTACCGGGAGGATCATTAGGATGGTCCTTGTCTTGTCTTGATTTCGGTGGTTAGGCGGAGAAGAGTAAACATTGTGGCTTGGAAATGGATGGGAAGAGGATGAAAGGCTTGGGAGAAGGTTCTTTGGCATTTGGGGCGAGAAAGAAAAACAGGTTCCTGTAAGGTTGGAGGGGGAATCGGGTTGGCTGGTCAATGACGGGCGACAAAGAGCTAGGGGAGTCTGGATATGGAGGCCGATGGGACTGCGAGGAGAAGGTGGAGAATACAAATAGGAGATTGCGAGCCCGGTGGGAAAGCAAGAGACTATTGGACGTGGGGGACTGTGGGTGCGCAAGGAGCAGGTAATGCTGCTACTGTCGTATGGTCGTCGAATATCGATAGGTTTCCACCATCATCGATGCTCGGCAACACTGGGCGATTATATGTACCAAATGGTATTGTCTTCATGTCGGCGTGATTCATGTAGGAACCCTTCGATATATTACGCAACTGGTGCTATTGTGGCATTTCACTGAGATGCATCCCTCTCAAATCACCATTCTTGTCGATGGATATTCTTCATAGCTGAACAAGCTCGTCGGCGAGAACAGGCTTGGCGTTTTGGACCTCAGCTTCATTGACAACCTAATGTTTGACTTGGCCCCAGATTTGCTAAGACTTGATGATCATCGGCAACGGAGACTTCTTTCCTATGGGTCTACTTGCGACAACGCCTTTTGTAAGTCGTATCGTCGGCAGGCCGGCGCCGACTTGGGAGGCAGTCTCGCTGGCCTCGCGTAGGTGGCTCTTATCGTTGAGTCTAATTACCAATGCAAGTGGAATAACTGAGAACCATAGGAGGATCGGGATGCCTGTCAGCTTGATGCTAGCAGCGCCTCGGATCGTGTCCATCAGAATAGACTGGCTGGCTTGACACGAAAGATATGCTATTATACGCGGAGGCTAGCGATGAAGGCTCGATGCCAACTTCCATTGCCGCTGAAGCTAGGTAGAGCTGTTGTATGATCGATGCACTTTCTGATCCAATTCGATCGATATATTGCCTGGTCCTTACTTTGAATTCTTGTATGCATGGCATCTGCCTCTAACCAACATTGAAGTGGAAGGTGTGAAGTCACTTAAGAATCTGAAATCGACGTGCAGTCCTGAGAGCTTTGGCTAGCCTAGCAGACATCGTGTGATCACGTCTTGATTTACCCTTCTATGCCAGGCCTGGTTCTGCCCATATACGATGCCTTTGGACCTTGCCAGCTGCGAGCCTCGAAGAGTCTCATCACAATCACGGTATGAACACCCTGGCCTGGTCGATGTATGGTCTTTTGAACGAATGGTTGCAGTGGCTAGCAAGGCCTTGTGTCGGAGGGTCAAGTAACGATCGTCATGCCCAACGTCCTGTCGACCTGGATCCACGCGGTCACAGCCGCGGTCACCTCCGCGTAGTTCGGTACTGCGATTGAGAGCGCTGTAGTCTTTTCTCTCGCATCAGCCAAAACTTTCGAACTGGCAGGCGACGCGTTGTAGATGGCCTTGAGCCTCTTTCTGGGTAGATTTGGTGGAGCTTCGCGCAAGGGTTCGCGGGCGCGAACAAGCGTGGTTGGAGGATGAAGGGAAGAGGGTGGAAGGTGGAGGATGGAGGGTGGAGGCAGTGAATTGAGTATTAGCCGTTACTACTTTTGCACGGCAAATGTGATGGGAGGGTCAAAATGCTGGCTCTCGTTGATGATCGCAAGCTGGAGCGCGGGGTGGAGGGCACGAACATGCACTTTTCCTCGCGGGACCGGAAAAATAGATTTTCCGAGGGAGCAGAGAAGTCAGCAAAAACAATCATTCCTTCCATTGTTCATATGTCCGTGAGCAATCAAGTCTACCTCCTGATAGCTACCAGACAAAGAATTTAGTGACCCCAGATCCCTTATCTCCTACTGATGTTAGATTACCACACCACACCTTACACCACCCCACACCCAATCATACCCCCGCACCTCTACTCTTGCCGAGTTGGTGTTGTCCTGCAAAGCATCTACCTCGCCCCACACTTCAATCGCTCTGGGCCATTTACGATACGCTATGTCCAGCGGCCTGAGGGTAGCCGCTTGGTGGCTAGGAAGAGGCGCCCCGCAACTCCTGTCTAGACGGTGATCACGGAGTGCATAATATACCACAATGCAAAGCTGGGATGTGAGGGACCAACGCTGCGAGGCAGGCTGGGCTGTGTGTTTGTTCTCAGGGAGAAGAGAGAGAAGAGGCGGGGAGGGTAGTCTCTCGGCGGCGCAAAGGAAGGAGGTGAGCATTCTCATAATCCACACCCGTGAGATTCTTCTGACCAGAGCACAGTGACCCTCACATCAAACGCGATTTCTGATTTGGCATAAAATTGAATGTGCAGGCTCGAATGAAGACACAAATCGGCCCTCGAAGGGCATGGACACATTTGGACGAAGTGTTTGACTCAATCATTTCTCATGGGGGCGCAGAGACGAGCTATTGCTCCCATTGCGCAGGGAAAGAGGTGAGCGATCTCTGAGTTGATCAATATTACATTGTTCTAATTAAAGTGCAGGATGCCTCGCCTCAAAGTGAAATTTCCTCTCAGACATCTTACCTTTATCGGGGTTCATTGAAAGACATAAAGATGAAGACACAGGGCAGACATGGAACTACTCTCGAAGGGTATGCGGAGGTGTTCAAGTTTGGTCTGGTCTCACCAGAGTCACCACCGACAGCACCGGGTCAAGGACGATTGAGGTGCGTTAGGGAGAAGGGGGCTGTCGGACGCCAGTATCATAGCCATTTGGCATACAGAACAGTACTACGGATTTGAAACAGCCGGCAATTGTCTCCGACGCAGCTCTCCCATAATATTCGTCGTAACCTCAGCACAGCGGATTGTTGCCTAAAGACTTACAATAATCACGCTGAAGGACTGGAGAACGCCGCATCCTCCGAACATACTTTTTCATTCTCAATACCCTCAGATCATCGTCAAATATACCCAAAAATGTCGCATTCGCAATGCCAATGAAAGGATGGTCGAAACAATCAATCCGCTCGGCGTGGCTCAAGAATTTGCAGCGTCGCCCAGGTCATCTCAAGCCAGATATCATGAGACTCCTAAAGTCACGAGCTGGAAGATCGCAGCGGTTCTGAGCCACTTCAACATACCACGCCAGTCCACCTCCACCCGGACGTCACTGGCACTGGCCCGCCTCAATGTGCGCTCTTCCACATCGCCGAACACCTAAACACCCGATCCCTCGTTGAGACTTACCGACGGCCTGTGAAGCTTTCTTGGTCGCATCAAATGGCCCCTGATATTTATTCATGTCTTACCATCTTACGCCGACAAATACACGAATACCAGCAGATTGCCGCTTCAAGTTGGATTCATTTTCTTCTTCCACGGAACGTGAGAAAGTCGCAAGTCATTCAGAAGAAGAAATCTTGAGCCTGAAGCATGCCGTGCAAGGCCTGGAAGGGCGAACAATGCCCGAACCATGTATCCCCTACTTCTGTCAAAGACTACATTGCCCAAGAGGAGGTCTGGAGAAGAAAGATAATACTGCGACAGCACATCGTTCGCCGTCAGCTATTTAAAAGTACGCTCACCACTCCAATCACGCGTCGTGTTTCACGAGTCACAACAGATGGCCCGCCCAATCGATGCAGGACTACCGAATACAAGCGTGAGTGTTCACAATGGTAATCCAACGCTTGTGGCTTGCTGGTAACTACACCAGAAGCACTCTCAATGATGAGACGGATATCTCTGCGCAAGTTCATATGGCGGGTTGTGCCTTCCAACGATTTCTCTTGATCTATTCTTGTATTGTTCTAGGGGAATCATTCGCCAGGTCAAGGCGGAAGGCCATTCGTGGGAAGTGCCTCTTTGATGCAGCGTCCTTTGCCTGGGAAGTATGGCTCCTGTAAAACCTCAATTTCTACCCACGTCATCTCCACCCACGGACGCTCTATGTGCTTCAGGTCTACGGGATCTCCAATTTACGGGGCAAATAGGCGTGTATACTTGTGTCCTCAAACACTGAGAGCGCGAAGGTTCCCCCTCATCTCTCCAGGGAATCAGGAGATCCACCCGATGCGTGTTTTTGGCTCCTGGCCTGCTCAGCTCTCTCCAAGACCTTGCGAGCTGCACCTCCCTCTTCCCAATGTAACCCAAAGCTTTCCACCTGCTTGATCAGCGCGCCCAGAAGCTCGTACAAGAGCATCAATCCCAGCCTTCCTCCCCCTGCTCTCATACCTCCCACGAACCAGTCCCTCCCAAAAGTCTTGGCATACGAAAAATTCGCCACTTATAGCAACACTGTTCTCTCCAGCGCCCCCCCCTTCCCATTGCCCCAGTTAACACTCGGCACAAGTCGGCAAGATGAGGGCGGATAGATAGGCAATCGTCGGTTGCTCATGGTGGCGGTGGGGCTACGGTAATGGTGGCCTCTCAGTATTGGCCGTTGCCAATGTGTTCACACACTTCTTCAGCCAGTGTCAGGCAGTAAACCCAGCGGGAGATTAGACGCCCTCGCCACTTCGCCCTTTTTCAAGTCTTGTGGGTCCCAGTCTTTCTTAATTCTTCTCCAACGTTACAAATACCACAATTTTCGTCCTGCCATCCAGACAGGTACCACCTACCTAGCTTTCAAGCGTACTACATCATTCATCATTGGCTTCAAATCATATTGCCTATTATCAGTCATCAGAAATTTGAGAATGCAAGCAACTATGGAGGATTTCGTGCAATTTTTGTTTAGCAGCGTCAGAGGATATTTTGCGAGAGAGATGCCACATTCACAGGCATTGCCAATGCCAACTCGGTCGAGCCATCTAGTGACAGCTACCCTGACCACATCAGCGAAGGGGGCGATCGAGGGGTCTGCAGTCACCATGCTCATTGTGGAGGGCATGGGACGATTTCAATTCTGCGTCATTTTGGTTTTTTTGATCATCGTCTTCGTGGCAGGATCACTGTTCACCCTACCCAGAACGATTGCCGTAACATCTAGGGATTCGCCAGAGGTACTATCCTCTGGTGACTCGATCGCAGCCTCAACAGAGGCCAGCCGACGGCGACATCTTGGCCAACAACGCTCGGGATTCTCGCGTGTTGCATACGCCGAAAAAAACCATGCCGAGCCAAGAAAGGTCAAAAGACCTACCGGGCGACAATCTCTGCTTTGAAATTTGTGGTGGCTGCGAGGAATACTGTAATCAAGGGACTTCAGAGCGATGTTGAACATCAAGTCCGAATTCAGCAAGCCCTCAGGGCTGAAGTCGACAGCGACTTCCAGATTCAGCAAAATCTGGAGGCGCGAATAGAAATCCAGGTTCAGATGCAGGAAGACACAGATGTCCTATTAGAAAACCAGGTCCAGATCAACAAAGACCTGGAAGGTCTCCATCGTCGGACCGAGACCAGCGAGGCTTTGATACGCGCCTTGTGGGACCGAGAGGTCAAATTTCTCAAAGAAGATGCCGACAAAGCCATGGCCGAGGCAAATAACAATATCAAGGCACTCGCCATTCAGAACGGCAGTCTGGTCACTCGCAATAGCAGTCTGCAAAATGAACTGCGTGAAGCTCGTCGCCAGGGCGAGGAAGCCCTTGCCACCGCACAAAAGCGCATAGCGGCAGGTGAAGGAGAGATTCTTGGTATGCACCAAGAGCTCGAGGATGCTAAGGGGCTGCGAGCTCGTGATCAGACAACGTTACACGGGCGAAAGACAGCTATTAAAGCTCTTCGTCAGAAACTGAGGGAAGAGGAAAACCAACGAAAAGCGTTAGTGGCAGATCATGGGAGGCAGCTGGAGGAAGCCGAGGGAGTTGCACTTAGCTTGCGCGGAGACATTAATAATCTCCAGTCGGAGGTGAAGTCCCTGGAAGAATTACCGAGGACGTACAAAAAGGAGCTCCAGCACTGGAAAGGAAGGGTCACAAGCCTTCTCCAGGAAATGGTTACAGAAGGCGCTGAGGAGGAATCCGAACCAATATTCAAGCCACAGGACGCTTGTTCTCCTCGCTCATCCTCACCCGTCCCTTCAACACCTGCACCTACCTCAGTGATTGACAGTCCTGCTCCTCTTACATCAATTGTCCGTCACGATTCACCAGCCGAACCTACGGACCCTGCCTGTCCAGACTCACCCAGTCCCTCTCAATCCTCGAAAAGCCCTCCTCTTCCTGCAAATTCGCCCGCCGAAGAAGGCCTCCCGCGAGTGACTCAAGGAGGAGAGGATGGAGCTGGAGATCAATTAGGTCAATCACAATTCCCGGACCTCTATCTAAACCCGAGTACTACACCCCTGTCACCGGTTACAATCGGTGTCTCGGACCAGAAAGCTCCTGAGGAGCCGTGCTTACTGGATGCTATCGACAAACCGTCGACATCTTCACCAGAAGAAGAGAAGCATACGAGACTTGATCCGGCAGAAGTGTCGAAACGCATTGAGGAAACCGTCAATGAGCCTTGCAGACCTATCTCGGCTTCGAACGAGACGAGTGCCGATCCCACAACTAACATGCTAGGGATTCCTAATATCAGAGAGCTTGTGGGTAACAAGCCTCGATCAGCAATAGCGGCAAATGCATTAGATGCCGTGAGGGCCCAGTATCTGCCGGACGTCAATCACAGTGTCGCAAAAAGCGCTGGCCCTGGGAACATGTCTAACGAAGATCTTTTCAAAGCAAAGGCACCTCCGTCTCCCTCTCGACATATAGAGCCCGTCAAGACTCAGGAGATTGCGCAGAAGGATGAAAAGAGTCTGCTGACGAGCACAACGCAGGAGACAGCGCCCGTCAACTCCCGTGAGCCGAATGCCCGCTTTGAACGTCCTGTGCAGGATATCAGTGCGCCGACGAACAACCTCCGTCATCCCGATCGGCATGTCCCCACTCACACTGGTCGACCTGCCGCTGACGGAAAGCTGGAAACGTCCACTCTTCCTGAAGTAGAAGAACATGCGGGGCCAAGCACCAAAGCATCCGCAAAATCTGTACCGCCCCATGCAAGAACCTCAAGGCCAATAAAGGCTCAAGAAGAGGGATCGTCAATGAGCTTTACCGACAAATTACTGATGGCGGGGGGTCATAGACCGATCGCAAGGGGACAGAGTACGACCGTTACTAGGCCAAATGAGGTTGGCAACGCAAAGAATTCGTCGAGTGGTGGACAGCTGCACGGATCATCGCTGAAGTCCAAAGTTCCTCAGGGGCATGAAGACACTCGGCTGAGGTCTGAAGCTTCGCTCAGTTCAGTAACACCCGTCTCCACTCCAGCAGTCGAACTCCAAAGCAACCGTGCCAGACTCGACAATGTTGAGCATCCCTCAACTCTACAACCCTCCCCACATCCGTCATCATCTTCCAAGCCTCCCATCCCTATCTTCACATCCACCAGCGCTTCTAAACCGCCGAATACTGCTCCAAAGCCAGAGCATGCACTACCTGAGCATAACTCAGCTCTACGCCCCTCCTCACATCCGTCATCATCTTCCAAGCCTACCTTCCTCACTTCCACCTCCAACAACGCCTCCATACCGCCGATTATTGCCCCAAAGACGGAGCATGCACCACCTGAGCATGGTCAGTTCTCCACTGCGGAGCTGTTCCAAGCAAGAGGCCTTGGAACCCCACGTGGCATCACCAGTAAGGCAACCAGAAATGCCAGAGGTCGAAATCCATAGAGCAGTGCAGATTCAAACTCAACCGCCAAACAAGATGGAAAGATCGATCAGAGAAAGCTTGGGTCACACAATCCCCTCAACCCAGCCGCAGCAGTCTTCGCCCAAGGACGTTATCCGGGCAGTTGCCAGACACCAGACCCCTCGCCTTCAACCCTACCTCCTCATCTTCGACCCCAACCCCAACCCCAATCCCAACCTCCCGTCCGCCCTCACCTACAGCCCATCATCTCACCCAATCCCCCCAACCCTTCCTCCTGGCCCGTCAAAAGCAAACAGCGAAAACGCGAAGAGTTCGAAGCACGTCTCAACCCACAAATGTGTGTGGAAGATAGGAATTGCAGAGACGAGGACTGTCTCGGCGCGCATCATAGCGTCAAGAGCCCGCTCGATCGGGATCTGCAGGTTAATATGTGGTGTGCGAAGTCGGCGGTGGAGTGTATGGGTGAGGCTGGGGTTGGGGGGTGTAGGAAGGCGCATGGGAGCCCGGCTTGTCGGAGTTTGTAGGGGGAGAGGGGAGGAGAAGGAAGGGGGAAGGGGGAAATGGGGGGGAGGGGAAGGGGGGGAAGGGGGGAAGGGAAGGGGAGGAGGGGGGAGGGCGTGGAATAATTACGGAAAAGGGAACCGAACGGAAGCAAGCCTTGTGTGCGGTGGAGGAGGATGGCAGCGAGAGGGGTTGTGTGTGTTCCACGTGCATCTGAATTTGTTGGCACCGGGTGGCTGGTCGGGGTAGGGAAATGAGTGTCTTGGTGATCGTGAGTCACGTGGAGCTTGGACTCTGCGGGCGGGGAAGAGAAGGGGGGTTGGTCATTGGTATGGCATCGTGGGCAAATCAGTATCTCGATGGCCGTGAGCTCCGTGGGAATGCAATCTCCTACGAGCGGGGAGAAAGAAGGGGGGAGGGGGGGGTTAGTGATAGTGAAAGTGGTATGCAAGAACGACTGGTTGGGTGGGGATGGGAGTTTTATGGCTGCTTGAGACAGCGAGTTTCTCGAGCCTGGGCTACTGCGAAAGCGTACGAGTGGGTGTGTTAGTCTTTAGTAGCGATTGATGGGGATATGTGCTGAGCGTTTGCGATGTTTATTTAGCATGCGAGGAAGATGTGCGTTCCGAGGGTGGAGGTGTTGCTGGAAGTGGTGATGGTTAATTCGAATCGTAGTCTCCATTCTTAATGAACGGGCAGTTTTGAATCCTATATGCTTCTGCTTTGCTACAAAGTCTTCAAGCAAGCGTCCTATTCATTCATCCTTGTTGCAAATCTCCCTGCCCTCGGCTGTGTTGATCCTGAAGCTGTGCCTGTATCGCCGGCCCAGCGGTATCACTATAGAAAGTCCGGAAGCCAATGCGCATTCCTACCCTTCTTTAAGTAGTTGATATTTTTCTATCCCTAAATCCGTACGCTCGTCGCAGACTGTAAGGCAGGTCGTTCACCCTCGTAGGAAACTTGCTCGTTATCTACGAGGGTGCCTCTTCTCCAATGAGACCTGTTGATGGAGCAGTCCAACGGCGTCTTGAATCGCATATTCAACCCTATACGCCTTGATGCCTGCCTGCCCATTTCTTTCTCACAGGGCCCATTCTTATCCCTGAACCCCTACCCCGGTGTAAAGTCCCATCTCTTAGCAGCGGGCATGCCGATCCTCCAAGCTATCGACGCGAAGCTGATGCACGTGATGCCGTGTTCGTGCCAAAGACGCGCCATTCCCAACTGTCGGAGAGTCAATCGAAAATGCTTGACGCTGGGGTCCCTGGCACTGGCCCTGGCCCAAGATCGCGAATTGAGATGTCCCGCGCAGCACAGGCCTGCATCCTGAAGAGGTCTTTACGCCATGCCTCCTACTTCCCAACTCCTCCTCCTCCTCCTCCTCCTCCTCATCCTCCTCCATCGTCTTCACCGCCACTTTCCACTTCAACCCCGCTGAAGACTTCCAGATCTGCACCACAGTGGCCAGGTGGTGGTGGAGAGAAAGACTACTGCTATTGCGAACGATGTTGATCCCTGCCATCAACTTCCACACGCTGCGCAACCCTGAAACAAAAGTTGGGCAACGAGGGACTGGAAAAGACTATAAGGACGAGATCTCACAGCTAAAAGACAAGGGGGGAGCGCAAGTTTTAGGGCAGATGGTAGGCCCAAACATGCGATGAGACCGAAGCGAGGTGGGTTGAAAAATCAGGCTAGGCTGGGTGCCGTGCAAGAACACGCCGTGTCTCGTGCAACAGCGGAGCGCCTGGCATAAGCATTGGGAGGGCAATCAATGGGAGTGAACGACGCTATGAGCGATCAATCAATATCTTGGGCTACGCGCCAGTTATTCTGGGAAGATTGTTTGAAGCAAACGGCAAAGCGCTTCACACTGTTTGTTAAGAGGTTAGATCATTCAGACTTTGTTCAGGTGGGGAGGAGGTCATACACTACAAGAGACAATGATGCCGGAGCAGAAGACTGAAGAGATGACACAGTGGAGTGGAGGAGAAGCCGGCAGGGTCGCCAAGTGCCGCAAGATACGTCGGGCGCTTGCAGAAACGGCGTAGGGAAAAGGGAGACGTGCTCAAAACGAGGCTCTTGGAGGAGAGGGGTAGGAGGAGGCTGCAATATAAGTGACAGGGGAGGTAAAAGATAAGGAAGAAGCGAGCCTATTACTGATAGTCATTGACTGGGAGCGGTGTTTGGGAACGTACTGGACTGAGGCAGGAATGAAAAATGCGTGAAAACTGGGAGCCAGGGGTGGGGCCGCAAGGTGAGGTCGAGGCTGTCGTGAGGTGAAGCTGTAAGGCAATACATATTGAGCAATGGAAGGGTCAAGACTCAAGGAGGCGAAGGCGGCTACAAATCATGGCACGAAGGAATCGCTAGATCGCTATGAGAGATTTCAGAGAGTAAGGGGGAACGAGGGGTGGTGATTTGATAGTAAAAGGAGATGTAGGGATGGTGGAGTGGAGTCAAGCTACACTGGAAGGCAAGAATAGAGGCAGGAGGAATATTCAGGGGGTATGATACGTAGAGCGATCATTCTTTTGGGTAGGGGCTACAATGACGTTGATGGGGAATGCGGAGGGGGCAAAACCGTGGGATTGTCAGCAAAATGCTTCCGATATGGCCGAAGATGATACGCGGTGTGGAAGTTGGCCGATCAAATGAGCAACCTTCACCTTGAATCGGGAGATCTTCCGATTTTGTTCATGCGCTATCCTCGTCGCCGCGATCTTCTCATCACTGTCTTCCTCAGCATATGCCCACCAACACAACATCTTCGCTCCTGGTACGTTATATGCAAGGACAATCATACCATTGGTACGATATCCAAATCAGCCATAGCGCTTCACTCTTTCGAAACCTTACGAAAAAGAGCCAATCTAATGCACCTATCCGCAAGCGTATGCAGCTTTGAGGGTCTAACGATACCAGGTCACATCTTTCTGCAGCTTCACTTCGTGAGCTACTTCTTCACTTAGTAAAGACTTCGAGGGGAACGCTGTGAAGTTGCAGGTAATTTCCCAATACTGCTGGGCCACCACCTTTCGCCTTCCGCGTGGTGAGCCACTTCTCTCCCCTTCGTTCCCTCTTCACCTTTCCTAGTGAATGAATGATGAGCAGATTCGGAGAGGCAAGTTCTTTCAATCTGACGCTCTTGATTTTCTTGCAGTGCCTTCAGCCTTTCACCTATCGCCCGAGGGTTTTCTTTCAAAGTGTGATTCATTCTCGACGATAAATCACAGAGTGGATGGCAGGAATCCGAGATGTAACACTCGATAACTATGACGCAAAGTGGGGTAGAAAGGTGTTATAAGAAATCGCAATTTCCTTCGGCTGTAGCTCTCCTCCTCTTCGCAATTACTCTTTCATCCCAGCGCTTCCTTCTACCTCTCACTACTCCCCAGGCTACGCAGCACATCTTCCACCTCCGCCGGCATCTCAGTCCGTAGTACAATCTCTCGCGATTAACGTTGCAAAAATGGCTATCACCGAACTGAACAGCCACGAGCAAGAAAATTCGGTACAAGTGATCCAGAAATGCCTAGCCAATCCAGGAGGATTGAAAGTAAGCTCAATCAACGAACCCTCTGCCCTGCCTTCGCCGTAATCCTCTCACTTGATCTCCACCTATCTCTGCCTCAAAAACGAATCATACTAATACCACCGCCGTCTCACAGGTAGATTACGACATCATGCAGCGCGAACTCAACTACAACACCAAACAAGCTGCCAAATCCGCCTGGGGCCGCGTTCGCCGCAAGATCATGACGCCTAACAGCCCCGCCTCAAGTGGACGCGACTCTCGTAATAAGCCTACCTCCGCCTCTGCCACGCCCAATGCGACGCCCAGAAAGAAACGCGAGCGCGAGAGCGATGAGGAGGAGCTGAGAACACCTAGCAAGAAGGAGAAGAGAATCGCTGGGAATAGTAAGGATGAGAAAAGTGGCGAGGCTGTGGCGGTCGTTGGAGGCGGAGTGATTGGCAAAGTGGGGAAGCGTGGGGGAGTCGGTGGATGGCGTGAATTCGGCGGCGGCGAGAGTGGAGAAGGCGGGATGCGCGATAAGCAGAGCGGAGATGATGAATCAGCAGGGTTTGAGCCGTGGGGGGAGGTCAACTTTGCGCAGCATGGCGCCGGTGGTGAGTGAGTGGGATTCGAGGCGGGAAATGGGGGAGGAAAGCACGCGCCTACGGGCTCTGTGATATTGCAAGGAATCGAGATGACAAGAGTAGGCGATGGGAGCATGTCATTCATAGACATGTATAACTACGCACGTGGAGGCAATTGATGTTTGCTCCTCCTGCTTCTCCACGATCCCAGATCTTCCTCCTGTAGAACACGAGGCCAGCCACCAACTTCGTCCAATTCATTTCCTAGTTCCTTTTATCCTGTATAGGCCAGGACCAACTCTACCCACCTAACCCTCTCAAAGAGTAGCCACCACACTCAATCACGCCTTAAGCATCCACCACCACCACAGATATCTGCACGTCCCTCCCGTTCCTCCCGTTCCTACCTTCTCGCTATGAACCTCCCAACACTTCGAATGGCGCTATATACAGACAGCGCACAGCAAGCTATCCCACAACACCAGAACCATTTCGTCTATCCAGTACCACATCTCAATCAAACATCCCAGCTATCTAGAGGATAGCCTCCTTACGCTGGTCGCGTTGGACAGTCTTGGTACGTGGATTTTACCACGGTACGGTGCGGACGGGTCGCGCTTGCTTGCGCTATCGTGTCGTGTCGTGGTGGGTGAGAAATGGGATGGGATGTTTAACCATGGCCAAGGGAGGAGAAGGGGGGGGGGAGAAGGGCGGAGGCCACGAACCTCTCTCTCGTCGCCTGCTTCGGAGAAAGGTTGCTCACTCCCGCCCTAGAAGGCGTCGGAATTTAGCGTCTAGAATTGCTCGATCTTGCGATGTGGTATATGGTGCTTTGTTCTGTTTGGGTATCCCTGTTTTCGGCTTGGTGGTCATGATGTTCGATTCTAACAAGGATCGCGTCAATCTTTTGTAGAGGGGTTTCCTGCAGTTGCGAAAGAATTTGGGTCCTGTCCGGTCGCTTGCAGGCCTGGTGCTTGCGAGGAATGGGCTTCTGTTGCTTTTCTCGGCCTCCGCTATTGGTTGTAGAGCTCTGGTATATGCGAGAACGCCTGTGACGTTTCGGTGGCATTGGCTCCCTGGCCGTGGGCTGTTGTCTTGTGGGTACGTATGGTAATTGTCGTTCATACCCAGAGCGAGAAGCGCCTTTTAGGTGTCGTATGATGGCTGCAATGATGACTTCCAAGGCTTCGGAAAGCCTTATTCTATCATGCTTCTTGTTGTTTGAAGCTTCGCTTTTTCACTCTGTGCCCGTCTCTGCTTGCATCCGAGGGAGCGAAAGATTGTATTGATGTTGTTGCGCTTAAACTTCGTGAAACTAAGGAATGGACCAAGTCTCAGTATTTGTATCTTGAAATATGGCACATACTGTATAGACTTACGTTTTTACATGCTCTACAAGCTTATGTAGCTGCAGTTCTGCCTCTTTGATCTTGTTGAGACGAAGGCTAGAAATATTTGAATTTCCAGCCTGGCAGCAGACTTCTGAAGCTAATGCGGTGTTTGATTCTCCATTGAGGCTACATTTTCGGCGTGGAGTAGCAGCTCGACGTAGGATGTTCATGCGTTGACGAAGGCCGTTAGAAGCGCTCACCTGACGAGCTGCGTGAACGCAAGAAAAGTCCCACAATGACCAAATTCAGGTGATTTGATCTGGCTTTGAGTCTCGCCACCTCTGTTTTGTTCACGATCTTGAGATTCTATGTTGACAGCATTAGTATTCCGCCCATTTTTCGAATTTGATGACCTTATGGTTATACGCTTAATCCCCTGAGATAGTCGTCACTGAAGACTCTAGAACCACCTTGATCATCGTTGGCCCAGACTCTGCTAAAATAATGTAAAAGATTTCAGCATCATTTAAGCAGTCCTTTGCAATGGCTTATGGGGAGCTTTGAATGGACGGCCTATCCTCGATATCCGCGATGAAAAACCAATGAATCTTACCTCACTCAAATTTGACAATCTGGTCGCGCATTCTTTGAAGTGCTTGGGTGTAGCCTTTTGGGAGCTTCCGGTTGTCTAGTTCCTGGCCTACTTGTGTGATAAACCTGACGAGCTCTCGATGTCGATTGGTTTGCAGGGAGTAGAACAGCAGAATCGCTGAACTCACATCAATACGAGGTCTGATCAACAGCGTCTCTGCAATAGGCTTTGAGAACTTCGGCATGTTGATGAGCGTTACGATACCGATTGCCTTGAATGAACCAGGGGGTAGAGAGCATTAATAAGCCCGTCGGAGGTGCTAGGTTAATTCAGGCAGTAAATGGATTGTCAAATGCATACTCTGTGCAGCTTGCCAGGTGACATAGGGGGTTAAACCCGCCTGAGCTGACTGCTCCTGTTTCCTCCCTGTACTGGAATTCGCGTCTACTATGGCCAGATGAGGCGTCCGCAGAGCTACAACTTGATCCTTGAACAGCCTAGGATTTCACTATCCTGTTTACCACGCTGATATGGTATGAAATCCTCAACACTGATGGGGTGGGGTACAACTTGGCCGGCTGTCGGAAGTGGCCTTGCACATGTGGGAAGAGCATCCTGGCTGACTAATACAGACATTCGTTCACAGGCTTTGCATCTGGAAGCTGAGCGTATGATGCATTATACCCACCAGACGCTTTTGCTCGATGAAGCTTAAATCACTTGAGAGCTGCTGCAAGCTCTCTTGTCTCTGGCTTCGGGTTCAAGTGTTGGCAGAGTGCACCTCAAATGAGAAAGGAGTTTTCTCTCCGTGGGGTGTAAGCCTATATAGGGTGCACTGCACATCTTCGCCACCCAAAAGTAAACAGAGGATAACACGCGAATCTTGACACATAACCCTATGTTTAGGCATATTAGGCGGGGTGAAATGTCCTTGCAGGTGAATAACGCTTGGAAAAGAGGAAAAGAGAAAAGGACCAGAGACCGACACGATAAATCACTCATTTCCCGGACCAGAGCCAGAGCCAGCGATACATCGCCTTCCATCTCTTCGCTTCCCTACATCCTCATCATCACCATTTCTTTGTTGCCCTTCGGCATTCGCCGACACCGCAAGACAGGATCATGATAGCGGCGATCCGACTCTCTACTCTCACAGTGAGAACTGCATCAACGCTTAACAAGCCCTGGGGTCTACCCTACAGTACCAACCATCATCAGCTGAACGCTGCGAAGAAGGTTTATTCTACCGAGTCTGCCTTCATCAAAAGCCGTCCCCGTCCCATCCTTACCCAAGTTGCACAGACTAAAAGCTGGTCCTGGAAGGCTTCCGGCTTCTCTAACAATATAGAGGCTTTTCACACGGTATGAACCATTTTTCCAAACCTCTACTTGGTGATGAAGCGATAGGGCTAACAGATTCTTTCCGTAGACAGCAGCAAGCGTTCACTCTCCTCCAGGCAACCTTGAGCCCCTCTCGAAGAAAGTCAAACTACGTCCGCGGCTCCCTGGAGGCTGGGCGCCGCCAAACATACCTCACCTACGATGGTGTTTTGAGAAGTTTCCGAACGAAGACTACGGACTGCAACCCGCCGCAGGACTTTTGATATGCAAGGATCGCAACGAATGGCTCATAGAGTGCGGTCATTGGAAGTTCTTCTACTGGAATAGTAACACCGGCCTTATCTGGCGGATTAGAAGCCCTCGTCGATTGACAAACGTCGTGAAAAAGCTAAACGAAGTCAGCCCTGATAGACCTAGTGTTGCCAAAGATCTTGACACTTCCCTTGTCACGCGTCCTCACGACCCGGCTTCTGAGTTTGCAAAGGACTGTTGCCAAAAGTGTTCAGAGCTCCTCGATGATGATAAGGATCTAGTGGACAGGATCGAGAGGACATTGCACAAGGTCAATTCTGGAAGGACCTTTCTTTCCCCAGGGGAAGACATTGAAGCTGAAGATGAGCATAGCTTGCGTCGACTGGGCGAAATGATGGACTGGGGTGATTATGATAGCCGCATCTCGAAAGCGATTGATGGGCCAACTGCGTATTGATGTATGTGTCTGGCCTAGTCTGTTTTATAGAGGGGTCGATGTCAGAGGTCTAGAGCGACGATTGACGAGACTTGTATGCTGCTTGGTCATGCTAGTTGACTTTTGCATCTGCCTCCGGACGTTGAGTAAGGATCTCTGATCCAGGCAATGTATCTAGCTGACAGCCTTAACAATTCATAGGCAGCAATTCGATTTACTGTCTCCTCACTTGCTTCCGTACTCTGATTACTTAAACACCAATTGCCAATAGTTGCCACTCTTTGCTCTCCCCATGATAACGACTTGCGATGCATTGTTTTGCAATAGACATGGACAGCGAATTAGCCATGGTTGAAGCGAAGTTCTCCAGGTTGTGAGGTGCTAATAATCACTGTAGGAACTTCAACAATACTGCTTCTAAACGACTTTTCCCCATTGGCACACCTGTACATTGATATAGCCCTCAGACTTGTCTACAACTTCCGCTACCAATCTGGAGCTGCATTAAGCCACTGAGGTCGCAAAACCCTCCGTCTCGATCTTCTCGCCCTCAAATGAAAGCTTTTGCAGCAACATTCTAAGAGTAAGTCACCAGTAATTGATGGGACTTTAAACTTAATGCGGAGCCGGAACCATGTCACAGAAACACACTACTACATCCGGGCGCTGTGTCTCGGACATACTACGAGGGAGCAAGGTGTTTGAGACCTCGAATCCCAAACACAGGACATCCTGTAAAGAGCCGAGGTGCGCAATGCCAGTTGGACTATCGAGACATCCAGGGGCAGGATATGCCTGACGAGGAGGTAGAGCTCCACGGTACATCCCTGCTTGCATGCTGTACCTAGTTACCCGTACCACATCCAAGTCTACGATCAAGTGATTAATCTCGGAACCCGCTATGGCCCTGGTAACCAGAGAACTTGAGCTTGCTATCAGGATGCGATACACGGGCAGGCTAACGGGGAGTAAAGTGTCAATGGTCTATCAATGCATAGGAGACCGCGGTCTAGTTATTGGTATCTAAGCTGACCAGCTCTGTGCCCGATTAGTCTCTATCCCTTATTCTATTTCTCTCGTCCCTTTTCGAAGTATTCAAAACAACCATATTTAAAGGTGGCGTAATCTATATGCTCAAATCTGAGGTATGCCTTGAGATCAGCATCGGTGCGTGTGGCTTCGCCCCAGAGTCGTAAGAGGATGGGGATTGGGAGCCAGGGGGAGGGCGAAGGCGAGTTCGTGTGTGCTAGATGAGCAATTTCGGCGCCGAGGGAGTTGCGGGGATATCAGGGCTGTGAAATGGGGGAAACAGTCAGCAAAGTTTTGGAGGTGGCGTGCAAAGGGGAGTGGGGAAGGAGGGATGAGGTGAGAAAAGGGCAGGGGCGCTCATGTGGTGCCACGAAAGTGATTTGCACATTCCTCTAGCAACCCACGATTCTTTCAGAGTACGCTGGTAAAGCTATTGCAGATTCCCGCCACAGGATTTGTCGAGTATGCAAGTCCATGGCTGTAGATCTTCGCGCTTGACTGCAATGCATTAATGCAAGTGTTGGTGAAAAGATCAGCGCACATTTCACTATAATTAATGTCGAACTTAAAACGAATATCTTTGCTTCAATCCTTGCTGCGCGAAAGCATAGCTAAGAAAGCCGTTGAAGTTTTGCGCCAATGTTGGTTTAAAGTAAAGAGCCTGGCAAAGGTTATACTAAGTACCATTGCCGCCGGTCACGGGGGTGGCCGACTCGGATGCTAATGTCCACCGCCAGACTACGGAGCCATGAGGGTTCGTCTATTGTGCTGAAAAGATTGTTGATCATTATAGTTCCAGGTCTGTTCGTAGTTGCCTTCACCTCGCTAAGAGCTCGCTAAGAGCTAAACAAGTGGTTGATAGGGTGAAGAAAGTGCATAAGGCGCGTTAGTGGGCAAAGACTGTTAATAGTAATAAGGATGGAGATGAGGGAGAGAAAGATCTGAATGATAAGGACTTTTCTGGTCGTCGCAACTGTATCTTCAATACGTTCAGCGTCTGTCAGTTGAGACCTATTATCGACGGCTACATAGGTAATCTCTACTCGCAGATGTCGTACTCAGCCCTTGAAAATCAGCTGGCGATGAGTGTAGTGCGACATATGCTACGATTAGTAGCGCCTTAGATTGCTCAGATTCAATTAACCATTATTATATACCTAAGTATAGGTAATAACTTATACGCGGGTATAGGTAGATAACCTATGCCTAGGCATGGGTAAATAACCTATACCTGGGTATAGGTAAATAACATATACCCTGGTATATGTTACTGATAGCTTAATACCCTTCACTATCTCCGACGGTAAAGCACAAGGCAAAACAGTCTTCGTCACCACCGACGGCAATGACAATTAAACCCCTGCTTTCTGCTACCAGCAGGTGCCGTAGCTCCAGATTGGCGCGGTGATCACGCTTAACGTTTTTTAAGAAAGTTTGTTCGCGCACGGAAAGGAGGTGCTTTTAGGATTAGATATCAATACGCAAGCGATGGAGATTGTGGTCGAGGTATGCTTCTAGGATCAGTAGCCCGGCCACTTTCATCGGACTCGACTTCGGCTACCACCACCCGAACCCGCAGTTTCCTCTCCATCCCAGTCACTTGCATCCGCGCAGACGCATTTCACTGCATCAATAGGACAGCTGACAACCGAAAAAGAGCGTCACCTAGACTACCTCAACGCCCATTCCCAGCCATTACTGATGATATGAATCTCGCTCGTTGTACAGACCCCAAGTACGCGAAGTGGCACCGAAGTCCGGCTGGATTGGTACACGAGGCTGTTGAGAAAGGGTTGTAGGTTGTGGATAGGGGGGAGAGGAGAGGATGATAAGGCAAAACTGATGGAAATGGTATGATTTTCTTTGATATGTTACCCATGATCAAAGCAAGAGCTTGGTTTGTATCTTTAGGGGAGAGACGAAGGATAAGAAACGTACGTGGCAGTAGAAGCAGACATTATAGCCATCAGAGGACGCTGAAGCGTCAAGCCTCTGTTCTTCCTGCTGAAAGACGGCAAGATTTATAGTCAAATAGATCAGTCTCATGAGTCACTACTTCTGCCCGCAACCTGAACCTCACCCAACGCATCCTGATCTGCTCGTCATCGCATTCTCCTGTGAAAGCGACGCACATACCCACTTCTTCGAGAATTTGCACTACATTAACGGCAACAGCATCCCATTCCTCCCGTTATAGCTTCCTGTGGATTGAGTGTAAGGGCTTACTTTTGATATAGGCGGCTGGACCAGGGGGGTGATTAGGCCAGAAACAGGACAGGGAGACCCAGATAGCAATCGCGCTGAAGAGTAGAGAACGGTAAATTGATTGAGCCCGAGTTTGGCTTAACAAAGGGGCAGAAGTCACGCTAGAGTTGATGGAGAAAGGAGAGGAGGCGAAAGCCATTCGGCTGTTGACTAGTAAAAGAAGAAACTGCTTTGTGCCTTATAGTATAAAGCGGATCTGCGCTAGAAGGCAACAGTACTATTAGTGAATATAGGCAGTAGGGAGTGTTGGCCCTGATATTTCTATTTTGGGTCTAGCGCAGCTTAGCAAATTTCTGGAGGTCTTAAGCTGGTGCTGCTTCCCTTCTCCCCTCCATCATCCTTCTCGTACCTTATCAATCCTTCACTCTAAGAGATCCATCTAATTGTCAACGATGTAATCATGACTGGCATTGATACTATTCTTTCCATTTACGCGCAAGGGGCCTAAGTTATTCACTTCAACTATCAGGTGATCACTAGACACTCCGTCTTGTACCACTTCATCCTTCAACATCTACACCTGCCCTCGCCTTCCCCGCGCCCCAATCCTCCGACTAGCATCTTGACGAATCACTCCAGCATATCTTGACATCATTAACCGGATTATCATAGTCTTCCTCACATTCAATCAAATCATCGAGGTTAAACCTTGCTCACTTTTCCGACACTTCTGCCGACTCACTGCCATCTTAAGAGACTTCACAGCTTTACTGCAGCTCATCACAATTCCCGAATCCTATCCCGCTATCAATCTACTACAATAGATCCGCAGGTTCAGCACAGACATCTAAGCTCGTCTTCCAGCGCAATGCCTAATCTCACTCATGGCGTCTCCAACATCGGGCTTCATGCAAGCAACAATCCCGGCAACAGCCTATCCAGCAGCAATCAAGTTCATGCTATCAGCGGATTGTCCTCGCAAGTGAACCAAATGACTGTCCTCCTCGGAAAGATCAAAGATATGGTAGACCCAAAAATGGGCATCAAGCTCGACGAATTGCACAACTTCGTAAGCGCAACTCAGCACAAAGCCATTGAACACGATGAAAAGTTTGACCAACTTCATGCGAAGATGAACGCACTCGATGCGAAGCTAAGTTTCCTTGATAGATCATGGAAGAAGAGACTAGACACCATTGACGTTAAGTTGAACTCCCTTAACACGCAGGTGAGCAAGCTTGAGACAGACGCCGCAGAGACCAAATACGGGATCCTAGCAATGCAAGCTATAGTCCAGAATGGCACTATTCGCGACATGGACTGCTTCATCAAACAAATCCCTATCCAACAATTCGGCACCGTCAATGGTCAGAAGACTTCGCGCTGGTACATCCCGCGCAACTTCCCAAACAACATGTGGGCCGCCTATCGCCTCTACCGGGAAGCTCAAGGTGTTTTCGAGGGTCGTAGATGGGAGGGCGCGAGCCCTGGGAAAAGTACGTACCTCCACCACCGCTACCACGTCCTACTACTCCTATAAGCTATGCTAAACCTCATTGAAGAAGACCAGGCGAGACAGAAGGCACTCCAGACCATTACGGAGCTCGTGAATCTCTACAATGTCCCTAGTCAGACCATCCACGACAGTGACTCGGAGTCGACCGTTATGGAGATGAACGACAGGACCTTGAAGGTCTTCATGAAGCGACTCATGACAGCGTGGGGGGTCAATTGGCTCAGAGCGCTTCGATCGGAAGGCTTGCAGTGAAGAATGTACAAGGGGCCGAATACCCAAGAACCTATCTATGAGAAATTGGGGAGGCAGAGTGTGATGAAATGCAAGATACAGGCGACAGGAGCTCGTGGGCATTAGCAGCAAAGGTGCGTTGAATGTTCATGTGCGGTGAAAGAGGCTCTTGCTGACTATGACAAGGGCTATCAGCAGCGGCAGCAGACATAGAAACATGCGTGATTCAAGACATTTTATGCTAAGAAGCACTTGCTTTCCGATATACCTTGACAAAAGGTAGTGGCTCCTCGATCATGCCCATATGTTCTTCTCTATGGAGAGTGATCAACCAACTGCAATTTCTTCACCGGACCAAAGCGAAGACGAACGAGGATAAATATCCGATAAGCTTGCCGCTCTTCACACTCACACTCTATCGTTCCCGTCATACATCCATTGTCAGTCCCCTGCTTCGACCCGTCATACGCAAAGAGGACAATTCAAGACATTCTCATGAGGCCTAGATATTGCGTGTCCCCTTGTGTATTAATCAGCAGCTCATTCCATGACCAACCACTTCCGACTAACAATCTCTCCGTCACTATATTCTCCTTGAACGCCTTTTCATCCAAAGAATCTATCTGCGGCATTACGCTCTAGACACACACACTACTAACACGCCCACCCTTCCCTCCCATCTCCCTCCCGTGCACACAAAGAGGCGTTCGCAGAGAGACATACCGCAGAACTCCTTCTATCTCCGCGAGTGAGTACACACACTTCCCACTACTGCGTACATACGTAAGAAAAAGGCTAGAGAATACCCCTACACATCTGCCAGCGCGACCTGACACGGCCTTCCCCTTCTCTCACCCCTTGAAGCTGTGTTCATTACCCTTCCCGCACTCCCCCTCCCCCTTATTGGTTGCAAGAGTCAGGCCTGCCCTTAGACAAGAGGCGGCAGATAAAGGCCCCGTTGCTGGTGCGGTCGGGAAGGCGAGGATTCACAGACCTGCTTGTGCCTCTATGCGGCAACTATATTCTTGTACGCAAGATTCTCTTGCTTGAGGATCTACGTTGGTAAAGCTAGCTCTAATGTAGCTTGCCGCACTTGGATGATGGCTGTGAGGTGGTTGCCGTCGAAATATGGAGAGGGGGGTGCAGGAAAGAAGATGGGCCATAAATCTCAGAGCTTTGTCGACTTTTGAGGGCAACGTTGAGGAAGAGGAAGAAGCTTGGGCTATTATTGCACGTCGTTTGAGTATAATTATTCTACATAAGCCTTGTCATTCGTCGTTGTTTTCATGATCATTCCTGATGCTGCGCTCACTCTCAATCACGGCCAACTTTCTGACTTTCCCACCTCGTTTTACGGCCTTCAGTCGGCCTTCCTCGGCAATGGACTGACGTCCCTATAATAATGCTTTTACGCCCGTTTAACTCCTCGTGGTATCGTAACATCCCTTGGGTATCTCGCTTTTATCCCGGGTATCTCATGCTGAACCTATCCTCCCAACCTCGCACGCTATGCATGTAAAGCAAATGAATGAATCAATCAATGAAAACACACCCCCTTCCCCTCCCTCCTACCAGCGTAGCGCGTACACCACGCGCTCAAGCCCCACCTTTCACTCTCCTTGACCTCAGGATCATCGTCCCCACCTGCACCTTCCCCTTCCCTCCTCCCTCCTCCTCCTCCTGCTTAATCCGTTTATTCGGGCTTTTATCCTGCAGTGCCTTTCTCTTCTTCTTCCCCCCTTCCTCCCCTCCACCTTCTCCTTCTTCACCCCAATATACCTCGAGTGCGAGAAATCAATCAACACATACTTCCCCTCCCGTTCATTCCAAAGCACATTCCTCGCCATGACATCACCATGGCAAATCCCCACGTCATAGAGCATGTCCACAAGCTCGCGCACTTCAGGCTCATACACCTCGCCCTGCTCGCGGACTGGTTCGCCGCCATACGACAAAAGGAGGAAGTGGCTGATCTGGTCAACGCCCATGCCGACCAGGAATTCGTAAAACGGTTTGAAAATTCCGAGACAGATCGGGATCGCCACGCCTTGCAGGCAGGTTAGGTAGTTGTAGACTTTGGCTTCGAACAAGAGGGGGGGGAGGAGGGGGGATGGTGCCTTTGCCGACGAGGACGTAGCCGTGCGAGAGGAGGGCGAGCTTGAAGAGGTAGCCGCAGGCGCCCATTATTCCTTGTGGGTAGATGCCGTCGTCAGGGTGCGCTTTGAGTTGGGCGTAGAGGAGGGAGATGAGGGTGGATGTGGTGAGTGGGTGGTGGTGGGGGGAGCTGGTCTGCTGCAAGTGGAGGGCGTGGTTGGGACAGGAAGTGTCCATGACTAGGCCTTGGGTTAGTCCTTGGAGACATGCTTGCGTGCAGTAGGGTGCGTGTTCCATTGATTGGGGCGGGGTTTGCTGATGACTGCCACGTGTCTGTTGCGCGGAAGTCTTTCGGGATGGATTTTGTCTACTGCCTTGAGGAGCTGGAGGGTATGGAGATTTATCTTTTGAGGGTGAGCCGTCGTCTCGGTCGTCATGAGGCCGTGCTGTCAATTTCTTCTCTCCACAGGTATTCTTACTGTGTTTCTTTCGCGGCGGGTAAGGCGAGTTCTTTTTAGCTTTTGTGGGAGTCTCAGGTATGTTTGCTAAGAGGTCATCGTCGTTGTACATCCACTTGGCTAATTTTGGTTTGAGCGCTTGGAACCAGTCTTGGCTATGCTGTCCTTTGAAGCGATCGAAAACCATTAAGCACCATCCGACAAGCTGGGTTACAGCAGTCTCGCGAAATTGAAGAGGATTTTGACTACTTGGCAGGACTGCTCCAGGAACCGTCAGGTGCCATTTCAAAGTCGTTGGATCGTTCTTTGCGACATATAACCAAACGAAACTTTCTCCCGTCGTAAGAAGGCCATGTTCAACCCTTGCCGTGACCATCTTGTCGTAGGTCTGTGTCAGGACCATTGCAACAACTTCTAGAGCGAGGGAATTTAATTCTGCTTCGCTCATTGGTGCTCGTTGACCTCCTTCTCCATGTTTCCGCTTTCGCGAGCTTCGAGTCGGGGCATGGACATTGTCAAGGATCTCGTCCTTGATGCTCCGTAGCTTGAGACCTCGTCTGAGAAGGTCCGCAAAAACCTTGTGAGGTGGCTTGTATTCTATGGGGAACAAAATTCGTTGACTTTTTTCCTTGCTCTCGTCCGCATAGTGAACACATAGCTTGTCCGCGGCCAGATCGCGAGTCATTAGAGCAGAGGTCGAATTTATCTTTGGATCCGTTGGAGAGGGGTTAGCACGACCCATGGGTGGTGCGAAAGGTGTGGTTTCCTGTAGATGCCGCTGATGGTTTACGAATGATATTTTTTTGTGTGGTTCCCAGCGGCGCTGAAGGGCTTCACCACTCAAGCTTGCTAGAATGTTGGTTGCATGCTTTTGGACGGCCACGATGATCCAATATTCTACGTCACGCTCACAGGCCACCAGCCCTTTACCCAATGCGCGAGCGTCATACTCTATTTCAGTTGTACTCGGGAAATGGGGGCGAGTATCGAGCCTGTCTGCTCTCAGGGCTTTCAAGGCGAGATCGATGTACTTCTCATGATCCCGAGCCAGGGTCTGATCTTGTTGAATGGTTTTTGGATAGAATTTCCCCATGACACGTGTGAGGCCTTGAGTGCCCTGTGATTTGCTCTCCGGAAATGTGAGCGATAGCTGGAGGAGATCATGGCAAGCGATCAGATATTCATCAACATTCAATGGTCTTAACTTTGCTTCTGCCGCACTGGCTTTCGCTTCTGCTGCATCAATCTTGGCTTCTGCTGTATTTCTTCTCGCTTCTGCTGCATTCCATCTGGCTTCTGCTGCACTCGACTTTGCTTCTGCGTCATCTAATCGTGCCTTGAGCTCTCGGATTTCCCGCGCCAGGGAATCGTCCATCAGTATCGGGACACTGAGCCCTCGCAAATGACGATCGCAAGCGGCAGGGGCGTAGCGTAAGGAATCGAGGAATTGCAAGGATGTAGTAGTGGGGGAGAAATGATGTTGTACAAACGCGAGTCGCGCCAAGCAAACGCAGTGGACCCTGGCCTAACCGAAGACGGCCAAGCGCTCAACGCGCTGTGCATGATGTCATGCTTACTAAACTCATAATACTTGGCAAATCGCCCAAACGATGGCCAATGGCTGATGGGGAACACCTGCCTCTAACCCTCACGCGCTCTGGGTTTGCTCGTATGAAGAGGGCAATCGAGCGACAGCCACAAGATCCGCCTTATCTTCTCCTCGATTCCCTCACAGTAGGTCTTTCGCTACCGGACAGCAGAGACCAGAAGGTGTTCCCTTCATCAAGCCTGCGACAAAAATTGGAGGCTCAGGGCGGACGAGTAAAAAATGAAGCACGAAGGAGGTTGCGCCAGCCTATGAGAAGAAATGGATGAAAGACTCTACACAATCAGGAGGATACTATGAGCCTGCTCAATGAAGCTGTCGAGAGGAAGCTATTGGCGCCCTCCTCCAGCCACGTATCGAAACTACAACTCCTCTTCCTCATCGTCACCGACAAAGTGCACAAGAGGCAAAACGTCGAAGAAGCAGGATATTACAATGGTCAGAGGCATGAAGGCGTCTTCAGCGAGAGTGTTGAAAGTTTGGAGGCCGAACGATGTGAATTCGCGACGCTGGAGCAGACGCGAGTCATCTTCGTGTGGAGATCAGGGGGCAAGGAATGAGGGTCATGACCCTCTTAGCCGGTAGAGCCGGTCTCAAGCTCTAGACTACGTACAAAGGAGAAAGGCGCATACTACACTCGTGTGGAAGGGGAGGCCGTTTGATAAACAAGAGATGGGCATGATGGCCTAGGTATGCGACATGAGGCTCCACCTGTGCTCAACACCGGTTGAGCGGTGGCTCAAACGTCTGACTACCTCCCTGAGCCTCGTGCGAAACCTAGCGTAGGATTACAGCCGCTTATCACATCTGTCAGCCGCGAATTTAAAGGTCAAAATTGCAGCTTCAGAGAAATATAAAAACAGGTTAGAGGCATTGATGGTTTCATGGCGATGAAGCAAATATACGTATCATGGAAGGCGAATCAAGCGTCAAGCTGCGACTGCCGTGGAAGGTGATGGCGATACTGAGTGAGAGCGAATACGGCGAATACGGCAAATAGTGCGTTTACAATCGAGAGCGAAGAGGAGGGGCAGAGGCTTATGGAACAAACGTAGGGCTGTGGGGTATAATCGTGAGACCTTGATCGACAACAAGTGGTGAGTGGTCTGATTCCAACGGACGAAAACCTGGATTGATCCAGGCATTGGAGTGAAAAAGTCTGTGCAGGGTTGGCTTCGGGAACAGGCCTATTTTCTGGAAGGGCTATTTCCTGGAAGACTTATTGACCATTACGAGAACCGGAACATGTATTCAATCACGATAGCTATAGATCAGTCCCGGCTCGAGGTGCTTAGCCTTAGCAATTCGTGAGCCCGTTCTAATCTCTACTCGCCGATAATTAGCTCCGACTTGGCCGAAAGCTGGGCAGCGAGTGTGGCGCTTAGGATGATCTTCAAAGCTGACATCGCTCCGTTTCTCTTCAGCACTTTTTTAACCCTCGAGTATTTAAGATTGGGCGTACAACCAGATCCAGTGAAATATTGGAGGACTTTGAGCCTCTAATATGGGTTAGTCGATCGTCTGCACTAAGGCAGGGTCTCATCGGATCAGTTCCCCAGCTTCCTTTTCCGTCACAGCGGATGTGCTTTAGGTAAAGCGCATTGCATTGCCCACCATACTATGTCAGCAAAGTCTCATGTCTTGTCTTTTCCCGTCCCTTTCATCCCATGTTCTACAAATAGTCGATGCTTCCGAGCTCCAATAGACTAGACTCCTGACCCTAGGGCTTCTCGAAGCTTATTCCGAAAAAGAAAGCGACGTTTGAGTTCTTGAGTATGGAACATCTCCCCACACCGATTTCAGAGACGCTGTCTGTATTCCCGCCAACACCATACCTCTGCGAGGAATCATACGATGGGGGCCCGTTCCTAGAGTATCCCATCAGAGAGGGTCTACCTGATTTGAAAAACTATGGCCTACGTTTCACTTTGGAATCCTTTCTCAGCCGTGAAAACCAACGGTTGCTCGCGGAAATGCAACCCGCTATATTGGAGACTTTTTTTCAGGAGTGGCTTTTCTTCGGACTTTTGCATGAGGTGTTGGGGAGTCTGTACGACCATAGGAGCTTTGTGACTAGTATCTCCGACGGCGACAGTAAGCGGTCAGTCATCACTACGGCGAGTCTTGTGTCAAAGCTTCATGAATGGGAAGGAGAAGTAGTGGCAGATCGGGATCGGTATCAGCATCTTGCCGAGTGCTTGACTCTATCATTTGCTTGTCTTTCCGTTAATCATCCCACTTTTGATAATAACTTGAAGTTCCAGTTGGCTTCCGTCTCGGAGATCGTAGGATATGCAGTTAGCAAAGCCTTCAATGTCGCGTGGATGGACGATCCTAGTCATGCTTCTTTTCCCATAGGTTGGTGTCGAATTATCAACCAAGACTTTCGGAGGTCCTTGCTGCTTGAACGAAGCAGTTGCTGCCCAAGTCAGCTACCGATGATCATTCACCATTTCACATCGCTTCAAGCTCTGGGCTTTTTAATTAGTTGCCTCCGCAGAGATGGGACTCAGTCACAATGCGACTCTTGTACTGACACTGAGTGCCGTGCAGGGAAGGTATCGTCCTCTAACCCATCCTCTGGCCTTGCCACTGATCCCTGCAATAACCATATTACTCGCCACATCGACGAGTCTTGTACGTGTCAATGTATCAGCGTTGACGAGAATCAATTGAAAAGTAGTTTGGAAATGGGACGTTTGCCATTAGTACGCATCCTCGAGGAAAAAGACCCGGATGAGGTCTCGATTGAGATAGTCGAATCAACGACCTCTTTGCCATATGTTGCCTTGTCCCATGTTTGGTCAGATGGTCTGGGAAATCCAAATGCGACTGCCTTACCCCGTTGTCAACTATCGCGACTCAAAGCGTTGGTCGCAGGACTGGACAAGTCTGAAATTGTCGATCACCGAGACAGTGTACCTGAGCTGCTCCTGTGGTGTGATTCTCTGTGCTGTCCTGCCATGGATTTCGGAGCTAAAAATATCGCGTTACAACGAATGTTCCGCACGTACGACAAGGCTACCGCGGTGCTTGTGTTGGATTAAAGCTTGATCTACCGAGTCGGCGGTATGAGACTAGATGAGGCGTGTCTTCGAATTGCAACTTCTAGGTGGATGACAAGGCTATGGACTTTACAAGAAGGTGCCCTGCCCGGTAGAAAGAACAAACTATGGTTCCAATTCAAGAGGACTGCTTTACCGGCGTGGAATTTGTACACATACCTTCACAACATCCAGACCTCGGACATTCAGAGGCAAGGCGTTGCAGATTGTGTCTTGGGAAGATTCCATCTTTTTACAAGTCTGTTTGATGTCCAACGTCCTACCCATACAGATGCTCAATTCGAAGATGTTATGCAAGGGCTACTGTACAGATCAGTTACTAACCCTGAGGATGAGGCCCTTATTATTGCCACGCTTCTAAGCCTTGACATAAGTGCAATTCTAAGGTCGAATCCCAATGAACGTATGCATGTGCTCTGGCAGATGATAGCCGTACCCCTTACAGGTATTAATAAGCAACTACTATTCAACACAAGTCCTAACACCAATTCAATAGGCGTGGGCTAAGATGGGCTCCTAAATCTCTCCTCTCCGTCGATAGAGACTTCTTTATGCGACGCTCTACTAACAACGCTGAAAGAGGCATTCTGTCCACAGCTCAAGATGTCCGCGGCCTTGTTGTTGAGCTAGCCGGCTTTCAAGTCAGCTTAATAGACCACGCCAAAGATGTACCTAACGACTTAGCGGGCTTTGACTCTTTACCTCAAGGGAACATCAACAGACGAGCTTTGTTGATGAGAGATAAGGAGGGACGCTGGTACTTGGTGGATCATCGTCAGTCCAACACTGAACAATACGAGTCAGAAACCTTGAGTAGTTGCATAGCTAGACTTTCTAGGCCTCGGATTCTCTATTAAGGGTCCAATTCGCCTGCTCCAGGCGATACACAGGCGCACCGTGGCATTTTAGTCACAGAGTTGGCCACACTACGGTCACAAGGTGACGAGCTCGTGTGTGTAGAGACAGCATCTCATGTGAAGTTCGGCCACCTGTCCACGGAATTGAATCTACTCTGTCAAGCGGCCTACGACCTTGCACAAGAATTGGCAGCATCGGATGCTGCCCGTCGCTTGCAAGACTTTACATCTTCTCAAAACGATATGGATCATCTGTCGTATCAAGACGCCTTTAAGGCTTTCAACCTCGAGCTGCAACGTCTTTCATCAAGTTCTACAGGCAGGGAATTACTTATAGCCAATGGCAACAATGTTGATGAGAGAGGTTTCGCGAGAGTTCGTGAGTATGCAGAGCGTATATGGAGGGGTCTATATCTTCAGATGGATCGTTTTGTACCCAACAGTCAGAAATGGTGTGTGGACTAAGGAGGTGCACCCCTCGAATCGCCACCTGTTTTCGTGATACCCTCCACAAGTCCTTCGTCTCCACCTGATATATCGTCCGCTGGCCGATAAGAAGACGACTAGCTCAAGGATTTCTCGCATCCCTCCTCTTATCTCAGCCTACGGTCGGTCAACCCATTGTTCGAGATAAGACGCAGGGCTTTGACATTGCGTCGCTATTTTAATGGTAGCGGTTTGACAGTATTTTGAACAAGCAGCTGAAGTCGTAGTATGTCAAAATGACATTTTCTAATTTCAAGCACAAATTTCAAATTATTGACGTTGAAAACAGCTGGTGTGAGAATGTAGGCCGCGTTCATCGTTGTATTCTACTAGTGTCGCGTATGTTTATCTAAATGCTTAGTTAGAGAAGGTGTAGAAGGGTCTGTCGAAGGGTATGATGTTCTTTTCAAGGGTGAGGCAGAAATAGAGGCAGATTGCTTGGTCACACGTGCTGTGAGTAATTTTTACGGTCTGGTCGTCACAGATCTTTAAACTTATTATAAACCTGCCGGATGGGACAAACACCCTCTGCAGCTCCCGCGGGACCCAGCTCCCTGGCGGCCAAAGACAGCGTATCGCCCTCGCGCGCACCCCGATTTGTAACCTCGCTTATTACTCTTAAACGAAGCAACCTCGACGCTAAGTACAGAGGCTAAGAAAGTCGGGTTAGCAGCGCTGGAGAAGGCAGAGGGGATAAGTAGGACAGGGATAATAATAAAGAAAGAGGAGGGCAAGGGGGAGAAGCGGAGGATGATCGCTATCGCGCATCGTTTGAGCACTATTAAAGATGCGGATTGTATTTCTGTGCTTGATAGGGGACAAATTGTAGAGAGCAAAACGCATACAAGGTTAATTGAGAGGAGGGGTAGGTATTAGGATATGTATCGGGCGCAGAGTTTGGATGTAGGAGGTAGAGTACTGGATACGCTTTAGTGAAGCCGGTAGGTGTGGAATACTGTCCAATTTTTCCACCCGCAGTCCTTTGCCTCTCCAACCTAAAGCTCTCGTCATCCGTTTCTCTTTCGGATTCTGAAGTTCATATGGATTTCTCGTTAGCTTGTTAGCTGACGATTGAAGAGCTGATGGGTTGAGTTTAGGCAGAGCATCTAGGCTTAGATCAGGGGATTTTATAGATCCGGTATTCACTCTTCTATCTCGCTTTATACCGAACAAGATACATACAGACTTTACGCCGGCGTCAGCGAAAGAAGCGCCCCGTTGCCGCTATCCGTAGTGATCTTGTACACTTCAACAAAGTCGAGAACGGGATCACGGTTGATGATAGATTTGAAATTCTGGATAATCCTGACGATAGCGAAGGCGACCTCTGTTAATGCCAAATTTTGCCCTGGACACACTCTTGGGCCTCCGCCAAAGGGGATGTAACTCCAGTGTGGTGGGCGGAGACCTTCCCATCTTTCGGGCCTGAAGATATTGGCATCGGCGCCAAAGACACTTTGGCGTCTATGCAACGCATAAAGACTGATGGTGACAGTGTCGCCCTTTCTTATGAAAATGGGTGATGTGCCGTAGCCTGTGGGACCACCTCCTGTCGGTAAAAACGTGTTGCGCAAGGCCATACGCGTTGTCGTTCCAATCGCTGGGTTCAGTCGGAAAGTCTCGTTGATGACATACTGGAGATACTTGAGGCTTTTGAGTCGTGTAAATGTCCAAGGAACCTTGTATTCGGTCGTTTGAAGTATCTCCGCACGAAGCTTTCGGTATACTAGTGGGTTACGGGCGAGGTGGAAAAAGATGTTTGTCAGCGCGACTCCAACTGCTTCATGTGCAGGTAGGAACACGTTGAGCAACTGATTGCGGACTTGCATTTTGTCTTTGCACCTCTCAACTAGTTCGTATGCTAGAACATGGCGTTCCGCAAGGTTTTCTTTTGATCTCTTCGCTTGAACGAAATGCTGCGCTCTTGCAATGGCTATGTCCACAAACTCGTGTGCTACTTCGCATGCGTTCTTGAACTGTCTGTTTGAAGTCAAAAAGTTCCACTGTGGCAGGTGCAGCCTTCGTCCCACTGTATATTGGCCATAAGTGTATGCCTGAAGGAAGGCCTTGGCTTCAATAGGTGCGCCTCCAGGGGCTAAGCTGCCAACCGCTTGCCCAAATAAGAAGTCTGTCGAAGCATCTAGTGCCAGCCTGGCAAATAAGGGTTGCAGATCAACAGTGGTCCCATCGCGTGGTAAGAGATCGATGAGGCGCTGGACGTGGATTGAGAAACCCGAGAGATGCATATTGGCTATATTGGTTCGAGTAAAAGTTGGCTTAATCAGAGCTCGCGATGATTCCCAAGATCTTCCATCCGTGCACATGATGCCCTCCCCAACAAAGGGTCGAAATGCGAAGAGGCGCATAGGCCCGACACCCCAATTGACGAAGTCCGTGGAGAAGATGGCTTGCAGATTCTTTGGTTCTATTGTATAGACTTTCGTCGAGAACCAAGAGCATGACTGAAAAGTATGACCATACTCGGCAAACATTTGGACAATGGTCATATTTCGATGATTTTCTCGCAGAGCCTTAAACAGCCGCAAGAACAAGTCCAGCCCAAAAATAGGATCACGCTGCCGAATTGAGGGTGGAGAATGATGTCTATTATTCTGCTTCGTCTTACCGTATCTCGAAACAAGCCAATATAGACACAACGGCGTTACCATCGCGGTTATGATCTGGATCCGCCACAGAGGCGACATTTCCAAAAACCACTCAAGTGCCATTACGTAAGATTCTCTTTGCCTTGGCTGCAGCAATTTTCTCTTTAGATCAAGAACTCTGGCTTTCGCTCCAAGATCGTCGACTTATCAATAAAATAGGCCGTAGATGTAATTGAAAGAAGCAAGCACGGACTGAGATCATCTTTTCGGCATCGAATATCTCAGATACGGACAGGACGTTCGGCAATCACTGACATTATTTCCTGCAGAACTGTCTTCACCGAGAGACTAGGTGATAATTACGGGCTACAGAATGTATGGATGCAATCAGCTACACTCGCCGAGTCTTTTTCTCCCTGCGTAAATACCACCTTCGTCCTACAAAAAGCTCCTCAATCCTCTTAGTCTCTCCTTCGCCAGGTCAATCTCGTTCTGAGACTTGCATGCCACAAATCTGAGATAGTCATCCGCCACGTGGGCATTGGAGTTGCTGAAAGAAGCTATTCCAACCAAGGTAAATGTAAGTCTTTGCTCCGTAGTGTGCTCATTAGGCTGAGATTCTACTCACCACTGACTGGAATCGTTGCCACACCAAATTCCTGAAGAAGAAACCAACAGAGTTTCCAGTCCCTTGATTTACTGATAACCTTCTCAGGAAACAAGTAATCCCCAGGAACTCTGATCTTTCCTGCATTCAGCAGAACATAATGAGCTCCTGATGGCTCAACATACTGTCGAGATAGTCAGCTTTCAAGTATGGAAGTCCATGGTAGCGGACCGTACCGGCAGTCCAAGTTCTTGAAAGATCTCACAAAGACTCTTGATCTTTCTTCTTGTCTCCTCTCGATATGATGACCAGAAACCATGTTCTTCGGCCAACTCCAGCGCTGATGCTGCGGCAAGCTGCGCTGGGCCTGCTGTGGTAAAGCTGAGGATGATATGGATCGCTTGTATATGTTTGATCAGCTCATGATCACCGATTGCATACCCCACCCTCCATCCCGTCACATTGAATGATTTGCCGATCGAGCCGACAGTGACGGTGTTTCGTGCGAACCGAGCGTCCAGAGTAGCGATACGGGCAAATGTCTTTGTGTAGTGGAGATGCTCGTAGACTTCATCGGAAACGATAATGAATCCATATTTGACGGAGAGATTGCCAATAGAGACAAGCTCTTGCACAGAGAAGATCTTTCCGAGGGGGTTGTGACTGAATAGTCAACTCATGCTTAACTTATTTGCGGTATCCAACGTACGGAGTGTTCAAGACCTGGAGATCTTAGTAAGACTCAATAGAGGAACTAGTTAATCAGAAATGCAACACTCACAAAGATTTTCGTTTTCGGGTTGACGACTCTCTCTAACTCATCTATATCAAGAAGCCAATCATCCGCCTTAGTGACATGCGTGGCCGCATTGGAAGGTGGATGAAGTGGGACGCTCCGTAAAACCCCGCCAACGAACTTAGTGTGTAGCTCGTATCTGAGCTCCGTAAGTCTCGGAAGCACCTTGGGAGTCTTAATATTTACAGATCGAAAGCAGGTTCCAGCACAATGACTTCGTCGCCAGGACCGACAAAGGCCGTGATTGCGCAGAGAATTGCTTCAGTGCCTCCCGAGTGCACAGATATCTCCTTTTGAGAGTCCAAAATTCTCCCGTACAAGGGCGAATACACGTTTGATAGGGTTTCGAGAAATTGTGGTAGTCCCTGAGACTTCCATTAGAAAGCAATAGTGTTCACTTCTTTATCCTCACATTCGTTGGTCCATAGTGATGGGACTCATGAATGGTCGATGCGTCTTTGTAGGCGTCAAGAAGGAATTGAGGTGGTCTGGCCTGCCTTGCGGACTATTAACGAAATGAATGGTGTAGATTCACTCCTATCACTCACCCTGTTCCTTGTCCCAAGTCTGCTACAGGTTGGACTTTACCGTGTCTAGCACTTGAGGCTACCCATTCCCTTGCAAAGCCACAATCAGCACCCAGGAGAATTCTGAGTTGGGTTGTCATCACCAAACACTGTCTGCCACCAGTTCGTGCTTCTCTGTCGCATGTACAATGCACAGCTGTTGATAGTCGATGTCCTTTTGAAACGGCCACCAACCTGGTCTCATGTCTGTCCACTTCTGGCCCAATGCCTGACGCTTCTTGACTCTTCGGAGGCAGTACACGATACCAAATGCCAGTACTATCACCGAGTATAGCCTGCGGTCGATGCCGCCGAATTGGCCAAAATGTAGAGACGCCCCCATAGAGAGGACAAACAATCTAGGTCGAAATGAAGAAGAAGGACGTCCGGATGAGAGACCAGAGCAATCGCTCCCTTGCCCTAGGTCTACAAGACCCTGATGGAGCCCTACTGCTTCGTCGAGGCACGAGCTACTTGTGGGGACTGTCGGATCTTCTACACACGACAGCGGAAGAGCACTACACAAATCATGGATTATCTACACTTCTCTAGAAGTTCAATTCCAAGCTATTTTCATTAAGCCTAGGTCTGATTCGTAATGCTAAGAAGTCTCGAGACGCTGCCACTGCCTATCTACTCACCGTTACATAGCTCATAACTTCCTAACAGCCCCCTTTAGCAGTATATAGATATCTCTAGTACGTATCTGGGTACGCAATAGCCTCCTCACTCGCCTCCCGCTTATATGCATCAGGATACGCAATGGCATTGTCATTCGCTTCCCGCTTGTAGGCGTCAGGATACGCAATGGCGCCTTCATTTGCATCCCTCTTGTATGCATCAGGGTAAGCTATAGCACCCTCGCTCGCGTCCCGTTTGTACGCGTCGGGATAGGCGATGGGTCCTTCAGCGGTATTCCGTTTGTATGCATCGGGATAGGCGATCGCCTGTTCTCCAGCAACGCGTTTGTAAACATTGGCAGAGGCAACACTGTCTCCTAGCGCTGCTTCATTGTTGGATGAAGAGGCTTTGGTAAACGTGAGTTTTATATGAAGTTGAAAAAGGGAGGATTCAGCTTACTCAGTGGTATAGCATGAACAGCTGCAAAAAGCAGAGTGGTAGCAAAGAAGCGCATGATTCGTAGGCAAAGGTATTGTGCGGACACAAGGGCTTTTCAACAGTCAATTTTACCCCTTGGATGATTCAGATTTCAAGCCGTTCTTCTACGAATGTGTTGATTTTCTCCAGCCGGAAATTCCACATCGAACGAGAGCAGGTGGGGTGCTGATGATGAACGACTAAAGTTAAGTAGACCGTGCAAGGATGGGGGTGAAGACTCGGTGTACAGCCATGATAGTGCATCACCCGTGACGAGACTAATGGATTGTGCTGTCAAAATCCACGGTTCGAAGGATTCTCACCGAGGTTTTGTGCATGCTAGCCTATTCTGCTGGTATCAGCTGGACATATGATTCCTGCCGCGGCAAAGCTCATGCATTTGCGACATTTCGAGGGGTAAGATATTGTTCCTCTAAGCGACACGAGGATTGCTCTGGCTTCGCAAGAGGACATTCAATCTGCAGGGTTCTCTATGCTGCCGGAGCATTGGTCCCCTTTCAGCTAGTAAACAGGGCGTTTTTCGAAGACCCTTGTATGCAGATTACCTTGCGCTTTGAAATATCCGGACCAAACGTTCGCGACCCACATTCGATGCATATGTCGGCACATATTTGCGAAATTTCCAAGTATGCTGCACAAACGGCGAAATTACATACCGAACTCCCCTGGAAGACTGTAACATAGCAAAATAACATACCAGATGTTCCCATGCATATGGACAGTGGAATTCTTACAAGGAACAAAAAGGCGAGGTCTCAGTACGTCTTTCAGTCTTTGAAGGGTTTGGAGCGCTGTGTGCGTTCTGTGCAAGAACGAAGGTGATAAAGGCGGCAGCCAATGGAGCGGCAATTCGAGCTAGAGTCATTGCTACCCGTCGAAAAGACGTCTCAAGAGCACTCTCTGCTGTCGATGCAAGTCAATGTTGCATCAGATAGGAATGCAAAGAGATCTTTCAAGACCGAAGCACTCGTTCATGGAGCACTGGTTGCACTATATGCCGTCATTTTCATTGTAGCAATTCAGTATCTTCGGCCGCAATGCCAGTTGCATTGTGAGCTTTATGATGTTTCCCAATTGCGTCAGCTAATCTTCAAATTAGCGTCTCCCCTCACAAATCTCGTTTTCGAGTATTCCGAAACAACATTCCATAATCTATCTCAAAGCCCGTTTGCTGGATCGCCATCGTCACAAATAGACGCTATGTGGGAGAAACTACTCGCTCCGATGCATATGCGAGTCTCCGAAAAGGAGCTACATGAAGACAATCAAGCTTCTGTGGCCCTTCCAGAACACGGTGGATACTTGGGCTGGATGGGTGTCTTCCACGAGTTACATTGTATTGTTTGTTCATCATTAGAAGATTTCGACTACATGAAAAGGAGCCGCTGACTCTTTGGCCCAGAACATGCTGCGAGAGTGGCATTACACCTCTTACTACCACCCGACGGCGACTACTAAGGAGCTGGAGCATATGGGTCCCCATCTTGGTAAGTCTTGTGCACGATGAGCTCCTCCTTGATCCTAAATCGTTGACAGACCATTGCTTTGAGATGCTTCGACAGTCTGCAGTTTGTCACGCTGACGCCTCCCTTGTCACTTTTAAATGGCACCCAGAAAAAGTACGACCGGTGTTCAATGCCAGCGAGTCGCGCCATGTTTGCGTAGATTGGAGGCTGCTCATGCAGTCCAGCGCCAGCCGGGTGGTTCAAGAAGATGAGATTCAGCGTTTGAGAAATCCGCTTATAAACGACGTATAGATAACGTGATCGAGTGCTACACTATTCTCTCGTTCTCACATGATGACCATCATGACTTGAAGGACTTTCAAGCTCCGTCGGAGGATCCTGCTGATAACTCTCCCACTTGGTTGTCCACGCTATCAATTTGTCCCAATCCCGACACTGGTGTTCTGTCCCAAAGCCCGTAACGCCTCCCAACGCCTTGTCCTTCAGTTCCACCGTTATATCGGGCTGACACATCAAACTTTGTCTGAGCAAATCTATGCAGTGACGTATATGTGGTGGAGAGGACATGAAGGGAATTTCTTCTTCAGTTAATTTTTGACCCTCTGAAGCAATGTCATAGATGGCCCAGTAGCCTTGTCGTATACCATCCTAGGATCTTCAGTCAGAATGCCTATGCAGAAGACTGGAAGATAATAGGCTGACCAAACAGTGTAGCTGATGAAATACTGAGAAAGCAGAGCGCTGCGACGCAATTTTGGGGTGCTTGAAAAATCCGCCTTGCTCTGGGAACAGCGCTGCCCATGCACTATTACTGGTATCAGATGGGGCTTCTCCGAAAGTGCTATTGTACGTAAAAATTTGAGGCTTTGGAGGCACTGGGTAATCATTAAGCTCGAACCTAAAGTGTTTGAGATACTTACATGATATTGTGGCATCTCGTGCAGCAGGAACGGAGTGCTTGCCGGCGTAAAAACTCGTCGTGATTATGAACAGCAACGCCATGAGACTGAGCACGATATTCATGCACCTGGAAGTCCTCAAAGTAGACTCGGCATTTGTATTAGTTGTGAGAGCGCTGTATCGAAATGAATCCCGTTTGAACGACCAAAGTCTCCACGGCAGTAGAGAAGGCATATCTGTAGTCGAAGGCTACACTCAGGCATACAGGTGCAGTGGAAATCTGCTCTAATCGACGCCTAGATAACGTTTTTCTAGCATACCTGACGCTAATGCGTGATGACGCCCTTGAGTACTCCACTTCATTTTAAGAACGATAAACTTCCCCCTCGATTAGCAAGGACTCACTCGCTCGACTCTTTGCATAACGAAGATGTCTGTCAATCGTATCGTTCAGCTTGGGTCTCTGATTGCGATCAAGGCTTCCGACATCGATTCAAAGCTGACCGCTGCGGGCGTTGCGACTCCAAGCTTCAAGGCACAGACGAGTGTTAGCAATTTTGCTAGCCTCGAAGAGATAGCAGAGTCCCGCGTCGCCATTCTTGAGGCAACAGACGAGCTCCACTCCCTTCTACTTGGACCTGTCGGCCAATTGACAAGTCACTCGGTCATTATATTATCACTCCGGTCTCTTGAAGACGGCCCGCTGATCGAGATACTTCTTCATAGCATGAGATCTTCCTTTCCCTCCAAGCGATCTATCGTTTCAGGTTGGCAAACTGTCTGCCGTCTATCGCATCGAAAGCCTCCTTTCAAGATATCAGTCAGCGAGCGGGACTTCCAACTCCTCTTGTGAGACGAGTGTTAAGGCACGCCATGACATATCGAATATTCTGCGAGCCAGAGAAAGGGATCGTGGCGCACACAGGGGCATCTCAATACCTCGCGACTCATCCTCTACTGCATGATTGGCTTGGCATGGTGCTTGAAGAGATGTGGCCAGCGGCCTCGAAGGTAGGTCTACACGAGATCTCAAGCCAAGGAAGCTTGCTCAAAGATGTACAATTAATGTAGGAAGTGACAGACCGTGGATGCGATGGCGAAGTGGCCAACATCAGAAGAGCCTAACCATTCGGTCTGTCCGCTCAAAACGGAGCAAAATGATCATGGGGTCTAATTTGAATACAATTTGTAGGGTTTCAATCTCGCCCATCAGACGAATCAATCAGCCTTCCAGAGACTGACCAGCCATGTCGATAGTCGGGCTCGCTATGAAGCGGCAATGCAATGGTTTCACGCTGACCCCGGACTTCGCGCGGATCATATTCTCTGTGGCTATCCATGGCGCTCAATACCAGAACAAACTGTCGTCGACGTTGGTGGCTCTCATGGTGCGATAGGTATAGCTATCGCAGAAGCATATCCGACACTTCGACTGATCGTGCAGGATCAAGCCGATGTGGTTCAAGCAGGCAGCGCAAGACTCCCTCTTGATTTGAAATCACGGGTGAGTTTCATGATACACGATTTCTTGGAGTCTCAGCCGGTGGGTTATGCCGCTGTATATATCTTACGATGGGTCTTGCACGATTGGTCGGACGCCTATGCAACCAAGATATTGAAGGCTTTGCGGCCGGCTTTAAAACGGGGAGCAGCGATACTGATCTGTGAACTAATAATGCCGGAGCCGGGTACGGTCAGCATGTATGAAGCCAGGAGTATGAGGTCTATGGACATGGCGATGCTTGAATTTCACAATGGCAAGGAGCGTGATAGAGAAGACTGGGTAAATCTGTTGCAAAGAGCGGATGAACGATTTTGTATTGTCAACGTTAGACAGCCGCCAGGATCACGACTGTCGTTTATTGAGGTCCGCTGGGACGTCCAAAGTAACGGTCCAGGACATCAAGAGGACGGAACTCTGTAAATAAGGCATGACTCATGTTCGCTACCATACTCTGTACAGCTATGCGATGCGAGCATGACAATATGTCCCTTCCTTGTCCTTGAAACATGAATAATACAGTCTCCGTATATTTTATCCTGCGATCGTCCTCAGTACCTTGACAATCTCTTCTGGTTTACTCGTGAAGGGACAGTGCGATGCTTCAATGTCTTGAACCTCCCAAGCTACCCCGCTTTTTTCGACAAACAAGTCCTGCATCGGTGGTGGAAGAGCCTGATCTTTCGTGCATCGTAGAAAGATGAGGCTTTGAGCGAATTCGGGTTCAATCCAAGCCGGAGCCGGAGCTCTTGAATCGAACGCATGTAGTGATGAGGGTCGAAGTAGATTTATATACTTCTTAGCGGCACTTTCATCAAGGTCGTTGAAAAGAACTGCTTCTGGATTCAAGATCGTGCATTGGCCTTTACTGGGCTGGAAGCAACAAACGTGAGCAAATTTCAACCGATCAAAGCCTGTATAGCATTCGGAGGAACGACTGAGATCTGACCTGATTTTCAGAGACATAAGGAGCATGCTTGCCACCCATGACATCTAATAGAGAAGGACCTTCCGGCACGATAAAGGCTGTCATATAGACAAGGCAGACTATGCCATTCTCTTTTCCCTCTCTGATCCTAGCATTCTTGCTCAACCCAGCGGCTCCTCCTCCACCAGGGATACCACCATAGGAATGACATAAGACGATGATATCTTTGTTCTCTGTGTCGAGCAGACTCAAGATTCGATCGCGAACCGCTTGGGTATCTGTTGCTACAGTGACGCTTACTGGGTCTTGGACATCACAGGTCGGAAGGTCGACAACGGAGGCCGAGAGCCCTGCATTATTGAGATGGACAACGAAGTCTTGATAGAGACCTGCTGGACACCAAGCACCTGGCACAATGACGATACTGGGGTTTGCGGCCGCCATAAGCTCTGAGCATGAGGATGAGTAATGATATGAGCACACGATTTCCAAGGGTTACCAAGTCAACTTTCAATTCGGATAATTACAACCCTCTCATGTCAAGAAAAGGGCTGTAGTTTGGCAGTAGTGGGGTGCATGAATACCACTACTGGCCCCTAGAAGAAATTCATGTTTGGGGACACATCCCTAGAAGTGACCTGGAACTTCGCCTTGAATAATTGACCTGGCCAGTGTAGGAGGGACGACATAGAAGGGGTTCCATACTAGCATCAGAGCTCTCTTCGTACGGGCAGAGCTTCTACGCCCGTATGATTACATTGTATAATTCCCGTACAAATTACAAGATTTTCCCATTTGGCGACTTTGACTTACTTGTTGACAGCACACATGCGGCTGCGGGGTTTGACGCATGAGCGTTTCGAAGGATCCAAAGGATCATGCACTACATATGATCGACGCTCGAGTCATTCACTGCAACTGCAAATACTGAGAGGTTTCTGTCTTACTCGCATAATGCATACGCGCACCCCACATTGCTGCCCCTCTGCATTTGTTTCTCCACAGTGAATGAACGTTCTCTCCTCACACTCAATACCAAGGGAAGAAACGAGAGCGTCGCCAAGTAGGACTCCTTCTATATTTGGAGCGGTCGCCTAGATCTTTCTCTGCGACAACGGGAATCAAGTTACTAGGCGGCCTGTCAAGGTTCGGTTGTCGGATACTCGGTATGTACACATGCCTAAATTCACCGACAACCGAGTTCTCAAGTCACTGTGTTGCTCCCGATCGTCTGAAGATTCTGACGAACGTGGTGCTCTGCAGGGCGTCACCCCTAATCTCCCCTTTTTTCTCGAGACCAATAATGCGCATAGCTCATGCAGTCATCTGCCCACGGTGAAACTGGCGTGCATGAAAGGCAATTTGTGTGTATGCAGCTAGCCAATGCTGCATGCAGCCCCTCTCCACACATCCTTGCAGCTGCTTGAAAATAGGGAAAATCGTCGCTATTAGGAGTAAGGCTACGGAACGGCACCTACTTTGACATCCGCATTAGAACTCGCAGCTGTCACCGGATCCGACTACAGTGTGGAGTGTATGTGGGGTATGCCTGTCTCGTTATCAATGCGCCTGTCGTCAGTAGAGCGTTCTCGTGCATTAGCTCGACATATATGCCTCACACCACTACGAATCACAGAGCGAGCTCTGCACCCGAGTCGGCAGAACTCCACTTTCCATGATCTGCACACAGAATGTGACTATTCTATTCATAATGGAGATACGGGCGCGTAAAGAAGCCGACAGGTTGTACACTTTGGGGGGCCGTCTAGAGGCCGAAGGCAACAGCTCCTGCCTCCATCCTCCCTATGCATTCATCTGACCCCAAAAAAATTCCAGATGTCTGGTCGTGATGTGGAGTAGGATTTGAGCCAGTACCTTTGCGTTACGTCCTCTCCTTACAGTCTCGAAGAAAATGCTTTCGCAACTGTGAGCTACAGCCTTTGCTCAGCCGTGGCCGTGCAGAACCTGGCAGTGTAATCAAGCAAGAATGTATTTAGGGAAGAAATTTAAGGGGGAATCTACACATCACCATGCTTATGCGCCGACAACCGAGAGACAAAATCCCGATCGAATATACGGCTGTGTAGAGCTTCAAGTTATGCATTGAAATACTCTCCTAACTATCAGCGCATTCTCCTACGACCTACTCTTCTAATATCATGCCCTGACTGAGCTCACGCGTTATGTCGTCTGCTGCCCCGGCTCCACCCCCTCCACCTCCAGGTCTCGATATCCATGCCAGCAGGCAGCCCGAGCTCTATGCTGCCACACTCACCACATGGGTCCTCGGCGTTATCGCTGTAGTGTTGAGATTTTGGTGCAGACATTTGACGAGCTCGGGATTCAAGGCAGATGATTGGCTGATCGTCGTCGCAATGGTAAAGATAGTCTACTTTGGAGAATCGCTACTCACTAAAGGCCATCTAGTTTCTCTCATTGGGGCTTCTCATTAGTACAGTCGTCTGTGAGTTAGCCCTGTCATCATCCAAGAGTAGAGAAACCCTGATTTTTAATGCTTGGTACCTCAAAACAGGGATTCACCAAGGTTACGGACTGCATCTTTGGGTTCTTGGGCCGGAGTTCATCCCGCATTTTTTCAAGAACCTATTCGTCGGCGAGATCCTGTACACCTTAATCATCTGCTTTGTGAAGTTTTCGATTCTTTCATTCTATCGGCGCATATTCGCCGCTACTATCAATTTATCTGTATACATATTAGGAATCATTGTGACAGCTTGGGGAGTTGCTGTGGTGCGTTGAACCTCTTGCCTTGCGGTTTGGTCAAGAATGCTAAACGATTGCGTATGAAGGTACTTGTCACGATATTCCAATGTAGTCCAGTGTCTGGCTTTTGGGACAAGACAAAGCCCAGCAAATGCTCCATCAACAACTATGCCTTCTTCATCGGAATTGCGGTACCAAACATTGTTACCGACGCCGCGATGCTACTGTTACCTTTACCCTGTTAGTGTTAATCATTGGCTTCACGGGTGGGAGAGACTCGTAACTGACTCAAGACTATTGAAGTCATCTTTCGTTTACACCGACCTAACGCCCAACGCATAGCTCTCGCCGGTATTTTCATGCTCGGTGGCTTGTTAGTGACCCGCCCGTTGATTCAATCGTGGAGCTTGACTGATCCATCTATGCAGCGTTCTGATAATTTCGATCGTTCGCCTCGTAGTTCTCGTCACTACCGATCTCAAGTCGCCGGATCTTGATTGGAACTTTTCTTATGTTGGGATCTGGACACTTACTGAGGCCAACATGGCCATCACATGCGGTAAGAGTTCCCATCTGCGATATTAAATCTATGTGTTTCTCACATACGAATAGCTTGTCTTCCGTCTCTTCGCCCAGTTTTGACAGTACTCATGACAGGATCTGTCCGCGAATCCCGTTACAACAGGGGCTCCTCTGACAATCGATACATCTCCAACCCGTTCAAAAGGAAAAGACTTGATGAGTCCAGCTCTGGGAGTGGAGCTCCGGATACCAATAGATCGGATAGTCAATATCGTTTTGTACCATTGCCAGAAGAGACGGGACGCGAGAACTCATTCGCGGCCGGGATGGAGTCACAGTCGCGTGGCACAAAAGCTAGCAGAGGATATGGTCAAGCCTTTGAGATGCAGAGTGATAGTCATGCCCAGAGAGGGATCCACGTTCAAAGCGACACGAGCGTAGATTGGACTCCACGTAGACAGATAGTGAATTTCGCGAAAGATGGCGACTTTGAGCGGCTAGAGCTGACATAGTAATCATGCTCAAAATGCCCGCACCTTAAGGTATGGTGGCAGATGGGGTTACTTATATATATTCGGAGAAATGAAGCACAGCAATACTACTTTTTTTTTTATGTAATATGCATAGCAAGTGGCTCTCGTCTAAATATTTCTCAGCGCAGTAGGAATACTAGTTGGGGCAGCTACCCCACGAAAAGCATGCCAGTCCCTGTCACGCCTCTCATTCCTTCAGAACTGTTCTTTTTCTCAAGATGGCACCTAACCCCTCTCGTGGTCTTGCGGACACCTACGTACTCAATCGCGATTACAAAGCTGCTTCTCGTCTGAACTACGCCCAGTACCTCTGGCACGAGAGCCTCGGATTTGATCTCCATCCTGCTATAACGTCCCATCTAGCTCCGCCCATCGCCACTTCATCAACGACAAACACCAGTACCAACATATCACAGCGTGAAATGCGGATAGCAGACATCGCCTGCGGGACTGCCGCTTGGCTCCGTAGCGTGAGTCATGATTTTCCTCACGCAACCTTGGATGGATTCGACGTCAGCCTCGCGCAATGTCCACCAGCAGAGTGGCTGCCCAAAAATATTCACTTGCGAGAATGGAACCTTTTCGACGAGCCTGGGCAAGATATGCTTGGGCGCTACGATGTGGTGCACGTGAGGCTTATATTTACAATTGTGCGCGATGAAGAGGACGCAAGGCGGATTGTCGCAAACTTAATGAGGCTTCTCAAGCCAGAGGGACGGCTACAATGGGACGAGTTGGACGTGCAAGGGACGTTTCTTATGAAAGCACAAGAGAGTAGGGAGGCACCGGTGATGCAGGGTTGGGTAGCGAAACTGAAAGGGGTGGGAATGTGGGTACGGATGTTGACAGAGGTGATGGGGGAGATGGGCTTGGAGGATGCTGAGGTAATGCAAGTCCCGGAAAGGACCGATCTAGCAAGACAGCTCTTCGACGTGAATCTAGGTAGGGATGAGGAAGAGGCGGTGGGTAGATTGAAAGGTACCGAGCAGGGGGAAAGAATGTTGAGGAGAGTGAGAGAGATGGAGGAGGAATCTGCGGGTGGAGTTGTAATCTGCACACCGAAGGTGATCTGCACGGCTCGAAAGCCCAGCGAGAGGCAATTGGTTGGGAGTAATATTTAGTCCACACTACCAGCCCAGGGCTCTGAGGGCGGTCACGCACAGTTTTACGAAATCATATTTCTGATCTGACAATTCCAGCGTCTCACCTGTCATCCAGTAAGACATCGGGAGGAATGCTAGCCAAGAGCCAATTGAAACTTGATCTACATGTCGCCTTATGTGGGCTAATTGGCGGCCGGCCTCATCTACAGACCACATGCGTATCCAGCATGCTGGGGGTGGAATTGAAGCGCATTGAGACGATGGAACTCTATGCCCTCAGACAATCTGCAAAACAGTCGCACGGAAGTTTTCGAAAGAGAGCGACATGCGCCCAAGCTTCCACCCATCCCAGGGCTTGGTTTTAGTCCTACCGATCTTCAACAAGATCGACGATATAGTTGGTAACGGTGAATGCCTACTTGATTTAATACCCCTGATAGCTTGGCTTTAATGAGACTTAGCACAACGGCTACAACGTGGTCGACGCAGGTCGGACTGCTAGTAGTAGCCTCCTGCATGGCCCCCCACTGTTTTAGTTTCCCCCCGCTGTATATATACCTGGCATCCTTCATCAAAATCCTGTAGACACTTTGACTGGAAACATGAAGAATATTCGCATTATCGTTACTTGTGTTGCGCTGTTCCAGTCAACTTTCGCTCTTGGAAACGCTCCTGAACTACCGACCATCGTCATCGTTCCTGGGGCATGGCATTCCCCTGAACATTATTTCAAACTACGAGATGTTCTCCATCGTGCCGACTATGATACAGTCTCCAAACGCAATCCAAGCTGTAACTCGGTGAGCCCCAACGACCAGTCCGCTGCCAAAGACGCAGCTTTCATCAGGAACGAAGTGATTCTCCCCCTTCTAGATTCTGGGAAGACGGTGGTTCTCGCCTCGCACTCATATGGTGGGCTTCCCGGAGCTGCAGCAGCGAGAGGACTCAGCGTTGCGGAACGGAGAGCAACAAGACAGCCAGGCGGCGTTATTGGGTTGCTCTTCTTCTCTGCGCTTGTCGCTCAAGACGGGAAGTCGCTTTTAAGCCTACTTCCAAACCAGCAATTTGACACATGGGTCATAGAAAGGGCAAGTATAATTCAAGGAACCACAAAGTCTACATTTCTTGCCGCTAATTTCGTCGTATCGCAGGAAAACGGCCAGCTGGATGTCGCAAACGCGAGAAATGTCTTTTACAACCTCGTCCCTGCAGCTCTCGCCCAATTTGCGGTCAATCTGATCAGACCTCAATCAAGAGCGTCGCTGTCCACTCCCGCTGGAATCCCAGCTTGGCAAGACCCCGTATTTGAAGGCCGGCGCGCGTACTGGATGTCCACCAAAGATCAAGCTATTCCGCAAATCGCTCAAGAAAGCTTTCTACAGAACAGCGGAGTTGCATGGGACATTAATCGCTTCCCTTCCGACCACAGCGCATTTTTGAGCTACCCTCAAGCACTAGGCTCGTGGTTCATCCAGACCATAATCAAATGGCAGGATGACTCGGTGAACAACTCTAGTGGGACTAGTGATACTCGGTAATTATTTGGATCGACGCTTGGTAGCGATCGCCTGCCTGATCAACAAGGCGAATGTTGTGGTGGAGGAGTGCCCTGATGAGAATATGGAGATCATCCTACCCGACTTTCATGACGATGTGTACGATATCAATGCATTTCCATAGTATGCAGACTTTGTTCAAGATTCAAATAGTGATGGGCAACTCTTATGCTTGCCACTCTTTCCGCTTCCTTCAAATAGCACTGCTGAGAGGCTTGCGTTCACTTCACAGGCCCCCAAAAGATTCAGAACTTGGCGCTCCAAGAAACTGATCTAGCTGTGCGTAGGCAGAGATACCCAGGACTTTTCAAAGGGAGTCACGGGATGTTTACACCTATTATGCGAGAGTGCTGAGGTAGTGTTGGACTTTTTGCGATGGAACAAAGGTCTTCATAAGCACCTAACGGTCCGTTACGGTTCGAGAACAGAAGCATGCTGAAAATGCACATGAGACTGACTTTTCTAGAGTCATCGCGCACTTCTTGGTGGTTGCGACCAGTGCAGGGGCCTCATGACAATCGCACATGCATATCAGAAATATCAACCCAATAACATCCCTCTTGTCGGACAGTACGGACTTCCTCACACCAGAGCTAAGGAGAACCCCCGAACGGGCAATCGATCGTCGAAATACGTGTCTACGAAAAGGCATCATGTCCGCCTCAAAGCGACCTCACCGAAAAGACACCCTAAATGTCTCTTCACGTCGGATTTTGATGCATGCGTGGAAGGTAGTGAGGGGTTTGGACAAAAAACCTACATGGATCGTCAGGCTAAGAGTAGAAGGATTTGCAACGTGCATGCACAAGCGCAACTCGTATTACCTTGCATCATGCATGACAAACACCCGACTTCTGAACCTGCATGCAGTAGGGACACCCCGGCAGGTGAATTCGACTGTAGGCTGCCACTTTTCAAAGAGTGAGACTACACTACGCCGCGTGTCAGCATCTTTCGCAATTTGAAGGATGCGTAGCACGCTGAGCACGATGGTGCGTGTACTATACTGATTTGTTCGGTTCGCAAGGAATGGATGCCAATGAATAATTAGACGGATCGTAACAGCTAAGATGATCGCTTCTCTCAGACTGCAAGCACTCAAGGAATGTTCAATTGATTATATAAAGCCATAGCATAGTCGAGCAGGAAGTATGCTTGGAAGCGTGCTCCCGTTCTCTCCGGAGCTGGCAGATCGCGTGTCTGAATACTGCGAGAACCACTCAGAGTGTGAGTATCTACTACACCTTGGATCAGTCAAAACAGTCCAGTGGAACGGCTGACTCAATGTTCTTTCCTTAGCCCTACCTTCGACACTGACCAAGCATTGGGAATGGACGATCCGCCATTGGATGGATGCCGAGATGATGTCCTCAAAGCTTCAGGCTCAGTGGATGATTTGGCTGGCGCAATGGACTGCGCCGAAACGAGGTTGGTTGGAAGACGTCCATGTCTACATGTAAAGGGATAGTAACAGACTTCGCCATTACTAGTACTTGAAGTCGGTACATTCACGGGGTTCTCGGCACTTGCATGGTACGAAGGTACAAGAGCAACTCAATCAGAGATAGTCACTCTTGATGTGCGAAACGAGGTACTCGCATACACGAGACGGTTCTTCGAGGAAGTTGGAGTCAGCGACAGAATAACCGTCGTGGAGGGGCCAGCAGGGGAGACGTAAGTCATGGCCACTATTCGAGGGTCTTGATTCACAAGTCCAACAGTGTAGCAGGCTAAAGACTATTGAGGGCGAATTCGACATCATCTTCTTTGATGCGGACAAACACAACCTCATCACCTACCTGGATCTTGTTTTGAACCAGCGACTATTATCGCCGCGGGGTATGATCATTGTTGACAACGGTATGTCATTTGCCGGCACTGGATCAAGAAAGCCAAACACTGTTCCAGGTTCTAGGACCTCAGAGGCTAATGCTCAGCAGTCTTTGCGCGTGGTCTGACTGTAGGTGAAGACTTCAATCCACACATAGAACCTGCGAGGAGGCCATTCTGGGAAACCGCGGGGGAGAACTTGCGGAAAGTGAACAAAGCGTTCTTGGAAGATGAGCGTGTCGATACAGTGATACTGCCACTCTTTGACGGAGTGACCCAGATGAAATGGAGACGAGAGTACCTGGATAAAAATGTGCTAGGAATAGACAGCGAACAAGACCACACGTAGCGTTGCATGGATCAATGTCTGTATTTTACTTTACACGTAATGTCGAGTCTGCAACAAGTTAGAGCATCAATGAGCAAGGGGAGATACACAGATCTTAAGACAATGCAGACGTCTGGTCCAAATCAACGAGAAGATGAGTGCGGAGCCATTCGTTACATAAGTCAGCTTACTACGTCAAGAATCTAGTCCTTTCTCACCAAGTTACTCTTGCTTCCTCAGACTTACTCCACAAATACTATACTCCAGACGGTCCTCAAATGAAAATGGCATCATCCTGTCCAATGACAGCATCCACACGAAAGCAAACTCCCAACCCTACCAACACCGCTTCAGCGTAAGCAACACCCTCCTTCCCTTCCCCTCCCCTCCTTCCAACCTCATTTCCCCAATCTAACAACTTCCCTACCAGTTTCAACGGCGCAATCGTCTCAACCCTCCTCCAACCCACCGATCCCTCCCTTGGATTCTCCTACGAGATTACTTTCCACACCTCACACCCGACCCTCGTCGCTCTCTCCGCCATGGGCAAGCCTCCCCTACATTTCCATCCCTACCAAGCTGAGTACATCCGTGTCCTCGAAGGGGCGCTAGCATTGTCAGTTGAAGGGAAGGAGAAGGTGGTAACCGAACGTGATGGGGAGTTGGTAGTCAACCGGTGGGAGCGACATCGGCTGTGGGCGATCTGTGCGCGGGATGGGAGTAGGGGCGGTGGGGGTGCGGTAGGGGGCTTTGGGGGAAATGGAGAAGAAAGTAAAACGAGAATTCTGTTGTCGGGGCAGAATACGAGGGAGGCTTTCGCGGTCGATGATGTGTTCTTCCAGAATTGGTACGGGTATCAGGATGAGGTCTTGCTCGGGAAGGGTGGGGGAAAGGGTATGAGCTTGATTCAAATATTGAGTGTGCGTTTAATCCACAGCGAAACCCCGGTTGTGGCTATGTTCCATTGAGAAAGTCGGAATCGTCTTTCTACTAGCATCTGCTAACATCATTGGCCGCAGATGTTTGATGCCGGTGGGTCGTATCTTGCTCTCCCCTTCTGGGTGCCTTTCGGTCGGACTTTGTCAAGAGCAATGGGTATTTTGATCGGCAGATGGATTGGGGGTACGCTTGGTTATCAGCCTTTTTATGCGAAGTGGACTTCGGATTGGGAGCTCGCGTGCAGGAAGATGGAGACTTCGCTATTTCAGAGGCGCTTTGCCCGTCGTGCGAAAGTTGATTAGAGTCTGTGGTTTACGAATATTGAACAACTAAACCTTTGCACAACTTGTCACCAGATGATGTGGCTGTTCTGCATTCTGCATGATGTTTTAAGACTCGAATATCGAAGATCGACTCCTGTACAGGCCTTATGAAAGATTCATCTTCAGTGGCAAACTTTCAACACTTATACCAACCCACTCTAAAGTCTTCGCCCATACATCATCTTGTTTCTTCACATCTTGGCTCTCCGGCGAGCTGGTGTCCTTCTTCAACATCGTGAAATACCCTCGTGCTCCGGGAGAGGCTTCATTCAGTGCGAACTCAACAGCTTCTCTCCCCGCTTCAGCCGAGGAACGCATGGTAGGATTCAGATACCGAAGAAGGGGCCCAAATGGCCGTAGAATGAGTCTCGACATCCAGATCAGCATTGCGGGGGTGTTGACTCTCAGAGCTCGCGAGTCGGTGAGTGTGCCTGGGTTGACGGCAATTGCTGTTATGTTGCTCATTGAAGGGTTCTGTAGATGACGGTGAGACTTGTGTGTGCAATGGGAGATTATTCACTTACTGCTTCCAGATGACGGTTAAGGGCATACAGCCATGCTAAATTGACGAGCTTTGAAGTTCCATATCTCTGAAATCCATGTCCCAGGTTGTCGAGCGGCTCGTCAGGGCTTGGATGTACAAGCAAGTCCAAATCTACTGGTATCTTGGGCGGATATTTCTCCATGCCATTCTTACCAGGCCAATGTGCATCGGTGGAAAAGAACAGGATCCGGCCTCCAGATTCTTGGAAAGCCCCTAGAAGCCGTAGGACCAGAGCAGCGTGGGCGAGGTGGGATACTTGAAGAGTCTTCTCAAACCCATCCCCGGTTTTCTCAATCTTGTCCACCAGATTCCAGTGGTAGGCGGTGCATACAATTGAGACTAACCGATGGAGCTTCCCAATTGTTATATCATCAAGAATAGAGCTGGCGAACTCGTGTACGGCAGAGAGCCTAGTGAGGTCGAGTTGGTGAATGGTTGCTTTAGACTTAGGGTATGCTGCAAGCACCTGCCGTAGCTTCTTGGTGTTGATGTCATTCTCTGAGCTATTGCGGACGGTCAGCACAAGTGTGTGATCAGGAAAATCGTGGAGGAGTCGTTCAATCGCCGGAATAGCAAGTGAGCTATTCGCTGCCGTGATAATGACAGTACCTGCCATTGTGGACTGTAGATAGTGACCACCGTCTAGAAAGCTAAGACAGCAGGGGTGTCGTGCTCATCTCTCGAGATTCTGATTATTTAGTTGACACAATGCCGGGAAAATGCCAACCTATCGCCATCATGCCAACTAAAAGTGTTCTCGTGTCGTGCAGAGAGAACTTGGCTGAGGTAGTGCATGGGTTTGAGTGTATGGGGGCATATACCGCAAATACCCGCAAGCAATTGATTTGGCAGCCGCGGCCGTGACACTGCATTGACCAAACGCAGGGATATGAACATTTTTACCAACTCGTAATGCAGTAGGATACGCAGGGTTGAGGCGTAATGACGCAGGTAGTGAGTACGTGCAGCTGGATGAAAAGCCCCCTCATCAGGCTACGTCGAAATGAAGCAAAGCATGCAGTGTGACGTGTTCTCCAGTAGGCTACTGCGTTAGTGCGCTACCAGAGCATTGTACAAGTTTCTGCTGACCATCAGAGGCATTTTAGGGATGCGTGCTGACGGCGTGGTTGCGACCATGTTCATGTAGATGGAAAAGAGAACTATATCACTATTGCCCTTTGACATAATGGAGTTTCTGGGGTTGGGTGACCATGATGATGAGAAACCCTCGAGTATTTGTCATTGGCTTAGCTCTTTGCCTATATCTATCGACATCTCTTGCGTACAATAAGACGGGAAATGCATGCCGGCAGCTTTCTACATGGTTTAAGAATGCTACTGTCCTGCCATCGCAGAGACCGTACGATGCGTTGAGTACGGAGAACTGGTCAGTATCCCCTAATCTCACGAGCGGAAGGCTAAGACAGGCATCCAGGTCGCAAACGACTTGGGAGAGACCCTCCTGCATCGTTCAGCCTGGGAACACACATGCATTACAGGATGTTGTACAACTGCTTACCCGGAGTCAAATTCAGTTCGCAATACGCTCTGGGGGCCATTCGCCATCTCCATTCGCAGCCAGCATTGACAATGGTGTCTTGATTGACATGTCCAAGTTCAGCGGAGTCGACTATGATAGTAATAGTAACGTTGCGACGATCGGTGCGGGCATGAAATGGGGCGACGTCTATCATTATCTAGACTCATTCAACGTTACCGTCGTTGGGGGAGGGTGTTGGACGTAGGCGTAGGAGGGTTGATCCTAGGATGTACAGCTCGCACCTCCTCATAGTACGCTCGGTAGATGAGACTTACCACCTTCTCAGCTGGGCTATCCTATCTCTCCGATCTCTATGGCTTGGCATGTGATAATGTGGTCAATTTCGAGGTATTCTTAGACTCTGCATCGACTCTTGACCTTCGCTGAATCGTTCAACTAGGTCGTCCTTGCGAACGGGACTCTTGTCAATGCGAATCAAACATGGAACGACGATCTGTTCTGGGCATTGAAAGGTGGCAGCAACAATTTCGGTGGGTCGGCCACGCTCAGAGGGCGAGAAAGCTGATCTGAAGGGCCAGGAATCGTCACCACTTTCTCCGTGTCGACTTATGCAATCCACGATATCTGGGGTGGCGTCAAGCTCTACACCATCGATCAACTACCTGCGCTTATGGCTGCCATGCACGCCTATCAATCGGCACCTGACAAAGATCCGTATGCGAATATCATGATGCAAGCCTCGACAACGAATGCCAGCGTGGGTGCTGTTTTGAACATGGTGTACCTCAAGCCTGAAATTACGCCGCCCGCATTTGCACCATTCTACAACATCCCCACAATTGGTGACTTGACGAAGTTGCAGACGCTGACGGAAATGATGAGTGGGCAGATGCTGCCAGATCTTCCCAGGTGAGGGCTGCCTACGAATTTTCTCATTCCTCAATACCTTTCTGCTCTGCTAAGTACTGATTTTTCATCCAGATGGACATGGCGTGCGACATCCTTCACACCCACAGCAACTACCTCCCTCTACCAAGAAATCGCCACCATCCTATCCACCGCCCCAGAGCTTTCGCTCCTGCAGTCCGCAATAGCAGGCTCGCTTGCGCTAGGGCTCCAGCCAATCTCCTCTAGTCTCATCATGGAGGGCAATGCGCGCGGTGGAGGCAATCCATTAGGTTTAGTACCCGTCAATCAAACCTGGTTCGTACTGGATGCCGGTTGGTTAGAGCTCGAGGGCGACGAAACCGTGGCGAAAGCGACGAAGGGTCTTATCGATCGAATCGAGGAGGCCACTCGGAATCAGGGAAGTCATCTAGAGTACATCTTTATGAATGACGCGAGTCCGGATCAAGACGTTATCGGGCATTACAGGGAAGAGAATGTGAGGAGATTGAAAGAGGTTCAGGCAAGGTATGATCCGGACTTTGTCTTTCAAGACCTTGTTAGGGGAGGCTTCAAGATCCCTCGTGCTTGAGGCGGTATGATTTGAGTATGAGGTTGATCTAAGCAAAGGTGGATCTGTCCATGTAGCCCAATCTCACGGCCCCCACTCTATTTTCAGTCCATCGATTTATGCATGGATGCCATTTGTAGTGGCTGAACTGTCCACTAGACGAGGTATACCATTGGGTTGCTCGCCTTTTCAATATGAAATCGGCCTATGTTGATGTTATGGGCTGCTTGAACCGTTGAGTTGACTGTCATCGGACTATTTCATCTATTAAAGGATCCGTTTCTGATCACTCCGGCAACTTTGTGGCTTCATCTATGAGGCGCATTTTCGTCTACCAGGTGGCGTATGCATGCATCTGGACAGCCAACAATATCTCGGTGTCATTGTTGACATTATTCGCAAAGCAGACAATACTCATGCTTTGAACTTCCTGAGATCCCTTTTCACTGGTCTACTGGTGTCTGTTCGACTAATTTGGGGCAAGATATGTTGAGCGGCTGCTTCAATCACACTCGGCAAATCCTCGCACGAATATCTCCACCCCATGCAGCCTCATGCAGAGTGACGTAGTGTGCATCAACGAGAATCAAGCGGCGTTTGTACAACGTATGACCTTCACTAGAATCTGTAAACGGTATTCACTGCAACACAATCCTCAAGATGTTTTCTTATCATCTTTTTAAACAATGTCTCGTCCTTTGGCTTTTCATTATCATCGACTTGGTTGCTGTAAGCCTCACGCCGGACCCATTGACTCTAAATTTCGGCTCCTTCAGCAATCGTACGACCTACGTGATCGCTGCTGAGCTGGGCTATTTCGAGAATGTCGATCTTGTTGTCAAGCAAACAGACGTGGCAAGCTCAACCTCCGCATACAACAGTGTGGTCAATGGTACACTCGACCTTTTAGATGGCACTTTCGACAATATAATCGACAAACGTATAAATCAAGGCCAACAGCTCTCAGCAATAGCCCAGCTCGACCAAGGGGACGGCCTAGTACTTGTCGGCTCCCAGGACATCAAAAGTGTTGAGCAGTTGCGGGGAAAATCCCTCCTAGTCGACAGCCCTACAAGTGGGTTTGTCTTCCTTGCCAGGAGGATCCTAGGTCTCTACGGCTTGCAATATCCCAAGGACTACAAGATTGAGGTGAGCCATCCCCCTTCCATGCCCATCCCCGCTCGACGCCACGTTCATCCTAATACTGCCATTCGTCTATCACTGACAACCACCTACCACAGGTCCTAGGCGCACAACGCACCACGCGCCTCCTTGCCGGCGGCGCAGCAACGATAAACTCCTACGCCGTCTTCGCCAACCTCCTCACCACTCTAAACACCACAAACGCCACAACACAACCCCGACTCAACACTCTAGCCCGCGCCCAAGACTTCGTAGATCCCTTCTCCAATCGCGTGCTAACCGTCGCTTCCGCCACCCTCTCACACCCTACTAGTGAGAAGTATCAAGCAATCCAACGTTTCGTGACAGCCTTGCTACGCGCCAACGCCTACCTTAACGATCCGGAAAACAGGGAAAGCGTAGTAAGATTGTTGCAAAGATCTGGGGGACTTGGAAGGAAGGCGGCGGAGGGCGTATATGACTATTCGACTAGCCGCGAAGTGGGAGAAGTGACAAAGGATCAGGAGGCGATATTTCAGGTCAGTAGATTGGGGTTGCTGAATGTGATTGATATAAGGAGACAGTTTGAGGGGTTCATGGGATTGGAAGCGGGGTTTAATTTTGTCGAGGCGATTATGCCGGGAGAGGGGAAGTTGATTAATTATAGGGTTAGGGATGCAGCGGTGCAGAATGTTTAGGAGGATTGATTGTAGTGGGTATATAGAGCCCCTTATGTCGCTCTACAACCTAAGCGTTGACAATGAAGAGTACGACCGGAACTCAAATAGCCCGCAACAGCAGCAGACTCAGTTTGAAAGGTCACATAAGTCTCAGTAACATCTCGAATAATCATAGACTTCCTCTATCTCCTACCACCCCAATCTCACTCCACACCATTAGAAACAACACCAGGCAAAGCCGCTACGCTCACCCCAGTAACAACATTTGACCTCAGCCCCGTACCCGCCGCCTTGGTACTGACGACGCCATAGGAACAGTACTACTAGTACTACTACTACTAATAAAGCTCGCCGCCTGCGGAACAGCACTACTACCTCCTCCCCCACCCCCACCCCCCACCCCCACCAGCACCATCACCTCCTTCCCCACCAGCACCAACCCCACCAAACCCCGCCGCCACACCATCAAACTGCGCCTGCGGCAGCGCAACCCCAGGGTGCTGATAAGCAGGATCCTGCTGATCGATAGGCAAGCGCGCGCGGGTTCCACAATCCGTCTTAACGAAGACGGTGTCGCCGAGCACGAGGGTGTCGTCGGCGGAGCGGTACGGTTGGTCGAAGCATTGCGGGCCTGATTGCGGGGAGGTGAGGGGGCGGCAGACGGCGGGGGCGGTGGGGGACAGAATGAGGAAGAGGTCGGGGTAGAGTTGGCCGCTGGAAGAGAAAAGGTTTTTTATGAGAGGGAGGGCTGTGGGATGTGGGGGAAAGGGGAGAGGGGGAAGGGAAGGGGAGGGCATACCACGAACTCCTCACAATCGGAATAAAAGTAAAATACCCACACCCGCCACTCCCCAGATTAACCGACGTAGTCCTGGTATCGGTGCGCGTATTCCCCACACTAAACCCCCCGTAATGGTCACTTTCAGCACCTTCAGCAGGTCCCCGCTCACGGACGCGCTGCCCGTATAAGTAAACGTCGTCGCCTGCGCCGACGTCACCGAGCACGTTAGCGGGCCATGGCAGTACGTGTTCGGCACCGGCACTTCCTGCACGTAGAGGAAGGTCTCGTTGCTTTGGCAGAAGGTCAGGCAGTCCGCGCTTGTTGTGGGGCCGATTAAGTGAGGGGCGTAGTCGGAGACGCGGTTCGTGCAGCCCGAGGATGTGTAGGAGGGAGGGCAGACGGAGGGGGGTAGGGGTTGTAGAGTTGTGGGGTGCCGCCCGGGGCGCAGGGGGTGGAGATTTGGTCTGTGGGTGCGGAGTCTGAGGCGGAGGGGGAAGGGGAGGGGAGGGGGGAGATGGAGGAGGGGCTTTGGAGCAGCGTTGGAAGGGCGAGGGAGAGGAGGAGGAGGAGCGTGCGGAGGAGGAGGATGGGATGGATTGGAGGGATCATGGATGTGTGGGTGGGTTGGGCTTGGTGGGTTTTATTCGATGGATGGATGGATGGATGAGTAGGGTCGAAAGAGAGTCGGTATGAAGATGCTAGTTTTCACCGTACTACTGGTTGAAGAAGCTGTAGATATTGGGGTCGTGAATCGACTGCGCACTATATAAGGTACCAATATACCAATGGTAATGATATGACTATATTCTCTTATCCGTCTGTACGCCACTTTCTCTCGAAGCCGTAAAAGAGCCGTTAGCAAGCGGCACCTTTCTTTCCACTTGTAGGCATTGAACAGCATAGCCTCACTCTGTGTACCGCGTTTCATGACTCCTTTTATGATGTATTCCGCTCTGGCAGCTAACGGGCAGGAAAAGGCTGCTGGGTAGAATTAGTGGCGGACGCGGAATGGGCTCTCTATCCTTCTTGTCGTCTTCATTCTTGTTTCTATGGAGTCCAGTCCGTCGACCGCAATAAGGTTCAAGGAGGAGGTTTAACGACACCGTTGGTCACATGCCCTGTTCCACATCATTTTGCTCTCTACGTAATTGTTCATTTTAATCATTGTTGATAAGGTATATACGCAGCCCGTTCCCGTCCGCTAGATTGTTGCAGATAAAGTCCCGTCCCGTCACAAAGACGGGACCATTTACATTATGATGATGCACAACAGACTGTTTCACCTTACGCGTTGCGGCCTGTCCCGTCCAACATCCAGCGCTTTGCTGCACTACGGGATGTGACTTCGGGACAAGAGCTTGGGGTTATGGAGAACGCGGCTTAGGGAGAATGCAAGGATATTTCAGGAAGGCCAGTAAGGTGTTTACAAGTTTGCAGCGTAGCATGCTAGTGCAAGCAAGACTCTGTAGAAAGTGTTTACTACTCGAACCTTTAAGTTGGACGTCGCATTTCATACTGACTAATCATGCAAGTGTAATACTAAAGATGCTTCTTGTTGAAAATATATCACGCTGCAAATAACTGGCTAAGTTCTTGCCAGTAATCTCGAGTGCCGTAATAAAGAAGCAAGCAGATGGCGACCTCTGTTCTTCACCTGCACACTTTTCTTCTAGCCTATTCAATATCATATGGCCTATGAAAGGTTGAGTTCCATGAAATTATGTAGCGAAAGTTTCCATCAACGTGCTGAAAGTTATAGAATAGCAAAAGTGTACAATCACTTAGCGTACTAATTTATACTTAGGAGAGAAACGTAGTTTTAAACGAATAGCTACTGTTGAGGCTCGAATCGCCTCTTCGCCTAGTCCCAAGATAGATGATATTGTATAATCCCCGCTTTAGGCTTGCTCATGAAACCTATGTCACTCTATTTAAAGCTATAAATAATAGAAATGCCTATGCGAGCATTGATATAATGTAATTAAATCGCTACTTGATAAATCTTACCTTCTATGAACTAGAAAGACGCTAGTAGAGTAGTAAAAAGACAGTAGAGGATGTTTAAAGTATAAGTATTATCTGCTTTATACACCGTAATATTATTAATATATTCTTGATAATCCCTGATTTACTGCTATTTTACTATTTCGTTTGCTTGGAGCAGACAAAAGCGCCTTAGGGAATTTAATTTTTTAGCCAATGCAAAGCCAACAAGTAACTCAAGAAACGGTCGCGTTGCCACAGCTTCTACGTCCATTCTTTCAGACGCTCGCCTACAACGATACTTTGGGTTTCCTTATCGCGTCATCTTGGGGACTGATGCCCGGTCTTGTAGTTGTACCACCTCGTGGATTGAGTTAGTGGGACGGGCTTTCAGCAAGAACCTAAAAGCTCCTCTTAATGGTTACAATTCTTTTGTTCCCGGCTCAGTATGCTTGAGATGTCTAAGATCAGAGGCTTGGTTGATTTAAGACAAAGAAAGAGGGCAGATTCAACGAATGGTGAACGTTGCGATGACTGATTTGAAAAGTGCAACTGCTGACATCATTGCTCTTCCATTCCGAAGACTCCACCTGCACAGCAGATCCAGCCTCCTTTACTATGAAGGACCAGGCTATGACGGCTAACCGTGCCATTGCAATGTTCAGTATGTGAATATCGCTGTCTCCGAATATCATTCCCGCAAACGTTGGTACAAACACTTAATACCTGCAAGCGAAAGGCCCGCCAAGTATTAGTTTCCCAGGATCAGACAAATTTACATTTGAAGAGAACGTCCTTTTCCCCGCATCTGACAGTAAGTATGCTATTAACGGATGGACTATTTGAAGGGGGCAGGTGACCTTGACTTTGAAATGTCGCATTCGTTTCCAGCGAATGTTTCCGGGACAAATAAGGACGCGATGGCATCTCTGAGTATCGGAGGGCTACTTATGAATGCTTCCGTTCCCCAACAGAGTACAGCTACGCTGTTCAGCTATCTGCAGGTTTCGTCCAGTGCCGGTTTGGACCAGCTGAATGAAACATCTCACATTTGGGTGATTGTCGCATATCAATATTGTTTTTAGATGCGCATATTCTCCTAGCGGGTCTCTTGGAAGTACGGCGTAGCTGCACATCTCTGATAAAGTTCCTTAATTTAGATCGAACATGCATTGATTCATTGATCCTTCGCAATGCGCAACGATTTCTCCCTAAATATGGGTTATGTATACGTCGCAAGTATTTACTTGCATTACGTCTTCCAATGAGCTGCGACCAGAATAAACAAACTCCAGCGTTTTCTTGCCCAGTATACTAGGCTAAGACCCGTCGATGCGACCTAAACAATTTGACATACATTTGGAAGGGAGCTAATATGTGAATCTCTATTTAGCTTTAGCAGACTGCTGCTTCCCTTCTGAGGCCGATATGTTTCTTGACTGCCGTGATTGCAATATGCTCTTACAACTGATGTTGTGGCTTCATGTCTCCTCGAGCCAAGCTTTGTTCACAGTCAAACATCAAGAGATTTCGCTGTATCATGATACGGGTTTCACTCCGGTATCTAATCCATTTTACAGCGATAGCTGCAGTAATGCCCAGCCTTGTTTTTACTCACCAGGTTTCGGTGTACCAGCAAACTCTACCACACTCTACTTCAACACGAATAGTCAGTCGGAGGTTAACGGCTTTGCCCAATGCGTAGCCCTCGGTACTGGAAATGCATGTTGGGGACTTCTCAAATTAGACCTTTGGCTCAGGTGGCAATTCAATGATCATGTGTGTCCTCCTGGGATTGGCCTTTCGAAATGCATCTTGTACAACGTGAAACAATCTCAATCAGACTGTTCTGGAATAAGACCCGGCACGTGCTCCGCCCCAGCAGGCTCGCAGACGTCCTCTCTGTCTGCTCATCTTATTGCCTATACTCTCTATGGTATGAGAAATCGAACAACGTCTCAGCTCTATATCTTAGAATTAGCAAGATAACTAATTGATTCGCCTAGCAATTAATCAATACCTCAATTCATGGTATACAGCAGTACAATACGCTGGTAGTATTGTTGAAGCCAAAGTGGATAAAATTGTTCAATTGCTTGACCCGCCTCAGGATACTACGTTCGGTAAATATGGCGAACTTATCGAAGCATTTGTCGGGATTGCTTCTCTTGTGGATCCCGTAGTAGAGGTAACAGATAGCTTGCTTTCAGCCGCACTAACGTTAGGTGACACTGTGTCTACCGCGAGCAATAAAGATCCGATTATTGGGCAAACTTTGAATAATGCCAATTATCCTACTGGAACGACCGACTCCCAGCTGTATCAGATTGCAGATCTAAGAGATGGGTTGAGCCAAATAGTTGAGACAGTTCTATCAAACCTTGAAAAAACAGCAGAATATGTGCTGGGCACCTTTGACGGTTTCCTGGCCTTTGCAGATCAAGAGAAATTCTCTGGGGACCTCCCTACGTTACAGAGCGAGAACAGCTATCTACTCTACGTCTTTAATACATGGATAATCTCCAAAGCCTTGGTTGCGAACGATATACACGGCGTACTGGCATTGAATACTGATCCAGTAGCACTAGCAACGAATGGAACGAAATTGAATTACGACCTCAATGCTAGCAAGACGTATGATAATCTCAGAACCTACGACGCATGGTGGTACAGTGACGATCTCCACTCAGCATTCGGGCTTGACGCGTTCAGCCAAATGAATCGACCACTGGGCGACACAATTCGAGAACTCTTAGAGTACTATACGACGGGCCCGCTCCTCTTCGAATCAGCCTACAAATGCGCCAGCCAAACATCCTTGACTCAGACTGGTAATACCGACGCCTTGAATACCACTTGCCCATCTCAGCTCAAAATTCACACGTGGGATATGACTTGCGTCGACCCTATCCTCAATAGCACTTGCGAGTTTACAGATGGGACTCCGCGCCAACATCAATTCCTAGATGAGGCGGCTAAGGGTAGCTCTTTGTATAGTTTTGATCAGTCTGGGCTAGGATATAGTGTACCCAATTCATACCTTGGGCCACTGATCACGCAGGATAAGTACAAGTTGAAGCGGACATGAAATACCGCGGTCAAGCGCATGGCAGAGCAGGTCAAGCATGAAGGTACAAGCAAGTACCGTTCATGTAGCGTACGTTGGAGATAAGCTGAACTATCGGGATTCTGCCGCTGGTCGGAAAGACATGAAGCTAGGATCACAGTACTGCTTGGCGTAGGAATGCTACACATAGGCCGCTCTGTCTTTCAGGTGACTTCCGTAAACATATCTATGCATAACGCCACAATCAATGGAAGGGAACCTAGAAGGGTTAAAAAGCGTGAATGGTAAGACCAGTTACAACATAACTCCCCCTAAATAAATCCATATCAATTTCTCAGCCCATAAACTACAACGAACATAGCACGCGACTCAACCTCCAACCCCTCACGACTGATCCCACCCCATCGTACAAGTCTTAACCGGCGTCCCCAGCCTCGTATGGCCAGTCCACCACTCATACTTACAAAACACCTTCCCCGGCAGCACTCCCTCCGCCATCGGCAAACCAATCGCCGTCTGCAAACACCCCACACACCTCTCATAGCACGACAAGCCATTATCACCATCCCCATCCAGGCCGACACCCGCGCCCGACCAATGGTCTTGGCCCTTCCAAAACTGGAACGTCTGGGAAAACGTACTGTCGTTGGGGTCTTTCGGCTCGCAGGTGGCGCCGTTCCAGCCTGTGTTCTGCATGGTGGATAGGCAGGTGGTCATTTGGTCGTGCCATGACGAGTTGAGAGTGAAGGCCGGGGCGGTCATGTTGGTGGTGAGGGTGCAGCTGGGACCGGAGTCGTGCACGGTGTGGTGGGATTGGTCGGTCGAGGTGAATGCGGAGCCGGTCGCTGGTGCTGAAGAGGTGAGGTGCGGGAGGAGGAAGAGCCAGTGGAGGATAGTGGAGGAGTACATTATTTGTGCTTCGCGGTGCGTGGGAGGTCTGGTATATGAGGAAGACGTGAAGGTGGTTTGGGCGAAATGTTTATTGGAGAAAAAGTCTATGTTGGCATATGAACATAAGAATTGAAACATTGACGTAGATTACATTGCTTTATCACGCCTATGCAGCAGAATGATCTTCGTGACGAAGCGTTATGTTGGATCGAGTGTTGGGGACTGCGCAGCACAACAGCGCGTCTCAAGGATTGAACCTTCTTCTTGAAATGTAGGCTCGCAAAGGTAAAGGTCTGCATTTTCATGTGTAGCGCATTATATATCCGTCATATGCGGATAATCCGAGACATATTTGCGAAGAGCCGCAGCTCTGCGACGATATCGCTACTTGCGAGAATGTACGGCGCTCAACGAGTTTAAGGAGGCTGGCTTGTCGGGGCCCTTCATCTTCGTAAACCCTTCTCCGCAGTCTTCGACTCAGCTTTCCTCTGCAACGCGGTGTTCTGGGCATCTCCCACAAGCTAGCGATAGAGCCTTTGAAAGAAAGCATATGTACGGTAACAGTGATTTGAAATCTCATCGCGGTGTTCAGTTGTCTCAATATAACTATTATCGTATCGTCGATATGCCTAATTCCTAGCAATGTATATCTAACCAACAAGTGTCAACGCTGCTGCTCCTGTCAATTCTAGAGCCTATGCTGTTGATGTGCCTGATGTAAACGTAGGTGTAAGTTGTCGGCCTTTCAATTGTCGCCCGCCTAGTATTTAGCTCCTCATTTCATTATAAATGGTTTGTTTGAGAGGTGAGTTAGCGGAAGGGTGGTGAGGATTGGGTGGTTGAGCAGCAGCGTTTGTGTAATTGTGGTTGAACAATGAACTTTCTGGGTATCTTTGCGCATGCTAGGTTGTCGGATTGGTGGGTGAATGGTCGTTCGCATAGGGAGCTTTTGAAGCTCATTATCTTCTGTATCTCCTTGCTTCTGCTCATGTGGTATCGTTGGATTACTCCCACTCAGGTAGGCTAGCTGCCTTTTGGCGCTTCTGTGCCGTATTGGGACTGCCCTCTGAATCTTCAGAATGTATCGCAATGTCTGCGAGCTAATCTTTTCGGGGTTGGAAAAGTGGGGCAATTGCCGAGATGGCTGTGGGATTTCGTGAGGCCATAGGGTCTTGAAGGATTGCGTTCGATGAAGATGAATAGCGTAGGATTCTCAAAGAAATTGGTAAGATCGATGCCTTTCTTCTTCTCATTTAGCGTGTTACTTACTTACATAACTATGATCATCCTTATTAGATCCTCAGCGGTTCTAATTAAGGCTAATTAATGAGACGATTCACAGGTCTTTGTTTGAAGGATGTGAGTAAGATCGCGACCTTCAATAACCATAAAACGCAGACGTAGAAGCACAGCCTTTGGTGTGCTCCTCTTCGGTAAAACGTGGCGGCTGAAGAGGGCAAAACGATTCAGGCTCTGAGGGCGCGCGTCTCGCCTTCAGTGTGTAAATGAAGTCGATATGATCATTTGAAATGCTCATCAATCTCAATCTCTTGTCTGAAGTCGAGACACCCAGCCCAACCCATCAACTTCGCAGCTTTCAACACTGACCTCAAGAATTGTAATAAACATCGCTCTCCTTCATCATAAATCGATCTTAGTCTCCAGCTGGTCTTATATACTAGCTTCCATGCGCAGTATCAATTCCTTGCTTTCTGCGCTGATGCGGGCGTTCTCCGTCGAATCACGCTATGTTGTAGCGGCTCATCGTAGACTGACACATGCTCTTGAGTCTGAAGATTTGGCTTTTCAATTCTCTACTTATCTTTTGCCGCCATATAGATGCGTAACCCTTTTCGTCTCTCCTCTTCAAGCACGTTCTAGGATACTCCTACTCCTGCTATCTAATCTGCGAGACTATCGTTTGCCTGGCTTCTATTGGCGTTCTTTTTCAAATGCACTGCATAGGCTGCTCATACCATCACAATTAGTCTCTACTCCCATGGTATCTTATCAAAGGGGCTTTCTTCTTTTATTTCTGTCTGACCAATCCTCCGAGATATGCCATCTGTCTCAAGGATTAAGAGACACGATTTACGCATTGGACTTCCAATCTCAGATCGTACCTTTACCACAGTACATGTGAAATTGTTCTTGTGATCGATTGCTGATGGATCACAGCGAACACGACCTATCTTCAGACACAACCTTTCCTCCATCATTTGTGGGGGACCCCAGTAGCAGAACTCAGATTTAACACACTGGTGAAATTCATTTGTTGGATCTGTTTCTTTAACGTCACCTAAGGGAACCCATAGGAAGTCTTCTTCTTCGTCGTTGTTTATTGATTCTTGGATTTCGTGTCTTCTTTGTACGTCTGTGGTGTCGGCCCAGAAGAAAATATGAAAGGCAGGCATGATGTGGCTTCGCAAAGCAGGTGTGATATCTTTGATGTCGACAGGACGGGCTTGCTGGTGAACGTCTTCATTCTAGAAAGTTACTGAATTTACAGGTATAGAGCTCTCTGCAAGACGATGAGATGAAGAAAATAAGTAGGCACAAGAATGACGATTTGCAGTGCTACTCGCACTGACGTCTTGATTTGCTGCATTTAAAGCGGTCAACAAGAAGATGATCCTGTAAGATTTCAAACGGAACGAAGAATTGGCGCTGGCTTAATGCGAGGTCTAATCTGAATGATTACCTTGATCACCGATAAAGCCTCGTCAACAGGACCTTCTGGCGCGAGGTGATAAATAAAACCTTTTGCATCTCTTTGTCTCCTACTTTGTAGACCAAGGCCGATGGCTGCTAACAAGCAGAAGCTATTAATAGCGTTGCTCAAAGTTTTAAACCAATCGTGATGGACCATGGCGCTAAGTCTTGCGCTTATGGGAGGAACAAATGTTGGTTTCTAGATCAGCGGCATGCTCGTGGACGAGGCGGACAGGGATTGTGTCTTGCTTGCTCATTGAGATTTGAGATGTCCTCGAGGACAGTAACGATGATAATGAGTACGCCTTGGTCATAATAGATTTGATGATTACTTTGCTGTCAATGTCCCAATAAATTGAACGATCTCATTAGCTAACAGCAAGACCATAGAGTACGTCTTAGTCAGACCCCTCTTCCCATTCCCGTACCTGACTCTAAGCCGACTCTTAGCCCGCAACTTTCACTCCTTCGCCATCGCATTCCCATCCGCTGCTGCTGCAAGAGGGGGGTCGGGTCAAAGCCTACAATCCACCTCGCATCCCCCAACCCCTCATGCCCATCCCAAATGCTCACGTCCAGAGTACAATTCTCACGATGTCTCTGGAACCAATCAATCATAGCTGTTAAACAAGCCGCTACATCTCCCCAGAGTAACTCCTCCCGACCACCACTGCTACGACCGATCACAAAAATCAATTCTAGCCCAAGGGCAATAAGATTTGTCTCCCACAATCCGCCCACTAGAGCAAGCGTAGCTGGTCTGGGCTGCACTAGTGATTCCAAGACGTAGGTGAGGTAACTAACGCTGAGGGTCCATCTAACGGGGTTTCCATGAGGTTGCCTAAGGCGGAATGTGTAGGTGAAGGGGCGGGCTGTGAGGCTAGAGGGAAGAGGGCTATTAGTCAGATAAGAGGTGATTTGACAGGGAGAGGGGGGTAGATTGCATCATCAACTTGAAAGTGGGCGCCAGGTGACAAGGTGTAACGAGAACTCTTACCTTGCTGATATAGACAAGTTTCCGACTGGCGCTGCTGCTCCTACTGTATTAAGTGTGGGTAGGCAGACAACGCAGCTAACAAAGACGAGAGACATATGCAGCAGGCTTGTAAAATGCTTCATAGTGAATACGACGATATTCGAAAGATTAAGAAGAGAAAAGATCAAGCTATCCGGCTTTCAACCGTTTTAGCTTGGCAGTAACAGTAAAACATTAAAGTCTCGCTTATCTGGTTCAGAATGGAAGGCGTACTGTTTCAGTAGCAAATCTTATTATGGGACCGTGTGTGAGACGTCTTAAAGCTTGCTCGAGACTCTTTCGCATTGTTTCAGTCACTTAAGTATCCTACTATTCCCTTCATCTTTCGCGGTAATGCAACTGGAAAGTCGTGTGGTCTTTTAATCTTAGGAATAAGTACAGTGTATATCTGGGAAAGTAACATCGCAATAAGAGCACTTGTCAAAATCCTGGTGGGTTTAGGGTGGTGCAGCGAGTCGCGCCTGCCGGAAATGTTGGTTTCTGAATCAATATAGCGAGCATGCACGAGGTAAACTGGGGTTTATGTACACTTTGCTTTTGAATTAATAGTTGATCTAATGTGCAGGGATTGAGTTCAGATGATGAGTTCCAGCTGTGATAGTGTCCATAATATCGAGTTGTATAATAAAGAAAACCCATTTCAAGTGATACGATACCAATTCGTTGACATCATCTCGCAATTGTGGCTTTCCCTGTCCTGCTTCACGGACATGCTATGGTAACAGGTAAAGAGCAGGGAGACAGCACACTATACAAAATTGGAGAGAAAGGTTACAAGTGTATTAGCGATTGAGAAAGGTAGCACAAAGACTTATTCAGCTCTAGAAGAAGAATCCCAGATCTCGCCTTCGCATGATTTCTCTTACATCTATCCAAAATTCTCTAGTCCTTTCCGATTTTTACGCCCGTCGCAAAAGCCTGCGCCATAGACCCCGCCTATGGTAAGACGCCTCCACTCCCTTCAAATACACCGACAGCTTCCACAGCGACGCCACGGCCATCGTAGATACCAAAACCATCGGCTACCGCCGCGCCAGCAGCCTTGTCGGCTTTGTCCCCCTTACCTCCGCAACCGCAGAGAAAAACATAATAGTAGGCCCTGAGGACCAGAATCCCTTCTACTCCAGCACCTGGTTTCCATCGACACGCAGAGCCATCTCATCGGATCCGCAGACCCAGCTACCCAATTTCGCCAAGATCCCAGCTTGTCCATAGCAGCATGGCTTGGGTCCTCACCTGCCAAACAAGCGGCTACGATCTTATATATACCTACCTGATTGGCAGCGTCGTAAACCCTGCCCTCACGCTTGGCCTAGTCGCCGCCCTCACAAATAAATGCTTTCGCGCTCTCGAGCTTGGAGATGGCGATTAAGATGGCAAGATTTAGCGGTTTAGCCCAACGACTTGCTGACACATGGGCCACCCACCTTTTTTGACCGTAAAGCTCTAAGCTTGTTAGCCGGCGCAGTAACGGCCCGCACTGACCTACTCGCCGCGCCTCGTTGCACGAGTGCCAAAGGCGCCACTGTTCACCCTCGTCGGATTGAGTCCGCTGTATACGGCACTTGGCCTGGGGGGGCTAAGTATACGTTCCTTTGCATGGACAAGAGGGGTGAAACTGGGCTGGTGAGGTAAAGGTCAACAGTTCCACCTATAGTGGCGTGGGGGTCGAAAGGGCTGAGCGGGAGTTGGAAGGGACGGGGCGGGGGGAGTCTGAGGGGTTCTTCGAGGAGAAGGAGCGGAGGGAGCGGAGGGGTGGGGGTTGTGAGGTGGGGTTTATCGGGATGGGCGGGGTGAAGGGTCGAGGGTGGAGGCTTGTGAGATCGTGAGGGGATAGATGGCTAGAAGGTTGACGAATGATAAGTTTTATAGATACTAATACCGATGAGCACGATTCAATTCTTATGTATGGTCTCGGGAGACCCCGGTGTTGGCTATTGTTACTTCTTTAGATGATACTTATGATCATAAACTCATTATTTCGTTCCGTGTCTAAAGTATGTGGTGCACGGCGTTATGCATTGGCAATGTCACTCTCTAAGAACTATACTCTGCTGTAGCATCTCAATTGCGGAGACTGACTATGCTATGCATTCCGAGGGTTTAATTATCACCGCCAGAGTCGTCAGTCAAGGTCTCTATAGCTTGAAACACGCGTGAAACAGTTGAATGATGATCCGAAAGGACCAGCGCGTCGCCGCACAGAGGCTCTACAAAGTTTCGTGTCCGTTGTTTTATGTATAGGCGATCCGCTACTACGCGATAGCTCGCGATACCCCGCATGATCTAATAGCTATGGCTTCGAGAGGTCCATTGATCATGAGATCCTTGTCAGTATGTTCGTCGTCGCGGCTTCAAAAGAAGTCTCTGTCATTTCATTCCAGAGTAGGCCGCATCCAGTGTCTTCAAGTATGGGGCTCAACGACTTATTGCGCTCTCTCGAGGCTACGTTTTCTTGTGCTAAGTAACAACACCTAGCTCAGTACTGCTCCCGAAAGCAAGAATTTTCCGAGACACGGCACGGATAGGTCCACTGACAGCAGTGTCTCAGGCGAAAAGCATAAAGCAAGAATTAATTCACATGCATGCCTCTTGCGTTTGGAAATCGGGGATTTTATGACGTACATATTAAAAAATGCAGGGCAACATACGGTCTTCACAAACGGGAGAGTCTACCGTCCTTTTGAAACGGGATAAGCGCTACACCGTCATAATCGTTTCATTGGCCGTGGTTATAATGAAGTCGACTCGTCGCCCTCGAAGCATACAAAAGGTCTTCAGACGCTTGGAAACTTCTCAATCTCCGTCGTTTGTATTCATACGCTCCAAGCACCACAACAGTCCTCAGGGTCGTAACATTGCGCCAAGGTCGAAGTCGTCGCCAACCATGATGCTAAGATGTAAGTAGGATAGCTTCTCAACCAATTCGATACAAGGTTGACAAGATCCAGCATTCTCTTCCACCGTCACTGCCATCTACGTTCTCCTCGTCGGAATATCGCTCGCATTTCCCATTCCCCAAGTGCCAGGGGCAGGTGGTGTTGGCGAGCTCAGTGAGAGTGATTGGATACAAGTCATCCATAATAGTACGTCTCTGACTGTGTGCTTCCCAATGCTCCACAACAGTGCATTTCCTTAATTGCCACTTCAATCAAGCTCAACGTACTTCTCTGCGATATCTCGCCCGTATCTCTGATCTACGCCGCATTTCTTTTCCTGCGAGCTATTCCATCACGAAAACGACGTGAGCTGACCGACTATCATGTTTAGATCCCCAGTGGTTCCCTCCAGTCCAGGTGACTCATCCAGACGGCTCTGTATCTATCGGGAAACCTATTGGCAGGCATTTGAATGTTGTCAATCCGGAAATTGCTTCGGACTTGGGTCAGAAAACCCCTTAGTGGTGATGGGATGCCGAGTTATGGATATATTCGACAAGGAAACCCGAGTGCTGATGAAGCAGTGTTGATAGATAATAGAGCGGGCATCAAGAGCAGGTCTCTTGTCCTTCCGAGCAAGATTTTCAAGGGACTGCAGGGTGTAATTTGAGGGGATACCCCTTCTTTGATTTCTATGTTGTGATAGGACACTTATGGTAATGGCTATTCTCGATTGAATTAATGTTTTGAATTGAAGCCACCATGTGAGCCTGCCGGCTGGAATGAACGCTCAAGACAAGTCATTGTTAATGCATTGGGGGAGAAATCAGCGGTAATGAAATGTCCGTCACCACCATTGAAGAAGCATGTGCGACTACCATGTGCCCTATCTAAAAGCCAAAAGCCAAACTCCGATACTCAAAGTGCCATCTGCAAGCACCCACGGTGTTCGCAACACCGTCTTCGCTTCCTCACCACTTCTTTAGTAACAATCTCCGCGGCGCCCTCCTTACCAGCACTAGGGTACCAACAACTTACCCCAGAATCCTATCTCTTGATCGCAGCACATACCCACATCCCCTTCTACCCAACCCCTAGCTCCATTACCATCTCCCCCACCTCCCCCTTCCACGTCATCAACTACGACACCCTCCTCCCCTATCCTTTAATCCCAGACTCGTACAACCGCGCCGCTGCCTTCATATCCCTAGACACCTCCCCTGCGTCTTCGCACTCTATCTAGTGTGAGTCAGATAATCCGTTATCGCCTGGTCACTCGCCTGTGTTTATGAGAAGCGGGAGTTGTAAATTGGAGGGGGCGGCGCCGAGGGGTGGGGGCTGCTGAGTGGTGGATGGAGAAATTTGATGCTCTTGTGGTGAAGATGGTTTTGTGGTGTGTGAAGTTTCAGGAGGGGGGTTTAGGGGAAGGGAGAGGAGATTGATTGGTGGTTGGGCTTGAGGAGGGATGGGTGCTGGTTAAGGTTGAGTTGTGGGGAAGTGGATGTGCAACCGAGTGGTCTGGGGCAGGGTAGGCAGATAAGGGAGGAGATGGAGGGGAAATGGGTTTGGAAAGGGGTGGGGTGAGTCGGACGGGCATGGGCATAGGGATGGTGCGTTGAAGAGTATGATTGAGGATGGAGAGGGTGACGTAGATTCATAATGCTTCTGCACCCGTAAATATTTGCTAAATCTGAGTGGAAGATGCTAAAGTTATTGTACAAAGCTGTCAACACCCACTCCAGCCTCACTATCATAAGCAGCGTGGATCTGAGATGGCGTGGGCTTCTGCCAATAATCGCAGTTCATGTCCACGGAGAGATTTAGTCTCATGCGACTAAATGGTCATAGTCAGTAACTTGGAGGTCCGATTTACTGCTATATTGAAGTCTCTCCACTGATGGCGAAAGACGCAAGAAGCGTGGGGGTACAAGATATGTGTTGGTCTCCTTTGACTGCGTTTGTTTCTCGTATTATTTTGCTGACTGCCTGTTGTTAAGTAGTGATAATATCACGTCATAGGGCTCTGTATCTTTCAGTGGTCGATTCTTTGACCAAGGACAAAAGCCCTGAGGCTTAATAGAGCGGTCACGGAAGCGGTACGCAAGGTCAACTGCGTCCGACGTTGGCTCGACTCTTTTCTCAAATAAGAAGAACTTCACAAGTTCGACACTCCCACCAAAGACCGCAGCCGTCAGTGGGGTTTTAATTTTGTATAAGCACGAGCCCGCCAGCGGGGTGTTGACCATGTCCAGGCACGAATCCTTGGAACGGAAATCTAGATCGGCACCAAGCTCTATCAATTTTCTTGCACCCTCATTGTTTCTATATATAGCAGCCACCATGAGAGGACTTCCAAATGAAGAGTCAGCATTGATGTCCGCACCGTACATATGCAACAATTCAACTGGATTGTCGTTATCTGTTGCGGCAGCCTCGTGTATGTGCGTCACATAGTGTTTTTCATCTGCTGCCCAGATTTTATGGTTTGGATCTGCACCAGCAGACAACAACATTTGCAAGATCTCCCGAGACGAGGGGTGATGCATTCCCCACGAAATGATCAATCCTAGAGCGGAGCAAGTCTGGGTTCGGAGCAATATTCCATCAGTTATGCCAATGTAAGCAGAGTCGACATCAACGATATTATTCGCATCCGCTCCTTTGTCTATCAAGAGCTTGACAGCTTCAGTATGTCCATACATTGCGGCACAGGTCAAAGCGTTACTCTGAGCCCAAGTGCTATTAGCCGAGACATCTCGATCCAGAAGAGCAATCATCGGCTCGCGATAACCGTAGCTGGCCGCTTGGCAGAGCGCCTCGCTGAGGTCACGGTCGTCGATAGAAGCACGCATAGCAGATGAGTCCAGAATGTTCGCAATCCCTCTCGCATTATCATTCATCACGTTCTGTTGTAGGCGTGCTTTGGGTCGAGTCAACCGTGCGGCCAAAACACTAATGGCTGAGGCTCGCGTCTTTCCAGCGATGGCGCCTGAAGTATTGCTAGGTAAGGGTGTCTTTTCCTTATTCCGAGTTTGTGAGCTAGGTCTACGCTGGCGAGCAGAAGAGCCGTTAGTGTTAGTGTTAGGCTTTGTGCCAACATTGTCGGGCTCTTCACTCTTTGGTAACGATCCTAAGTGGAGCATGGACGAAATGGCAGAGGACGAATCTGAAAAGCTTTGGCTATGCGCACTCTCATCAATTGGTTCAACAGACTTCAGGCTCTGCCCATCAGAAGTATTTTCATCATCGCGCTCCTCAAACTCCCCAGATTCCACTTTGCTGACGAACCAGTTGAGGATGAAATCGCGATTGGCATTGAAAGCGGCCACAGAAACGCCGATATCCTCGAGGTTCTTTCTGATCTCCCTCCACACGGCTTGATCGTCAGCTGTTAGACTATCGACCGTATGATTCGATACAATGGAACCTTCTCGTTTCCCGTTTCGGAATTCATCGAGCAATTTGTCAAGTTTCTGTTCAACTCTCGCCTGACATGTGCTGAGCCTCGGATCAGCATGACACCTCGAAAACAAATAGGAGAAACAAACGCGACAAAGGTGCCGAGCATTGTGGTGTGAGAGATGAGGCGAGCACGTATCTCTGCGATATCCTCATTGCCATATCGCATTCGATCCCAAGTCCGTTTACTCTGAGTGCCGAGGCTCTCATACTTCTTCACTATCTTGTCAAGATCTACGAGAACGTCATTGCATCCCTCTTTGACCGTTTGCAGCCGATGCTGTCTATCCTGTGACAGAGGCTGGGCGAACACTGTCTCTTCTGCCTCTTTAATGACTGCATGTAGAGACAGCACCTCGCCGCTGATATTGCCAAAGCTTTCGGGCGCTCCTTTGCCTGAATCGACTCTGTGAGTCCGGTCTCACTCGTCACAGAATTAGACTCACAGGATTTGTAGACGTTCCAGGCAAGCGTGCCAACCGCAACGAAGTCACCGACGCCAAAGCCGTAAGGGACCGGCATCTGTCTCACACCAGATTATCCCAGACGAGCCGCAAGCAGGTATACTAAGATTCCTTATCCTTGATCCAGCCGACTGAGGTGGATCTATTCACTATCTATCATAGGAATGGGCATAGAAGCGGGGTATGAAGATCTCAGCCTTACGCTACAGACCGACTACTGCTCGGAGAAGACCAAACACCGAGAACATTTGTAGCACGTGACCGGCAATGGACAGGTCTAGAACATGAGCCACACCTCAGTCATGCAGGTACAGCGCAGAGATCGACAGGATCTGCCACTTGTCAAAATCCACAACTCTCCTCAATGATAGAACAAAGAAGGACTTTTCCGACATACCGGACTGCTCGTCTAGATGTATTGACTTGTTACGGTTGATTCCGGATTCGGCCCAACGACCTAACTGTCCTGGACATAGCATAAGGAAAAGAACCGACGGGACGAACAAAACATAGCATCCTTGACTGGATAAGAACCATATTCTGATAGTGGTAAAGTCACATATGTATTGTGTGACAGAGTTGTAATACTCTGCAAGTCCTGTGCACGGTTCAGCACTATTTCAGACCTCGCCACTTCTAGAAAATCTCGACCAAGCTTATCTGAAATCCTTCTATTAGCAACGGGATGGAATCGTAAGTGACGTTCGAGAGTCTGAGGAGATTCAGGCATACGCCCAGCAAGCATATGAGACAGAAGTAAAAGAGCAGGGCTCGGCACTGCGAGGGCGTCAATCTCAAGACAGAGTTGCCCCTTCATCCTTCATAAACCAAAATCTCAGTCCAGGTCCACCGCATTTCAAAGCGACTCACCCCCAAACCCAACCCCTCGCCACCCTTCCCCCCCCTCCCAAAAACACCCCTACCGCTTATCCATCTGCATGATCCCATAAAACACGCCCCCTGGCCCAGCCCCCAGAATCCTCACCAGGTCCAACCCCACCGACTCTCTTTCCCCAAGAAACATCTTATACCCTTGCACAGCCTGGCGGGCCACATCCCACGTAAAGTCCACTTCAAACTTCGCCGGATTTTGGAGCACAATCAGCCGATAGTGACCATCTACCGTGAACGTGGCTCCGCATTCGGGAACGCAGTCGCCGCTCTTGAAGGGGAAATATTTTTGCGTCATTTGGGTGATGGCGTTGTCGAGGATGCGGCGCGCTTGGGTGCCGGAGACGCCGCTGCCGCCGCCCCGGCCGATGGAGAGTGAGAGGGGGGTGAGCTGGAGGGGATTGGGTAGATTGCGTTTGAGGGGACGGTTGGGTCTGTGGGGGTGCTGTTGGGGAGAAGGTTAGCTTTGGTGGACGTGCAGATGGTGATGGTGATTGGAAAGCTGATTCTTTTGGGGAGATGGTGGAGAAAGCGAGGGGAGGATTACAACAAGGCTTTGGCATCTAGGGCTGTGATGTTGAAAGTTGGGTCGCATGTGGTGATGATGGGGCTGCAAATGGCGAGGCTGGCTAGGACGGAGATGGAGAGAGCGGTGGTGAGGGTTCGATACATGATCATGTAGGAGGTTATGTAGGTTGGTGGTTGGGGACGTAGCTCTGGGTGATGATATACCGTTGAATTTCGACGATGCAGGTAGATGACTGATCAGCTTTTGTAGAGGGACTTCAGTCTTGAGGCACGTGGGATCACATGCACCGAAGCCCTAGACAAGCGCAAGTTAGCGGCAAGGCTTTCTTGCGCCTTAAGTTGAAACGGTTGGTTTTTGTTCCAGGGCTCCTGTTGCTGCGCATGAAATTCTGGTGGAGCCAACAGTGTCAATATCTGGAAAGCAGGGAATGTAGTTCTAATTTGGGAGACCTGCTTTGATCCTATGGGGAGACACTAAGAGAAGTATTTCGGCTAATTCACCGACCCAAATTGTAAATACTCTTACAAGAACCCCGAAGCATCACCAGCATAAATTTTCACATAATGAAACAGCACCACCGCTTCCCCCTCCTCCTCCAACAAAGTCTTGTAGCCCTCAATAGCCTGCAGCGCTACAGACCAATTGAAGCGATTTGAGTAAAAGTCGGGGATATGTTTATTGAGGAAGAAATAAAAATGCTCAGGCTCGCTCAAAGTGAAGGGCGCTCCACACTCGGGGATGAATAGGGCCGCAGATGGCGAGATTGGCAAGGACTGAGATCCAAAGACTCGCTGTGAGACTTTGAAACATGATGATTGCTGGTTGTACGAGTTTTGGCAGGCTAGTGATAGGTTCTGAGCGGTGAAGTATGTGTATGGTTGATCAGCGGGCTTGATATGTAAGTTGGTGCCTTGAGGGAACCTTCGCTTGAAATAGGAGTTCCAGACACACATGCGCAAGTCAGCGTGCGGGCTTCTCCAGCGCCTCCTCTAGCCGAAAGTGTTGGTTTATGTTTCAACTTTTGAGACTCGCGTGTGCGTCGGGAGATTTCAAGTCGACCCTAATACTATAAACATCTAGATATCATGGGTGTTCATCTTGAGAAATGTAGCTACCTTGGGTTCCAAAACGGACACGGAGAGATGTTATGACATTTATTTATGCGGTCTATTTTCGCAGCTTAGTAAACATGTTCATAACGTTGAACATATAATAATAATGTGAAAACCAGTTGAAGGATTGCTTAAGGTAGTCTACCATCTGGTCCTCAGCTGTGGTTCTGATCTCAAGCGACGTAGAAAGGTGGTGGAGCGTCTATTTCCAGATGCCCAGTAACCAAAGTCAGCAACAGCATACGGGTTTGCATCTCAAAGTCTCTCTTACGCGCAAAATCACCCATCATCGCTGTGGAGATCTGATTGCAATATAGCTGCGTAAGAAGGTGAGCTACAAGATTTCTTTTCAAACCACATCATATCTCTGTCCAATGCATTAATAACTCAGCAACCTAAAGATGGGGTCGTAAATCTCTATCTATATAACTAAACTTTTTTGTGGCATCGAAAATGCACGTCGCTATGAAAGTAGTAGCTAGCATCCTAGTATATTTCCGAATGATACATCCTATCACCTTGCTATTCTACAGAGACTTAAACTAGATTATCCGTTAGAAGTCGGATTACTTCCGTGTCTCTCGGCCATAGAAAATAGCGTCATTTGCGTCGCGTTTAACTGTTGTGGATGTCTCACTGGCTCGCGCTCCAGAGCTGTGTGCTGCACAGCCTCTCTCCTTTCGTGGTCTGGATAGAGAGCCGGACGTGTGATTCAGGGCATTGTGTGTTTTACTACCATCCATTCATTAATCGACTGGATGATGTGCCAGTGTGATGCGCAGTGTATACACTGATTTCGGCTTGCTTTTGATGGATTGTGACGTCAGTTGCAAGCGCGGTGCTGGTCAGAGTTGTTCCTACAGGTCGAGGACGACTGCAAATAAATAGTATATAGTCACTCTACCCACTCACGACCGCTGCCACAATCGCCAATCCCGCCACAACCGTCGTGGCCGTGTTCACTCGGAAATCAGGCATCTTGGGCCCATTCTCCACCGCATACGACTTCTGTAGCGCATTATTATCGACACCGCCCACCATCGTTCCCACCCTATTCGCTTCGTCTGGCTGCCTTCGGGCTAACCCACACGATTCTTTGGCAAATACATTCTTGGTTTTGGAGGGCATCGTCGTTAGGGTCGTCTACGAGATTGTCGATAGTGGCATCGTAGATCGTGCCTGCTAGAATGCCAGTTTGGTCTTGCAGGTAGCAGCGGATAAACATGCGGACGTGATCGAATATTAGGCCGGCGTAGTCGAGCTAGTAGATGGATCGGTGGTAAAAAAGCCGATTACTAAACAGTGAAGATCGAGGGCCAAATCTTGGGGTGGCTGGTCAAAAAATGCTTAGGAAGGCAAGAGGAAGGCAAGAGATAGGTGGAGGGGTAGAGATAGGTAGGGAAGTTGCGCATAGGACATCGTGAACCTGCCTCGTCTCTGAGCTTCTGTATCATCGAACGAATCTATTATCCTGTCCTCGCCTCTACTAGGTCTTTAATCGAAGGGTACCATATCAATGCATAGCGGCAGACCTCTCACATCACCATTCCTCATCAGTCTTTCGGGAATACGTTATCCATTGCAAGTCTTACCTGCTTTACTATATATCTCTTCCGAGGCATCGACCTAGTGGTACTCTGGTGGGCACTGTACTCGTATTTGTTATCTCTGCTCTTGACCTGCTGCCACTACTCTAACATAGCAAAGATATGAAGATAATTGCCTTGGCCACAAAAAACGCCATACAGGCTATTACGCTTGTCACGTGGGTCTTCCAAACACTCTAGCTCTAGGCTAATCCAGTGGGTGCCGAGAAGTTCGCTGCAGTAGGCAGATTCACTACAGTATCCATGCTCAGGATGTAGATTTCTGAGAGCCATGCGTGGGGTCGGGCGAAGCGGCAACCTTTGTCGGGATAAGTCTTCGAGTAAAGAGTTGTAGCTGTTGCCGTCTATACTGTTCTCCGACAAGATGCATACAGTAAGAGGCTATCCTGCCACCGCACCCGATAACGATCTCTGCATCCTGTGAAAATGCAGATGATTTTTGGCAGAGGAGTATTCAAGCACATGAAACGAGGCTGACCGGTAATGTCTTGGTCTGCGACCTTGCTGCAACGCGAAAGATCCCCTTCGTCTTAGGCCTTTGACTATTGAGTTACGCCACGGAATGCGCCAGATGCCTCAGATTACTTTAAAGCATGATAGATCTGGATGATTGATCTCGTTAATGTAGGCAGGTGATATCTCTGACTTCTTGCGACACTATATCCCGCCGAGGAGATACTCGGCTCGCATTCATGACTTTAGTTCTCAGGGCTCATACGCTAATCTGAAGTGGAACCCACCTAGCTGTGAACCGATCTGCCTTATGTGCTTGTGAAGCGGTAAAGAACCCGTGGGTGAAAGGCTCATGAGCTCGTCTTGGGCTCGTGTATGATCACTCTAGACATTTAAGCGTTGTCTAGCTTTTCGACTTGCTAAGCCGCCTAAGCATTCGACGATTCTTAGCGTCAGCGTGAGCCTAGTCGGCACACCGCCCTTTTGCGTTCGCTCATGACGCGCTCTCGATCAAGTTCTGAGCAAATGCACAGATTTTTTTTTGAACACTACTGGCAATTGTATACACCTGTAGAAGTATTCTGTCATTGACGTTAGCCTGGCGCGACGTTGTTGAGATAGCGCCTCGGAGATAATCGATAGGTAGGGATCTCCGTGAGCGTGTCGAGGCTATCCTATAAGTATGGGATGCTCAATAAAGGGCATACTAGCCATGTGAAACCGCAAGATCCTCTCACGTATCGTACAGAGCCATCACTGATCTAGCCATCCTGCTTATCACAAACCCGGTGAGCTTCAATGTCCACATCGCTTGGTAAATATGGCTTGCAAGGATGAAGGACCGGACCAGGCGGCCAATGTATGCCTTGAAGCTCTGCGAGCCGGAATAGCAACGAGAAGCAAGTATCACACTTTGATTATCATAATCGGAGAATCGCAAGAACGTCTGCCTTATGTGAGCGAGTTACCTCCTGGTTCTACCTGGCTCGACTAAAGGGGCTTTCTACAGTCATGTTAGAGAAGCCTCGGACGGCAGGAACGAGGTACCACCACACCCACTTCAATTGACTGTGCGGAAATGTCTATCTTTGAGATGTGACAACTCATTCCTTGTGGGCCAAGGCAGATTCCCTGACTTTCGTGTACTTTGTCCTTACCTGATGGACCTAGCATACACGTTCAGCGAGCAGCAGCCGATGTGGAGAAATGAGGTATAAAGACATCTATCACTCACTCTTCGGATGACCTGTGAACTCTCCAGCACAGAGAATTAAATCCCAATTCGCAAGCCAGCCTAAGTTCTCTCTTACTCTAAGTATTGAAACCTCCACGCAGGAAGCTCGACTTAGTAATCTACTCAACCATGCATCTCAAAGTCCTCATCAGCGCGCTCTACGCCGCCATAACCCTCAAATCCGCCTCCTCAATCTCAATCCCCACCTCCCCTCTCGTCACCCCTCCCAAAGACACCCACCCTCGCATCAATCTCGAAATCCGCGCGCCAACCTGCCCGGCCGGTCAATTCCTAGACACCACGCAAAACAAATGCGTCGTGCAAACCACCTGCGGCGCAAGCTGCACCGTCGGCTCCTGGTTCGGCAAAACTTTCCAACCGCCGCGGTACTCTGTTCCTAGCTCATGGCCCTCCTCTGCTCAGAATCAGGGGTGGGTGCAGGGCTCCGATGGCTCTTGGACTCAGGAGGGGACCACCGGAGCTCCGAGGTCATCTTATATTGGAGGTGCGGGGACGCCTCCTCCAAGTCCGTTCGAGCAGGATGCTTCGTGGGAGACTGCGCCGGAGGAGGCGGCGGAGTTTGCGGGTAGTAGTGTTCTTTGAGGGGGCGGAAGTGGGCAGCAGCTGGGATTTGGCGACGTTTGAGCTGTCAAGCCGGTAGAGGGGAGAGATAACTTCGATTCTTACATGAGAGTCTTCAGAGAATGTCTGATCATTACTGTTAAGCGTTGAAGTATAAAGTGTTGAATGACTTCAAATGTCAACTCTTAGTCTAGACTCCCGTGCGATTTCCCGCCTCCTGAAGTAGCCCGCGTTTGAGACTGGTGATTGCTTTGTAGTAATGAGAGATCCTTGAATTTTTCACGACTGGTCCTGTAGTTTTGTTAATCTTGAAAGCCGACGCACAACAACTCTACGGAATCGTGAGCTAGTAGCGGGCTACTTACTGCGAGTATATGCTTCCTCTCTAGCAGTTTCTTCGTTCTGACTACCTGCATCAACAGCCGGCACATTATCACGATCAAACGCCTCTTGCTTATCTTTGCAACTCAGAAACTCTTCGTCTTCATCACTTGCTTCTGCCACTGCTTCTGTAGTTGCTAGCCCCTTAAAATTGTAATTTGACATTCGCCGCCGATTCGACAAATCTTTCAACTCATTCAAAAGACAATGGAAGCTCTCTACCAATTCTCGGAGTTCGGTCCCGTGTCCGAGTAGAGTGTGTGGATCCCAGCGTTCTTATTCAGCTAGTCGTACTGAAGCAATTGAACATGGACCTTGATAATCAAGATCAACACCGACAAATTCTCTAAAATGCCTGCGTAGTGTCTCTACCATTGTCTTACTCCCTCGGTGGCCAGCGTGGTGGAGCATACCCCGAACACGATGATCCATACAGCTGATCATCTCGATAGAAGCATATGTGAGAAGATGTGATAGCATTTCGTGGTCATTCTGGCCAATTGCTGGCATGAGTATGCTTTTGTTTTCGTTGCTCTGAACGTTAGTATCTGCACCGTGTTCTACAGAGGTCCGGAAACCTGGGGAATTGTCTGCATCCAGGGCGTGATTAAGGGCAGTCCATCCCTCGTTATACCAGGCTTCGATGTCGACACCACGCGAGATGTACACTTTGACCATATCCTGTATATAATCTATGTCTTCTGGGTTCATTGGTACTCCCAAATGCGACTGAACAGCGAGTTACTCTGCGGTCAGTCTTAAACATCTTGGCGTCGTAGCTTTGAAGACTGACACGCCATCGAGATCCTCCAACAATGGATCAGCACCATAACCAATGAAAAGCTTGCTCATTGCCCAGTCTTCTCCAGCGCAAGCAATCTTATAGTGATCTGTCAGTAGAATGCGCGAAAGCTTTTGCGCCTGTCGACTTACATGTAAGAGTTTCCAGCTCTCGGAGTAGCATCCTTGATTGATATTTGTTTTTCTTGCAATCTTGTCCAAACTATCTCCACAGCCCGCTCGTTATTGGGCAATGAAAAGTTATAATAGAAAGCCCGCGATGGCCTGACGTTCATAATAGAAAGACTAAAGTCAGGAATGCCCGCGGGACATTCCTTTTGATACGGGAAAACAAGTGACCGCTTCAGTAGCCACAGTGGGAATGCATATGTAACGGTTATCCTCCCAGCGCCATCTCGACATTGTATACTGTCGCAATGGTCTCCAAAAGTATTGATACCTTAGTATCTAATAAACAAAAAGCCAAAGAATGAACGAAGCGATCTGGGGCTGCTGACGGCGCCAAAGGAATGGCATGAACATGAGCAGTCTATGGCGCAATTTGTCTGCTCCACAACGATTCTGGATGTGTCTTCATCTGTCTCAAATCCTCGGCTAGCCTGCATACTCAATTTGTTTTGAGGAAGCTCTCCATTCGAAAGAACCGGCTCTTCTGTGGTGAGCCGAGGGCTGATCTACCAGCCTCAGCGGTGGCGTCCGTGACAGAGTCAGTTTCGGTTAGTCCTCTATCTGGGCTGAGGGCGATAAGCGAGGAAGGAACAACGCGGAGGAGCTCTTTGTGACTGCTCTCAATGTGCAGTGACAAGAGTCGCGTAACATTTTTCGCCATCCGTGACTGAATCATGCTGACATCATTAGTGTGCAAGTCATGGTGAAGCAGACAATGTCGTACAGATTGGATATAGCTAAGGCCGACTCGAGTTTGTCCCGTCCGTCTAACTTAAGCTAGATCCATTGCACGGTTATTCGAGTACTGCCAGCAACACCATCGATTTCGAGCTATCTGAATTAACAGCAAAGTGTAGTTACATTTTGGCCAACAGGTCGTGAGGCAACAATGGCTTAGCAATCCGTCCCCATGTGGCCGAGGAAAACGAGGCCGTAAGGCTCCGCACTATCATTGATCTCGCTGACCTGCTGGACTTGGAAAGTCTTGCTGTAGTCCAGCTTGACGCCCTTGAAACCCTCCACCGTCTCCATCATGATGTCCGCTGAATCTTGCGGGAATGTTCGGTCACCGACAATCGCACTAGTCCTCGTAGCCATGATTCCACCCCCATACTCACACGGGGTCCCCGCTGTTGAAATGCAGTACGTATCCTGCTTGGAATGGAGGTCGATCATGCATTTCATAACCGCAATATCAATGTCCAGGATCTCACCGTCGTCTGGCGATCCGTCGTAATAGGCGTATTGCGCTTTCTTTCCAGTCTTGTCGCTTTCGTGGGAGAAGCCATGGCAGGATCCATCGTCTACGGGACAAATCACTGATTCCTCGCCAAATAGTGGTTTGAGATAGGTGGTGCCGATTGCGCCGAGGAAGTTTCCGAGGCCTTCTCCTGGGGTAGGGGCACCCTGGACATGGCTGGAAAGATTCAGCAGCGCGATGAAAAGAACGCCAGCTTGGCGCCAATTTGCATTGCTAGAGGTCCAAAGTCAGCAGCTGCCATTTTCGCGGACGAGACCGAAGATGACGCTTACAAGAGAGTCATGATATATGGGAAAGGTAATGCGTTACTGATCAAGTCTTGTTGTGGTCGCCAATGAGCAATTCTGGAAGGAGGGCCAGGGATAGTGCTTGTGAAAGACTCGAAGATAGAGCTGTCCCTTGAAAGAAGGGCAATCCTCTTCACTTATATGGCCCTCGCAGAAGCCCAGGAACCACCAACACTCGAACCCTTTAAGGCCTCCAGTCTGAGCCCCTGTGTTAATATCAGGAAAGAGTCAAAAAAGCCATGTCAAAGAGGCGAGAGCTACTGTTTACGTCAATGGCGAGGTATAAAATAGTACCTGACGATCGACTACTTACACTTCGAGTTAGGGTATTAGGCCCCCCAATCTCCGTGCCGCCCCAACTTGTCAGCGCGCAAATCGGATCATGAAACCCCTAGATTAGTTCGACTAGATCCATCTAGCATTGGGCGCCTTACTCCTGCGCCACAGCCATGGGAGACGGTTCCTGGGCTTGAAACAAACTATCTCCACAAACAAACGTCTCGTTGGATCTCGGCTCGCTTTTCCCGCCAAGTGCTTATGCCTAAGGCGAGGATTGATCTTGCGCTCCAATGAAGAACAACTGAGGCTGTGCCACATCGTCGCGCAACAATGTCCGCGCGTTATTTCTGTTCATCTAAGGCCCACCACGCTGTGTAATGAAGGCGCCTTATGTCATGCACTGGCATCGACCATTGCGACTTGTATCTCGAAGTCATACAACGATACCAAACCAATACGGAGCACTGTTACTTCTTTGAGTGCCAACGCCCCCAACTAAAGCGTATGCGGTGAAATTGAGAGTGGCTCTCTCATAAGCTCGCCGTACGTTGTCAACAAGTGCAGGAGAATGGAGTTCTCCAGGCGTACTAAGTGCGTGACTATGTCCGTTTTCAGATTCGTAGCAGGAGCAGGAAAAGCGAAAGAGGCAAAGGAACGCGACCTTCACCTCTCAACTCTACCTCCATAGGAGAAGCCCTATTGTTGCGGATCTTTATATCATCCCACCAGTCGTCGATGCCATTACTCTATCTGTGTATTGAAAACCCTATGCATTCGGTAGAAGCGCACACTGTAGCACTGGCGTTGTAAAAAATCAGAACATCCGAACTTTAATCCCTGCCTGTGACAGTGTGGCTGATCTTTGAAAAGCCAGACATACGCCCTCATGGTACTGGTCAGCCCCGCCTGAGTTTCTTCGGGCGAGTTATCGAGCCACTCATGGCAGTCGCCGACTCCGGCCCCGCACTCGCCTGCGGAGGTAGAGATGTAGCGCAGGGTGTCGGAATTGCGCTTTATAAATGGCAATGGCGATGGGGATGGTGGCTTCCTCGTCGCTGGGCTAGCCTTTTTTGTCAATCACACGGGCGCAGAAGTCAATCCATTACTTATCGATCCCGTATTGGACCTATTCCTCGGTGGTCGAATCTGCAAGGTTTTAATCCTCGCAGTTATCAGTCATGGGGGATCGAGCTTGTGTCGCTGATGGACCTAGGTTGTTCGAATGAGCCATCGTTGGGGTTATGGTTCCTGTATTGGAGAAAGTATTTACGCCCGTGTTCCTCGACATTTGTTTACTCACATAAAAAGACTGGACTTGAAAAGGAAAGCGGCGAGAAAGGCCGCGAAAAAGGCAGATCGCTAAGAGGCGAATAGAAGTAACTCTATTCGTGAAGAGGACATAAGCGTGCGCAAGAACAAGCAGAGGCTCATATTATGTTTCGAGCTCCTTCACGTTATTTGAGGGAGCAGTATGTGCTCTATGAAGCCCTCTTATCATTAGTGTCTACTTTGTAGCATGACGCGCCGTTGGAACACACCGCTTGTTTACGGAGAATGGTTGAAATAGGGCAGCCAAAACCTCAATTCCGCCATCAATGTTCCATTGTTTGCGTATACTACTGTACATGTGCACGTTTTCACCTGCATATGCGCGAGCCTCCAATGCTAGATGGAGGTTACTAGTCAGCGGCGCTACGCTGCATTTAGGCCCGTTGATATATTCGGATGCGGGGCTTCTGTAGAGTAAGGAGGACTTCCCCTCAGCTTGTTCAGTTCCACCAGAATGACATTGATAATCTTCGTCAAACCTGCTAAAGTCCCCTTAGGATGCTTGGACTTCAGAGATCGGGAATGAGTAAAAACCCATACCAAAAGTGTCCTAATCTCGCTTCCCGCCCAGCATACCAATCCTAGCAACTAATTAACATGAACACAGCAACACCTCGACCAGCCTTAAATCCATCCTCTACACGCAAAAATGACTGGAAATACCCAATAGCATCCCAAATCCAAATCTAATCATTACTTAATTGCATAATCCCATAAAGAAACCTCGTCGCATCATTGGCATAAATCCTCACAAACTGAAAAGGGACCGGATCGTCGTTGCCAATATAGCTTTTATACCCCTTTACAGCCTGCTGTGCCACAAGCCAGGTGAAGCGCGGCTGGAAGTAGGTTGGGACCTGGCCAATATATAGCGAATATTTCCCATCCACTTTGGGACTGTTCCAACAAGAAGGAACAGGGTCGCCACTCTCGAAGGGCATGTAGGACTCAATTCTAGAGATTGCGGCGTCGAGGACTTGGCGGGCTAGGTCGCTACTTATGCTGCTCTGCGTCCCGCTAACAAATTGGAGTTTCAGAGGGGGATTGCTGCCTGGGATGGGGAAGTATGTGGTTGGGTTGGAGCTGTGGGTATTAGCTGTGAATGAAGGAGGAGATGGGTTAGGAGGATAAGTTTTGGCGGGGGAGACTCACCCAGAATTGTCGTCTACTGCTGTGAAGATCGGTTGGGGGGACCTTGTATCGCATGTAGAGCTAGCGGGGACGGGGCCGCAAATCGAAAGGCTGGCAAGTGCAGAGATGCAGAGTGCGACGGCGAGACTTCGGATCATGATTGCGTGGATTGGTTGAATGGCTTGGGGAGTTATTGGTGAGTTTGCGCAATCATTGAGGAGCGTTCCTATATCTGTTTGAGCCTCAAGGCAGAGGTGGAGCGCTAGCCATGCGCGAGACAACGGGATGGCTCCTCAACGCCCTGTGCCGAAGTTGTTGGTTTTTGTTTCAATCTTTGTGTTGTCACAGGCAAGTCTCCAGTCAACCCAACACTTTCAACGTTCGGAGTGCCGGGATTGTCATCTAAATTCTAACAGCTACCTTCATCACATGTGGAGACACAGCAGAAACGTACAGAGATATCTTTCATCCTATTTTTAGCAGTCCTGAGTGGAAGGTCTTCGTGATAAGGACGTCATGAAAGTGAGAAAACGGAAAAATGAATCACTTGAGGCAATGTTGTATTTCGCAGCAGTCTGCGGCGCTATCTTCAAGCAATCTGAAGTTCGAAGGTCGTCTGTCTTGTAGTCCGGCTTTCGATATCTAGCACCTAAAACGACCTGAAGCCGGTGTCCCCACCCACAATGACGCCCATGTCTTGCAAACAATCACACGTCATAGCTTTCGAGCTTTAAATCCCATTCAGCTGCCCATTGAAAAGTCCCAAAACGGAGTTCGACTAGTATCTGCGTCGCAGTTGGGCCTAAACATCGACTCTCTATGTTAATTTTGTTTGGCGTGAATCCCTGTCACTTCCGGTATGATCCTTGCTGATTCCAATAGAACCCTTCTCAATTACGATACGGCCAAAGCAATCGGGGTGAGGTGGGGCCTACGGTGACTCGCGGTGAGCCCGTTAGTGCGACAGTTTAGACAGGGAGAGAGCAACATGCAATGTCCGTCACCACCGTCTCGATTGTAAAAGAAAACTCTTAGGATTTTACCAGCGATAGCTCTCAGTTGCTTTCCTCTTTGCATTCTATCTGCGTTGAAGTAAAGTTAATCGCTTACTCCTCCTCTCTCCGTGACACTCATTGCACCTGTTGTGGCACATATTGAAATGATTACCCGGCGAGCCTTGTGCACACCTTACTTGAATGAATTTGTTCTGGTTTCATAACGGGTCGCTTATACTGTGCGCCACCACGAGCAGAAATCGAAATCTTGCTAGGAGCAGCAATTTAGCCAACACGATCCCAGCTCACTCCTTCCAGGAAGTTCAAACTAAAACACTAACATATACTTGAATTGCTTGTCATCCTTGAAACCAAGACGGCTAGACCCTGGTAATATCCTCCCAAAAATCTAATCAACGATCGAATTAAATGTCCAAATATAGCAAAAAACGGGTCGAGAAACTCAACCTTATTATGTTTGAGCCGCAGACTGAGTCAATATTGTTGGTGACTAGGATATTAGTCTCATTATTGGCGAATGCTTCTACGCACCAGCTTCTGCCTAGAAGCAGTCAATGCATGAATTTGCAGCATAAATACCGGAAGCCTCATTCCCATTCACAACCTCCGTCAACTCAAACCTTCCAAGCTACCAATATCAAAGACAAACCATTCTTTCCACACTCCCATCAGTCTTTGCGCGACAGTCGACAAAGTCTTATCATCTCACGTCATGTATCCAAGCCTAATCTTTTGCCTCGCCTTCTGCTGTTCCTGGAGCGCAACAGCACTACCGCAATCCCAGCAAGCCACATCATCAGCCCCGGCATCCACATCGTCAACTCCTGCCGCACCTAGAGCAGTCTCCGACGAATGCGCCGATCCCAAACGTCCCGCAAACATCCCCTGCGGCGTCTGGCTCGGCGTGAGTGACCAAGCCATGCCTTTGCAACAAGACCCCTCCCTCACACTCTCCGTAACCCCAATCAAGGCCGCTGCGTCCATCTCCGACGACGAAATACTAGACACCAGCCTTCTCCACGACGCACTTGGAGTTCTCATCAGTGATGTCAAGCTTTTCATTGCGTCAGGCGAGCCTTACAATCCCAACGAACTTGACTTGCATCAGGTTGCCAAATCTAGCGGAAGTGGGTCGGTGTCCATCAAATTCGCGCAGACGCAGGACCAGTATGCCAATGTGCAGCCTTTTACGCTCAACGGGTTGCTCAATCTTTGGTATACGCTGTCGGAAATGGAAGCGAAAGTCAGTTCGTCTCTACAGCTCAAGAAGAAGGATGGGACTGTGGTCGGGCAGGGCTGTGTATCTACGGCGAGTGTTCCGGACTGCTAGGGGTTTTAAAAGTTTTTGCCAGAACTTGCCCAATGGTATTAAGAGCATTCAGATAGTATCTGATTATTTAGCAGAGAAAAAGGAAAGATTAGGGTTCTAGAGGACTGGTTTATCAGAGATGATGACATAAGGTTTACGTAAAATAAACTTGCTGATCGTAGGCCGCTCCTCTGCCTCTTGTGCTTCCAATTGATCTTTCAATGACGCGTTATCGTACTCTTGGTATTGTAGTAATTGCAGAGCAGTCGCGCTTGCGAAAGCGTCTTACTTGCTCATACCAATGGAGCGAGTGGATGATCATTTTCCTACGGTATGGTATCTTTTTCAGCTATTTTCAGCGTCGCAATGGCATATAATCTAGCTCTTTTAGCGTCTTCGAAGAAGTTGTACCAGTCTCATGATGTGGACAGGTAACCGTTGGTTTGGGTTCTTGGCCGGATCCTTTGCATCTATTTGCGTAGCTCAAGCACGGTCTGCGAATAATAGACATCAGTGTGATCTGTCGGTTCACTTTTTAGAATTTGTAACCTCTTCTTGCTCTGCTCGCGACCCCATAGGTCTGTCACAGTAGTCTACTGAGCTTCTAAACATAATCATGCACCCCACGACACAGCTAATACCTTAGTTGGCTGACTACCTGCCCGCTGCTATTGATATCATACCCTAATGTTCATCATTCTCTTGCTTTGGACTTTACCAAAGAAATTGAGAAGGCAGGCTAGAGATTGTGCACATCGCGTGCGTAGAAGAGGGATTGACGGTAAATACCTCTTGAAGAGGGGACCTTTGTTGCAGTGAGGTCATAATGTAATGTCGCATAATTTTCGCCATCTTAAGGAGTACTGGAGAGACGAGCTTCAGACTTCAGACTTCACTGTGCAGCTGTTGCATTCACCGGCATCCTTAATGGCCTCCAAATGGCGCACGAGATCACTTTCTATCACAAGACACTTGACTGCGCCTTACCATCCGACTGAGTCTGTAAGGCTCGGCGGCGATTCTCGGAGACATTCACACTTCGACGCTGCACCCTTCTTCAATCATCTTGAGTGCACGGTGACTGCTGCTGCATCTTCACCTCGCGATTTGTAAAACACAACTATCGCATGAGTCGATAGTCTGTGCTTATCATCTCTTCTTCTGTGTTCACTGCCCTCCACGCTCTGTTTTCTTATTTCGTAGCCTCCTCTTGCTCACATGCACCATGGCTCGGCGCATTCAATCAAGCGTTTCATGATACGGTGATACGGAACGTATCTCAAGGGCGTCTGTGAGCATGAGCTTAGCTTGTCTATCCGAACGCGTCTTTTGCCCCCTCTCGTCTGTCTTGGCTGGTGTACAATGCGAGTTAGCCGACTTCCTCGTGGTGCCGCTGGTCAAGAGGAGTCCGAACAATGCCGCTAGAGCGGGTATGTTTTTGGTCTCAAGTCTAAAGGTGAGTAGTTTACAGCATCAAAATTATCGGGTGTAAAAGTACAGCTCTTGGGCAAGATCTGTCAGGAAGTGGCATGTTATTACTATTGGAAGTGACACTATGAGAAGACAGGCTCTTGTTGAATATTACTTGCGTTCTTTGAAACATACCTACAAGCGCGTAAGGTCGCGCGTCCGAGCTGAGAATCAAATGTAGCTCGTGGATTGAGACAGTCCCGTTAGGCGCATGCTGTCCCATCGGCCAGAGATCCATAAAACCACTTGATGACCCAGCAGTTCTCTTCAAGTTGAGGGTCAGCAAAAGACGCAAGAATGTTTGTCTCTACACTCGCTTTGACGTCCCTCGCAGCTCTTTCGCATCTCAGTTCGGCCTTGCCCACTGCGCAGAACGAAAACACCCTTGGCCTATCAGTAGCTGCCATCAGCGCCCGCAATGTTCCCCCAGCAGTGTGAGTATATTCCCAACCGAAAGGTTTCATGGCGCTCACGGCAGTAGCAACCTCAGTGCCCCAAGAACAATCCCAATTCCTGGCGGAACCTATTCTGTCGAAATTGCACTTCCCAAAGATCCAAAGCGACTCGACACAGCAGTGATGTCGGACTTACTGGCCGCCTTCAGAGATCTTCTCGAGCAAAAGGGCGATGTGCCGATGCTTATTGATGAGGGTATCCGCCACGGGGATGAGCTTAGGCTTGATATGGGACCCAATCCTGTCCTTGGGAGTGATGCAATCAAGTATCCCGTGGCGGCGAGGGTCATTGACTTTTTGAAGGATTTGGTGGATGCGGGGGATATAACAACGGAGTTTGCGTTCCTACTCATGTCTTATACTGTCATTCCTCCGTTGGCCAGTGGACATTTGTTTACTATTACTTCGGGCGAGGCTGGTATAGCTCCGGCGGAGGGAGTTAAAGTTTCTGCTAGCGATACAGGTGTGGCGAGTAGTTGAATCGTGAGGCTGCGAAGTGATTCGTTCGAAAGACGTCGGTGAGAGAAGGTGGCATCAACCTTGCCAACACGTTTATTTGGGAATGAGAAAACACTGTCGTCGCAAAAATCATATTACTCGATGCGATCATATAGTCAGGTTCCATATCTCCCAGTCTACCCTCGAAGGGTATCTTGTGAGCAGCTCATGATGGCAAATGGAGGGACTTCATCTTCAATCATGCACATCATGCAGAATCCACTTCTTGATGATTACATCCTCCTTTCTACTACATGCACGCGTAGCGCATAAGGTTGCGCGTCCGACCTGATAGTCTAAAATAAATAGCTCCAGCACTGAGACTAGCATAGTAAGCGCAGGCTGTTCCCTAGGCCGGAGAAACACAAAACATCTGATGACCCAGCGAACCTCTCACAATCGAGATCAGCAAATGACGAAATGTTTTCCTCCCTCATCAATTTGATATCCCTAGCAGCACTCACGCACATCACCTCAGCCTCGCCAACTACCAGAAGTGCCCTCGACGTATCAACAGCGACCATCAGCGCTCACGATGCTTTACCTGGCTCCGTAGTCCCTGCAGTGTAAGTGCCATCGACACCGCACAGCGCCCTTACTTACAGCACCAGTGGTCTCGCAGCCCCACTCCCAATACCCGGAACAGACCTAAGAGTCAAAATCACCCTCCCGGAACACCACGAACCCATCGACCGCTCCGCTCTGTCCCTACTCCTCGGAAGTTTCATAGAGCATCTCGAACATCTGGGTACCACGGTAATGTTCGCACCCGAGGTCTGGAAGAGTAGCAATTCCAGACTTGTGATTGTTCTGCGTCCGAGGACGGACGTCGGGCCTTACATGATTATGTATAGCGAGGCTGCGAAGGTAGTCCAGGTTTTGAAGAGGCAGGTGGATGGGGGCCAAGTGGAAAGTGATTTTCAGTTTAAGATTATGAATGAAGGGTTTGCGAGTGTGATCGCGACGGGAGAGCTGAGTGCAGACGACGGTGTTGTTGTTCCGGCTAGCGATGCGGGCGTGGAAAGTAGTTAGATCTAAGGGCAGGCTGAAGTTGACTTGGTGCCATGTAGTGAGATTTTCACAAAAACGTGGGCTTTTCCTTTCCACAAAGAAAGATAATATTATCGCATATGTCACGTCATAGTAGCCAGCAATTTCACCTCACAGTATCACCACGAAGTGTACTAGCTATCGTTACGCTATCAAAAGAAAGAAGTTCAGCTGGAATTATGCAAATCCCTTTATCACAAGAGCTTTCAATCCGGATATTAATCTATGAAAATTCAGAGTGCAAATCAAAGAGCCTAAATACATCGGAAGGATTGCAAAGGACCCTGTTCTGATTAGTCTGCGATGCACTTGTGATCTTTGACGCAGACATCATTCATGATGTACCCACAAAATGCCAGCATATAGTATTCTGGGAGAACATTGGTTTGGCTTTAAAGGCTTGGGATATCTTGGAATGTGAAGGTCTTCTCGTGGGTGCTCGCAGAATAGCAACACTCAACCTTGAACTGTCGGAAGTGGTCCCACAATCATAGGGGTATTTTGCGCATAAGCCACGCTGCAGTGGTCCTTTTGAATTACAACAGCTGCATTGCTATTTCGACATCAACATGCCCCCCAACCTCACCTCCCCTAATATCCTCGTCGCACCGGATCTCGTCCAATATATCTCCCCGACCGTTGTAGCCAATATCCCTAGCCTCACATTCTCCGTCGCTATATACTTCACGGCCTCAATGATATCTTCATTCTTCATCGTCGGTTCATTCTCCTGCAAACTTATGATATCAAAATCGTAAGGCACGTCTTCAAGTTTGTAATTGGCATTACCCCTAAATGAATAGTCCTTTGCCAGTCTTGCAAGCTCAACTAAAGCCCAAGTGAGTGCGAGGAAGAACCCTTGTTCGATGAGAGTGGGGGGTTGGAAGCGGTAGATGGCAGTAACGCCCTCGCGACTGGACATGGATAGGGATGGGGTGGCCGTATCGTTCGTGGTGGATATTGAATACGGAGAGGCGGGTGATGTGGACACGGTGGTAGGGTATTTACGCAGAGTCACAGGCTGTCCGGTAGTATTGAAGGACGTATGCTCTGCCATGAGGTTGTAATTCAGCGCTGCTGCGTCCGTGTTTCTTTCGGGAGGCCATTTGGTGACTTTGATTCCGAGCACGGGTGTGTTCCCCGCGAATATTGTAAACTTGGCGTCCGTGGTATGTGCTTGCTTGGTGTACCAGGAGACAACTTGGAACATGGCTTCTACCTGAATGCTATACATGATGAGTTGGTCAGGAGGAATTGGTACCAGAATGATGTAAGTCTGGGGGCGGGTTAGGGTTGG